TATTTCTATTCTTTCCCTTTTATTTTCTATTTACAATCAAAAAAAGTATAGCAAAAAATATTTGATTTTTTAAAATTTCAAACTTTAGAGAGAAAGAGAAAGAAATAAAAAGAGAGAGAGAGAGAGAGATTCAGATATTTGCTTAAAGAGAGGGTTCAAACTCCCCTTTTATGAAGTGTTACCCCAAAGGCTCATGAAATGAATCATTTGTGCAAAAAATATATATAAGTAACGCATTGAATATAATTATAACTCTTGTAGAAGAAGAAGAAGGAAGACATGTAAGACATGTCGTCTTTTGCCTGAAAATAGTTGTTTTAAAAGCACACAAACCGTAGACAACAATCCTTTCCTTTTAATAGCAGTTGATTGCCATAAGCGTCAAAAACAAGAGGCCATTGAATCTATTTCACTATTATAAGTGCTTAATATTAATTTACTTTGAAAACAACAATAATATTTTGCTTATATCATATAAAGATTAAAATATTTTTTTAATAATGCTTTATATAAAAGTATAATCTAAACACTGTTTAATATTACTATAATTAAAGCTTCAAATTATAGCCACTTTGTTGCGGATATTTCGGAAGTTTTGTAAGGATCTGATTAACAAAATAGTTATGTTTTAAAAGACAACAATTTGTCAGCAATTTATCCATTTATCACAACAATAACTGCTTCTTAAGTGTCATAAATTTTTTAATAAAATTATAATAACTACTATTATTACACAAAAAAATCTACAATATATAATAAAAATGTTTTATAGCAATTTTTGGATACTACGTAATATATGATATAATAAATAAAATTAATAAAAAAAAGTTTATGTATAAAAGTTTATTATTGTATTTATTAAAAATGTACATTTTTTACAATATGCGTTTTTATATTTATTTAAAATTTACATTTGTATTAATTTTTTATAGAAAAATAAAAATTTAATGTACTAGAAATATAGTTTACTAATTATTTTGCTACAATACCTGTATAATATACAGTGTATATATACAGTATATATATATATATATAATATTGACAAATAATATTAAAAACAGTCTTCAAAATCGTGATTAAACATTTATATCATATAATAATGTTTACTTTTATCATGTAGTCTTGTACAATTAGTAAATCTTTTTTAATTTTTATATAAATATTATAATTTATGTTACTTATCTATAGAAATTTAGTATTACAAATACAATAGAATTATAAAATTATAGTTATCAATATATTGTGCAAAAAATATATGAAAATTTATTTCAAATTATACTCTAAAATTCACAACAATTTTATTAAAAGCTATTTGAAAAAATTTATTTTGAAATTACTGTGAATTATTGAATTATAATTTTGAAAATAAATTAATCTTATGAATAGATTTGAAAGACAAAAATAGGATACACTGGTCATTGAGATACCGGTGTTGGTCAGGGATGTGCCAAAATATTTAGGTCAGAATTAGTTCTAAAATTACTATAAGAGCTAACCACACATTTTTTTTGGAAAAATTATTAGATTTTGTAAATTTTCATGAGAAAATTTTAACAAAAAAAAATGCTATATATAGTATATAAATTTACTTAAAACATTAATGTATTTTGTAATCATAATAATTATAATTAGTTTATTTAGTAAAATCATAATAAAACTACAAATAACACAATAATAGATTTAGTCTTAAAATAGTGAAAATTATGGACTCGATTATTGACAATTACATTGAAACTAATGTTCACTTCATTTAAATATAGCCAAAAGGCATTGTTAGGCATTTCCAAGTTATAGCAAATATAACTATCGCTATAATACTGTATAACACAATCTCATAGCGTATATCATAGGATTTCACAAATTCATAGGAGAGGAGTACAGGGAATCCAGGTTTACATTGAAAAAAGAGATTCACTTAAATCAATGTATTATATCTATAATAAGTCGCCTGACGTTAGTCTAAAACTATTACTAACATTAAAATTTGAGTCAACATGTAGTGGCAAATCAACCGCCAAAACAATGTCTGAAAAGTCTGAAAAAATTAGGTTTTTTTAGATTCAAATATTTTTATAAATCAACAAAATTATCTTAACTTTTTGCAACAAATTTTTATAATTATATTACTTATCTTAATTTGTAATAAATTATTTCATGCAACTTACTTTAATTTATCATTTCATTTTTTAAAAATATTATATATAAATAAAAATATGAAAAATTTAATTTATGTCATTTTTTGTATTAAATAATAAAATAATTTAATAATCAATAATTTAATTTAAACTTTTAATTACTTTAATTATGAACCTGAAATTATCAATAAAATTAATTTTTCTCAAAATAATATATTTATAAACGAGAGTAAATTTCGTTTAACTAAATACAACTTAATTAAACAAATAATTAGTTATTTTTAAAAGTGTAATAATTTGAAATCAAGTTAAAAATTGCTACAAACGTAAAATGCAAATAAAGAATAAATTAGATATAATTCAGATAATATAAAATAATTTACAAAACATTACATAATATTTATATTTATATATATATATTGATAATCCATTTTGAAAAGTTATGATTCACTATAAGTTAGTTAATGTATAGCATCACAGCAAACGCCTCGAAGGCATTCAAAACGTTTACATACATTCAGTGCTTTGTTTTTATATTATATTTCATTATTAAAACTTAAAAAATAGAAAAGTTATTCAATAAATGAGTGCAATGTTTTAATACTAAAAGCAGAGATGTCTTAAATTTATTTATTTTTTTATATATTTATTTTGTTTAACGTAGTATTCAATTGCATATACAGTTTATTTATTTTTTAAAATAAAAGACTTCCTTACGGGTGGATAATACTGTAAAGACACTGAGTGTTAACATTATATATCAAATTAACTGATTTTATACATAATGTAAATTTATATAAATTACATATTAAATGTTAAATACTATATTTTCTAGTGCCGGCTTAATCGTCATTATGTTGAATAACTTGTAATTATAAGCTATTAACAGATTTAGTGATCAAACCGTCATTATATTGGAGAAAAAACATAACTCAAGAATAAAAATATTATTCATTGAATTGTTAATTATTTTATTTTTATTAATATTAAGTCATAAAACTAAAAATATAAGTATAAAATCCATTGAAATGTATTTCAATAAATAACTCAATTTTTATTATTAGTAAACAAATTCTTTTATATTAATCATATTTTATATAAACAAATATAAGACAAACCTGATTAACAAATGCATCAATTGGTGATCATATGATTGTCTCCAATGTTTGATTGTTTTTTCTTCCACTTTATTGTCTTCACTTTCATTTAGTGAATCCAATGGCAAAAAAGTCATGCATTTGCTGTTGTATTACAAGAAATAATTGTTGTCTGAAAAAAGTATTGACTCTTTTCTTAACCAAAAAGTTGTTTTTAGTGTTTGAAAACGTGAAGAGACACCGACTCTCCTCTCGAAGAGCTGTGGGTTAAGAGACTTCAATAGCACAGTCAGTGTTAGGGATGAAACCTTTTGTTGCAATAAACCTGTAGTACATGTCATGTATATATCACAACTGATTTTCAGGTTTACCTAAACAAAGTACAGGAGTTTTGCGGCATCTCTTGGCTCCCTTTTCTATGTATAAAATAAGTATATTTATACAAATAAATATTTTTTATATATAATTATATCAATATATGAAAAATAAATTAAATGATTTCAATTTAATATACAATTTATCTTTTGTTTTATTTTTTTGATCAAATAATTTTTCAATTGAAACATTGAATTTTCAATTATAATAATTTAACTAATAAATGAAAATCACATTCATTTAGACAAATGTTACTTAATATACATTTTTTATAAAACATTCAAACAGTCGTCAATTCACTTGTCTATTCAAATTTGATTTGTTGTATTTATTTACTAAAATTATATTAATTTATATCATTTAATTTAAATAATTATGATTAAAATTACTGTAGAGATTGTATTTGTTTTACAATAACATGAATATTCTGAGGATAAACTTAAAAAACAGTTCAATATTTAATTATATATTACTTAAATGTTTTACAATTAATTTATGTTGTTTTCAATTTGTCATATTTTTGAAACATATTTATCTATCGTTAATTGTATTTAAATATAGTAAATAAAAATAATGAGTTTTTGTTTGGTTATTAATATCCAATAAAATTATTATTATTATTGATACTGGAATTAATAAAAAAAATTGCTAATCAAGAAAACTTTGTTATATTCTGAGAAAAATGTATATATAATAGTTTAACATAAATTTCATTAATATATTCATTATTAATAATATGTAACTATTTATTAACTATACTTTTTATATTTAATATATATTATTAAAGTAAAATAATCTCTGGTTTTCATAAAATTTATATATATATTTTATATATGTTTAAATATATATTTATTTTCCACAAATGGCAGCAAACATTTTATTGTCTGTAATTGACTATTTAAAAAATTAACATTTTGGGAATTTTTCCGTTAATATAGCATTATAATTCGTTAAAAATAAAATATTTTTATATATGTACGTTTATAATATATATATGTATTTGAAAATAATGAAATAATTAATGACAACTTAAAATATTGAAAAATAAAATTATAAATTCTCTTAAAAAAATTAATAATAAAAATGATTTCTTTACACTTTTTCTTTCAAATGTCAATACAAATGATTTGATACAATGTTTCAATCATATGTCGCAAATGGTTTGAGTAATGATTTTTTGTTTTTTTCCATTTATAATTAAATACTGTTTCAATCGGTCAACATTTTTATCAATAATAAAAACATTATACATGTCTAATCAATCGGAATCATATTTTGTTTCATCAATTTATATTTAGTTTTATGTATAATAGATACTGTATATATATATATATATATATATATATATATATATATATATATATATATATGTATTTTATTATGTTGTATGTATAATATATTTATATAATATATGTAGAGTATGTTTTTTGTATATAATTATAAAACAATTCAATAAACAAATGGTATATTATATAAACAAGTGATGGATTTTTTGGAGGCCTTCCGAAAGTTTTTTTTTATTAGAGAAGCAAACAATTCATCCAATTATGATATTTTAGATAATAACCGCTTTCTTCATCAGTCATTCTTCATTCAGTAGTTACCATAATTTGGATGCCATGGACTCGGGAGGACTTCCAATGGGTTGATCCAATAGATTGTGTCGATTCACAATAACAGACAATATATTATTTTTTAAATAACAAATATTTTTTTCATAGTCTTTGTGAGCACCGAAACCCCAATAAATATAACATTATATCAAAAATCTTGTAATTTCACTAATTAATATCAATATTTGTTTTGATCAAAACGTTGCGTAAAAAACAAAGTATTGTCTCAAAACTTAATAAATTATTTATCATTTAATTGTTTAGTCTCTAAAAGTAATTACAATCAATCATCACATTGTCCTATAAGGGCCTTTCATTTTAAGATATTGTATGACAAGTGATGGCCCGCCGTTAACAATGTCGGTAGGGATTTGAGATAACGGACAGTTCTCTATACTCATTATTTGGAGATTTGCACAGAGAGCCAATTCAAATGGAAGGTTATGTAGGTTTGGGTTGTCATTTATATACAAAGATTCCAAGCTTTCTAATGTACCTAAAATATTGCAAATTATCAATCAATTAGTCAATAATATTAAATTCAATACTAAATTTTAAATAAAAAATACCAATTTCTTCGGGAATTGAACTCAAATTGTTTTCACCAACACTTAAATACGTCAGTTTAGATAAGTGTCCGATAGCTCGGGGAAGAGCTGACAATTGGTTGCTTTGAACAATAAGTTTCTGGATCTCTCGCAAAAATCCTAAATTTAAATATAATTAATAATTTTAATTGTAAAAATGTAAATATCTTGAGAGGACAGACCTATTTCATTAGGAAGGCCTTCTAATTTGTTTTCTTCTAAGTCAAGTATCCTAAGTTTGCGCAGTTGGCCGATAGTGGCCGGCAGTCGACGCAAATTGTTATTACTTAAAATGAGAACTTCTAAGTTCTCCAAGTGTTGAATATCTTCGGGAATTTTGGTCAATTGATTTGTGCCCAGATTTAGCTCAACCATCTGAGTCCACGAACCGATGTCCAGCGGTAGTGATGTCAACTGATTGTCTTTCATATTAAGTTTGGTCAGATTGGATGCCCGCGAAAATATGCCGAAAGGAATCTTATTGATCTTATTGTGCTCCATGTTTATAGACTATAATTAAAATCAATTTATATTTATTATATGAATAATTTTTCTAATTTAATTATCATATAAATTATAATTATTAAATAATTGAATAACTATTACTCACGTAGACATTACAGAACTGGGAGGGCCCACCCACTGGATATGATATGAATTGATTACGTGATAACGTGAGTGTTGTCAAATTGGAGAGACTAGATAACAGGCCCTCTGGCAACTGGCACAGGGAGTTATTCTCGACATTGAATTCAGTCAAATTGATACAATTGCTTAGTGACTTCGGGATTGACATCAAACGATTGTATCTATCATTTGTTAATCAATTTGTAATTATTTTCATAATTAGCGCACTATTTATTTTTTATAATAAATATAATTTATCATTGATGGCTCATCAAATTTATCATTTTTCTATTATATTATTACATATATATTTTTTATATAATATGATAGATAATTATTTAAATTCTTTACAGTCTTTATATTCAAAATAATAAAATACTCAAATCAATGATTTAATATTAAATAATAAGTTATAACAAACATTTCTGTAATTATATATAGCATACTCTCAAAGACAAAATCAAGTCCCACTCTTTGCGGGTTAATATATCGAAAACTATATTTACAAATTTAATCTAATTTGGCTAAAATAAAGAAAAACTTCACAAAAATTACCATAAAATTATCAAATAATTATTTTTAATAGCTTTGAAATCATATGAAAATGAAATGTGAAATTAGATTATAATCAATGACTTGTATTGACCACCAAATTAACACTTAAGTGGATTCCATAGGACACGACATTCATTCAACAAAAATCATAGTCTAATTTATCCAACAAATATCGAGACCAATGGAATATACATTAGTGTAAATCTGGTTGAATACAATTCAAACATTAATTTCAAAACTAATCATGATCATTTCTTAGTGGTAAATTTATGATAAATTTTTGGGCAATTTTTTACTATTTTTATTAAAATTATGATATAATTTGAAAATATTGTTTTCGATGATACAAATGATGTCTATTTTAAATACAAAAATATTTTATGAAATATGTATGATTACATATGGTTAATATACTGCTGTATATATCGTATATATAAATTTATATATATATATATATATTGTATATATATGCATTTATAGTTCAATACAATTTAAGTAATATAATGTGTGCTAACTAGTTATTACAGGTTATAATAATAATAATAAATAATTGATCCAAAATCAAGAAAACAATGTATAAAATATAGTAATTCTTTACTTGTATAACGCCTCTGAAATTGTTTCAAAATCTTATTATCATTAAATATGTCAGTATTAGTACTAACAGCCACTGAATTATTACAGTATTGTTTGAAAAAATATTTTATTGTTTAAAAAAATATTTTGTAATTTGTATAAAACAATTAATTTGTACATTTAATCGACTCGACTAAACAGTATATAAAAATCCAATAACCAAATACCTGAATAAAAATGCAATTTAATATCAATATATTGCACTAATATAATATTTAACTATATAAACAAGTACAGTATAAACTTATCAATAATATATATATATATATATATATATATATATATATATATATATATATATATATTTAGTCATAATTTTAGCTATAAATAAATACAACTCGTGTTTTATTTTGAACCAATTACATTGTTTTCAATTGCTTTATGATTAAGTTAAATAATTAGGATATATTAATCTATAATACAGGAGCACAATCCATAATTTAAAAATACTATACAGAAGTTATTACATAATTTATTTTTTTTAATAATAATAGTAAACAATTTCATAATTCTCTATGTATTACTGTATTAGTTAATGTAAATCAATATATGAAATATGACAACAATTATAAATGAATGTATAATAAAATGTAAATTCTTAGTTAACATTGAAATATCAATTAGTTTTTTGTTGAGAAATGGCTCAACAAATGTGGCGAAGATTGCGCACAGATTGTCATACAGTGGTATATATGAGTGATATTTATATCTAATCCATTTCACTCTATATCAGACAATCATCTGACAAGAGTGGGAGGCGTGGATGCATTTTTAAGTCATATAAATACATACTAAATACTCATTTTTATTTTTTCTGGGACTAAATTATTGACTGAACTTCATAAGTAAAGCACCGGAGATTATCATAATATTATGCAATAAAAAGCCATTTAAAGATAACTATAACATCACAAGCATTTTAGATATGATTTTTGATTATATAGATGCGATTTAAGTCAGTAAAGGCATCAAATAGTGTTATATAAAACATCAGAGTAACCATACCTGAGTCCTAATCGTGTCAAACTCGCCAATTGGCCTATAGTTTCGGGAATATCTACCAATTCATTGTGCTGTACATCTAATGTCGTCAATTGTACACAATTTCCAATTTCTATATTTTCCATAAGAATCATTGTATATGTATTCAGAAATCAAATAAACAAAACAAAAATAGAGGAAAGGGGTGTATAATCATTGTATTAAACAACTGATCGTACCTAATGGCAAGTGCTCTAAATGGTTGTTGGAAGCATCAAGAGTGACCAGTTGTGTGAGTTTGCCCACACCTCCCGGCAACTCCTTTAGTCTGTTTTCTCTAAGACTGAGCATCGTTAGGTTCTGTAGATAACAATAATAACAACAATATGGTAATCCATTATTAACAGAGTATATGTATATATTATAGCTTATTAAGTAATAATTAATTCAATTTTATTACTTTTGCTATTATTATTATATTATAATAAACAATATATTTATCATTAGCCTTACCGTTAAGTTTGCTATATTTTCACCGACTATTTTGATGCGATTAAAGCGCAAGTGAAGAGTGGTTAGTGAAGTCAGTCTATAAACCACATCAGGAATCTAATGATAACGATATCGACAATTATGGTATCAATTCAACTATTTTTTTGGATTAATTTCAATATCACAATAGATATAAACCTCATTGAGTTTGTTGTGTCTGAGATCAAGCACTTTAAGCACTTTAAGATTAGCCAAAGTGTCGGGCAAACTGGTCAATGAGTTTTCGTTGACGGCTAACATCTGTAAGTTCACTAAATGGCCGATTTCTGGCGGAAGAGTTACTAATTTGTTTTGATATAAATAAAACTCAACTAAATGTGTCAGTTCTTTGACAGACGAGGGAAGAGTCGTTAGACTACACTTTGTGAGATCCAGTCGTGTCGACTGTTCATCTTTGCATCGCTGAAACTCTTTGTCGACATCGAGATCTGTTTGTAATGAATGCTTCTTACGTATTGTAGGTTTGGGTCCTTTTTGTCCCGGATGGTGGATAGTCACCTGTTTTGGTCGCACAGACAACTCTCCTCCCACTGTCGACCCTTTCTTTTCCTATATCACATCACATCACAAAAAACGTGTGCTTTTAGTTACAATTAATATCATATATAAATCATTAATAAAGCACACAGTGGTCGCCATCGGACCAAAAATCAAGTCTTAAATCGTAACGTTAAGTCTAAGGCATTAAAATTAGGATTTTTTGTTGCTTTTCAAACAAACCTTTGCTTTCATCAGCGATTGAAAACAATTGTGTAATAAAGACTCCATATTTACAGACTATTAACAAACAACTAATAAAATTAATAATAATATTTTGAAATTTGAGTTGAAATTAACGTTAAACTAAATTAATTTAATCATTTAATTAGCTGTAGTAAACATAATGCAAAAGTAATGCATTAAACAACTTTCATATATTATTATTATCAATGCGTTTAATAAATCAAATAATCAATTTGTTAACTCATTTCAAGTATAGTTTTTTTCTCTCAATCTTTTAGGCCCAACATTATGGGTGCATATTATTGTATATTAATCTTCAATATTAAGTGGAAAAATATGAATAATTTTTAGTTTTTTTTTTAAAACTAATTAAACAAATAACTCATTTTTAAAAATTGTATGGACTTTAGAGTACAACTATTAGTAATGTATTTATTGATAAGCAATTTATATTCATGTAATTACTTGAAAACAACAAACTAATTATGAGTTTGAAAGCAACAAATATATAGTAGTAATAAACAGTAATAAATGCTATAAAATGCTATACTTTTGCAAAATAGTTGCAAATCATAACTATTTGAAAATTATTTAAAAAATTGTTGAAAAATGCCTTAATTTTGTAATTGTTTTGATTATATAATAATAATAAAATGTGATTAAAAACTTGTAACATAAGTGTTAATACAAATATAATTATTTCAATTGGTTTATCATTTGATTGTAATGTTATGTAAATTGTTTGATACATACTTTCGGGTAGTCTTTGCTGGTCGACGGCTGATCATAGGGACTGTGCGGTCCCTCCTCAGTGCCACTGCCAGCACCTGTACGCTCGGGGACGGCCATCAAAGAGGATCCGGCTTCCGATTCGGGTGAACTCGGGCTTATGCTGGGACTTACAACGGCCGGCGCCGACACTTCACTGGATGGCTGTTGACTGTTAGCACTAATGGCAGGTTCGGTGTGCGGGTGAGGCTCTTTGTGGGTGTGCTTCTCAGGCTTTTGTTTGGTATATTTCCTCATAACTACACTGACTGGTTGTCCCACACTTTGCTGACCACATAAATAATGGACACAATTGGATAGTCATTCACTTTGTATATTAGTTACTATTTTTTGAAAAAGTTATGGACTTTTTTTTAGATGGATGTTCACCACAATTGACACGATATATACACGATATATACAGTACTGTATCATATCATCACATATAACAGTGTCTATGTATGTATAGTATGTATGTATGACTACTCCGGTACCCAACAGTGCTGTTCACTACTGTTTACATTCAATAGGCATTCAACACATATATATACTGTATATATGTATGCGTAAACCAAAACAAATTCAATTCATTGCATGCATATAATTGAAACATAGATTGCATATAGATTTTATATAATATATATATACATAACAAGTGTAATGTGTATAATAAATGTCATTCAATATAGGCCACGCCTACATAGCATTCAACATTAAAACATTGCGCGCATGTGTTTTAATCAGTGTCATTGTGTGTTATTGAAAATATTGTAAGTCTATGTTTTTATTTTAGTGCTTTTTTTGTTTAGTTATAATATATAATACTAAATAATATATTATAGTCAATAAAAGTACCAAAAAGTGAATAAACAGTTGCAATAAATGCCTAAATAGTCTATACAAACCTGTGTCCATATATTATGTTCATATTATTAAATTAATTATAAGTTAATAAAATTGATTTAAAATCAATTAAGACTAATACACCAATAGATTAGCAAATAATTGAATTAACAATTGATAAATAAAATAATTAAACAAAACTTGAAATACTTTAAATATAAGAAATATTATTAAAAATTGTGAATCAAATAGTTTTGACAGTTTTTGGTTATATCACTACAAGTAATGTAAGTTAAGGTTATATCAAATATTGAGACACATGTTTGTGTTGTGCTTTACGTTTATAATCAAACACTAACTATACATACAATGGAATGCAATCATTAAAGACTGCTATTAGACATAAACACATATTTTTTTATAATAACTAAGAATTTTATTTTTAGTTATGATATCTAAATAAATTGCATCAAAAATATTATTTTAGCTAAAGTTATCTCTTTTTTTACACAACACATGCAATCAAATATTTTGATTTACAATTACATATTTAATAGATTATGCATTATTTTTCAGACAATTCTCATATTATTATTGTTTGCAATGTAATTATCAATGCGCTGCGGATACCTTATGCAAAATACTACTAATTTATGTCAATTAGCATATTTGCAATCAAAAAAGTTTAACAAATAGTTTATTTAAAAAAAAAACTATTGAATATCAAACTGTAGTCAATTTTTTCTATTGTAAATTACAATTTGTATAACAAATCAAACATCTTTATTATGTGTTACCCAAGAAGTCATATTAACATATAATTTGAGATCTAATTTATATAATTAATATAATATATTTTTATAAAATTAAGTTTATCAAAAGTTTATAATTTCTATGTTAATCAAATAAGATGTATATAAAAATGCAATTATTAATTTATACATAAAATCTCATATTTTAATCTTTTTTTTAAATGCATATAAAATTTAAGATAAGACATGAAATTCTTAGTTATTGTGGAAGTGTTTAGTAATGAGAATATTAAGAAATGTAAATAAGAATTGAATTATTGGGTGCACTGTGTGTTTGTATCACTAGTGTATGTATGTGTGTATGTGTGTGTGTGTGTGTGTGTGTGTCTGTATGTATGTATGTGTCTGTGCTCTAAACATAATGTTTAAGTCCCGAGAAAACCCCTTTTGCTGTTGGCCTACATTTGAAGCGATGCCCGGGAATAATAGACATAAATTGTTTGTATATATGAGCTCATAGTCACACACTTACACACACACACACACACACACACACACACAGCTCTATCGATCCGATTCTGGGCTCATATTTGTGTCATAACACACACACACACACCAGTGATTACATAGTGTGAGTGAATGAGAGAGTGAATGAGTTTGTATGTGTGTGTATGTTATGACACAATTGTGAGCCCAGAATCGGATCGATAGAGCTGTGTGTGTGTGAGTGAGTGAGTGAGTGAGTGAATGTGTGTTTGTGTGTAAGTGTGTGACTATGAGCTCATATATACAAACAATTTATGTCTATTATTCCCGGGCATCGCTTCAAATGTAGGCCAACAGCAAAAGGGGTTTTCTCGGGACATAAACACTATGTTTAGAGTATAGACACATACACTAGAAATTTAATACATTTTCGATATACATATCAATTGAATTTATAAAATTAATGAACAAAATAGTCGGAAATGCATTTTCGACAATAACTACTCTTTGCATTAAATTTGGACACAAATATTTCAATTGCATCCATCATTTCTTGGGACGCATCTATTGATATAATCATTTTCATCAATTGATAAAAGCACCGGTATGTTAGCACACATAGGTATGAAATCTCAAAATAAAAATTAATGGATATTCAAAATGTATGATATAAATGCAAAATTACAATAGTTTTAAAAATTATTGAAACACGTGTCCTTGCATTTGAAATCATAATAAATAGATTTGAAGATAAATGACTGCTTATTATAAAAAACAAAATTATAAATGCATTCAAAATTAAAGTGTCACAGAATATTGTTTTTCTGTTAACTTAAAAAATTGTAATCAATAATAATTGCATTGATTTGTGCAAAAATTATAAAATTTTTTATCTTAATCAAAATTTAAGATAATTATCTAAATTAAGATTTTTAATTATTTTTTATATAATAATAGATAAAATTTGAGCATTATTTTGAAGTATAAATAAGTTTGCAAATTATATTCAACAGAAATTTATTATATATAAAAATTTATTAAAAGTAACAGAAAAACAATATACCTTTTATAACACTTAATTTGTAAGCTATTAGAATTTTGATTTTTGAATGAGCAAGGTCATTTATCACAAACACTTTAATGTGTATGCAATTTATATACTATATATACTGTATATATAAGTATATACCTATATATACTATACACATAGATAAATATTATTTATATTTAGGAAGTGAATAACTAAAAATTCAAATACTATATCTATTTTTGTTACTACAAAAAAAATTCTTAATAAATAATACTTACTTTAATATTGTGCAAATTTATTAAAATTTAATTATTAATATATTTTTAATATATTGCAAAAATCATAAATAAGTTTTGCTATCAATTATTAAAAAAAAAGATAAAGCAATCAAATATAGCAATATTCAGATTAAGTGTTTTGTTGTCATTTTTGTCGTAACACTTGAAAAATAATTAAAAAATGCTAATACAGTACACTAACACTTCATGTTTTTGGTTTAATAATTGATTTTTTTCAAATAGTCATTGAAATGTTTATTTTACAAAAAATATGGCTTTCAAATAATTTAAATTTAAAATTAAATTAATTATAATTTGTTTAAATACAGTAAGCATTCAATAATTTGCAATTATTTATATAACTATCTCCGAAATAAAATTAAATCAATAAATCATAAATTAATTTTTTAATACAAATACAATAAAATAAATGAAAAACACATTTTATATTATTGTTTATATGAATGTGTGAAACAATTTTTAAAGTGCTATCTTTAACTAATGAAATTACGGAAAAATGATATCTATTATAACTATAATAATAATAATACATAATATACGATATAATAATGAAAATTAATTATTATTAATTATAAATGAAATAATTATTATAACTATAATTATATAAAAAGATTTTTAATATAATATAATATAATTCCTAATAATATAATATAGATTTTTTATAACAGATTTTATAACAGTTTTTGTGTGAAATAAGCGATCGCTTAACAAACAAAGCGATGGCTTTCCAATAATAATCATTATAATATAATATAATATAATATATAATAATATAATATATAATATAATAATTAATATGCCATTCATTTTTATAGTCATCATTACAGAGAAATCTTTGTTTGTCTTTAAGCTTTACAATTAAATATTTGGTATAATTATCATTTCATAAACATTTTCATATAATAATAATAATGTCTTTTCCATCAAACGATTCCAACAAATAATAAGACAATCATTTGTATAATCATTTTTAAAGAACTGTTTCATTTTGTATGTGTTTGTCTAACAATTAAATTTTGCAAAAATAAAAATACATTTAATATTAATATAATATATATATTTAATTTAATTTATATAATATATCTGTCATCTATATATTTTGTATTGTTGTGTATTTTGTTACATAAAGTTTTTGTTTATATCACTAGTTTCTGGTTTTTTACATTAATATAATTTTTAATGCCTTTCCCAAGATGTGGACAATAGGCGCACCGGTAATTGTGTAGACATTTGAAACAACATTAATATAATAATAATTATTATTAATACAGTAATAAGCTTATAATAATAATAATAATAATAATAATAATAATAATAATAAAATACAATATAAAGCTATAAATATAATATTATTAATATGTGAAGAATTTTTTAAAAATGAATTTGTGTTCAATTATATAATAATTACAATTAATTATATATTAATAATAAGATAATAATTAGATAAAATTATTAAACACCGGGTAAGTTAACGTTAGTAATGAAGTGAAAAAACTAATTATCAATAATAAGAAAACTTCAAGTCATTAGACATTTAGTTTCTAAAGGCATTACAATTTACACATTCAAGAAAAAACACTCAAATTATTGACAATATTATGGTCTGCAAACAAAACACATTATTTCTCGGTTTTGTCCAAACATTTCAAATGGCAGTGTTTTTCAACGGTTGTTATCTCAAACTAAAAACTTTTTTGTTTGTTGTTTTTCTCACAAATATTATTTATATACCTATATATATATCCCTTTTCAGTACAATTAAAGTGCAAACAAAATGTAAAATAAATGATAATTTTTGTCAATTTGTATTATTTTTACAATAAAATATCTGTTAAAATATGTTATTAAATTTTTTCTTGTATTATAATTTGTGTTTTTTTATAATTAATTTACACTATTTTACAATATAAGTGGTAATATTAAAACATAAATATTTTTGTAATAATAATTAGTTGGCATTTTTTGTATCTTAATTTGTATTTTATCAAAAGCTCAAAAATCTACATTAATTTTTTAATTCAATAATCATTAATCAAATTAAATTTAATAATAGTTAATATATTACTAATTTTGAGTGTCATGTTTTGTTTTTAAAAAATTAATACTATATTAACATTAAATATTTCAGAGAAAATATTGTACTCATTTTTTTCAATAAATCATTTCAATCAATTAAAACATATATAGCCATTATATCATTCATATATATACTTATATCAATATACCAATACATATTTAGTAATCAAATATTTTAAAGTAACTTATAATTAAATCTTTAGAATCAGTTTTGATTCAAATATACTCTAAATTAATAATTTTATCTTAAAACTGGCCATAAATTTTTTATATACTAATTTGAAAAAACTTATTAATATGTCTAAATCTTTTAATTAATTTTGCAAAATATTTATAAATTAATTTCAACTCAACGACACCTCATTTGAAATCATTACGTTTTTTATATAAAATGTTTTCTGTTATATACTAATACTAATTATCATTAATTCATGAGTGTTTGACCCACACTTAAACGTTTTTTATTCATATAATTATAAAAACCTAATTTTTTCATAACGTTGTATAATTAACAGTGTATTCTAAATAAATTTTAATTAACAAATAACCAATTTTAGTAAAATAATTGATAAAAATATAATAAATATTATGGTCGGAAATGAACAGGTGTTTTGATTGGCGACAATTTTTCATAAATCTATTTTTTAAAAAGTGTTTCAAATGTTTAGACAGATATAATATCATATGTTTTACGTATTTTAAAAATTATATTATTTAACAATTTATTTATTTTTTCAAATTAAGTAAATCTGTCCTATTTTACGCTTATACTGTATTTTATGTTAAGAAACGAAGATTGTTATCTTTTTTAAAAAATAATAACAAGATAAGGATTTTTAACAAAAAATATCTATAATTAAATTACATAGTTGTTTAATTAATATGTTTATATAATATATGATATAAATTTACTTTATATGCAATTTGTTATAATTACTAATAATAACCGGTATCTGTTTCATTAATATTAATAAATACATGCTATTTTACAATATAGTAAAATTAACAAGATGAAATATTCGATGAAATGTAATGAGAAATTAAAATAAACATAATAATAGTTAAGGATAAAAATTGTTTCAACATATTTTGTTTATGTATATGTATTATATGTTATCCCTGAATTCAAAGCGTTACCATCAAAAAAAAAAAACATTTAAACAAACATTCAATGAGTTTTAAAAATAACTATGAAATTAAAATCAATTAGAAACAGTTCTCTAATAAAATATATAACTATATATATATATATATATAATATATATATATTATTCAAACCAAGACATCTTTGCTTCTCAACAGTTAAAAATACATCAAATTTGAGTAATATTTTAAAGACCACTATTAATAGTGCACATTATATAACAATCGATTAATTATATATTATACATAAACCAATAAAAACCATTTTATAATATTACACTTAAAAACCGGGATTACATTCAACTATCAATATAAATTTATATATGTATGTATATATCATATATTTATGTATATGTGTCTGATTTAATAAATGAGTTACAAAAAAAATTATTTGAATCTCATTAAAAATGGATTTTAGTTGATTGACTCTTCAAATAAACTTATGATTATTATAAACAATGGTTCGATAAAATTTTTTGTCGCACATAAAGTGGCCGTTCGTGAAGTGATTATTAAATTATTTTGTTATATTATACTCAAGTCTTTGTCAAATGTGTTGAAAAGTAAATTATTTGCACATAAGCTAAGCTAATAACTAAAGTCTCATTTAGATCCACCGCCAGAGCCAGTGTTTGACTGTGTTGTAGCGCCGGGATCACCACCGCTTTGAGAGCCACTGTTGGCCCCACCCGACGGCTTTTCAGAACCTTCAGCCATTTTGTCGACATAATCGGAGAATACATCCCTGAACTTCGCCCACGACTTCTCTGGAATGGTTATCGACGAACGAAAGTTACTCTTAACCTAAACAACAGTTCAAAAACAACAACAAATTATTATATTACCGACGTATGGCAACAGCCTATCAATTATAATACCTCAGAGATACGCATATAAATGCCTAAATTATTCTGTCCGATGTCAAAGAAAAATTTCTTGTTCTCCACTCGCATATGACGTCCTTCAGGTAGTTCTCCCTTAAAACCTATTTTTAACAAAAAAAAAATTATTTTCAACTAATTAAATCTAAACCCTATTACGTAAACAAAACAAAAAAGTTTGAATAGGTTTAGGAAAGCATTGAAAATGCAAACAAAACAAGTAATGTCTACTTGAACCACTATTTTCCTCCCGACCTCCATCATCGATTCCAAATTCTTCCAACAGATCCGTCAGTGCATCCCTAAACTCGATCATTCCCTGAGCAGGAATAGCAATCTGCGATCGGGGACCACCTCTTGATATAGTTTGAGAGACCTGATTAAACAAATTTATTAGTTTACATAAAACCATTATAACAGTCAATATGAACCAACCCGTAGAAATCTTCCCCTATTGTTCTCTTTGAGGTCCAAATAGTATCTTCGGTTATCTTTGACCATGACTTCCGATTTTAGTTTACCATCTTCGGGCAAGTTATCCGGATTGGGCGGACCTAATGAGTTGTAGTGACCACAGGAATTCATGATTATATGATCGCAATTAAGGTTTTTTAATATATATTTTTTGTTTCAATCATTAAATCAAATACCCTTTTCGTCTATTAATTGATGAAACAAACATCAAAATGAGTAAAACCTAAACCGTGACTATAAAACAAAAAACAAATAACAAAATCAATTACCCAAAGAGGCATAGAGTTCGCTAAAAGCAGATAAATGGTCTCTAAATTCTGCGGCCGTAGACATGGCTAACAGTAATCGACTTTTTCTTCCGGCGGCGCCCACCTACCAGTTAACACATACAGACATTTAAAATCATTTTTACAACAATAGCGATAATCCCAGTTAAATGATACCTCAGCCACTTTAATGAACCGACCCCTCCGGTTCTGTTTGACGTCTAAATAAAATCTCTTGTGCTGTATTTGCAACATTTTGGTCGCCAACTCCTGTTCCACGGGCTGACCACTTGCCTGTCCTCCTCCTCCGCCGCCGCCTCCTCCTCCTGTCGAGGAAACTAAAGTTGATCTCATTGTTAACTTTAAGTTTATCTCAATTGTTTAATAATACAACAAAATACATACATTCATTATCACACATAAATATCTCATCAAAAATTAAATATTAGATTTAAGTGCATTTTATCACCAAAAAACATTGTACAACAAGTATTACAGTCAATCGACACATTACAGTACATAATATGTACTACATATCGTAAGTATTGCAAAATACTATTTAAGTAGTTATTGATTATTAATTTCAAGCAATCAATGAAACAATAACTGTTTATCTTATTACTTTATTATAGTTTATATTTATTTCATTTTTAGATTAATAAAAACATATCCCAATTTTTTTTTGCATAACTGAATATTAATTTCTGTGTTTCTTATAGTGTAATTAATTAAGATTTTATAATCAACAATATTTAAACATTATAAATACTTTATGCATATTATTATTTCTTAAGAACTAATCTCAAGTTATAATTAACTATAAAAATAACATAAACAACAAATTTATTATTAAATAAACTATAGATAATGTCCATATGTCATATATAGCTATTTAATTACTAACTAAATAATAATTAAAAAAAATTAATTTCCTATAATTTTATGGCAAATAATTTTTGTTTATAAAAGTTAACAATAGTTGGATAAGTTTTGTTAAACATGAGGTCAATTTAATTCAATTTTCCAATAAATAACTAAACGTCAAAAATAAGTATTATACATATTATTTATATTGTTCAGTGTTTAATACAAAAAACCAGTTTTAATGCATTAATATACCTTATTATTAATAATAACATTTTATATCATTTTTTGTTAAAATAATTATTAATCTTATCTATAAAACCCTTTCTCAAAAGATTTTTTTAAAATTGCATATCAATTAGTATTTGATGTTTTGCAAAAATAGGTCATTTTTATTAATTTTAAATATTAATTAACTAATTTAAAACTACGAGCAATATGTTATTATTATAATTTGATTTAATTTGTGCACATATTTTAATAATATCATATAATTCATGTTACACCATTTACAATTTTATATAATTCAAATCAATAAACATTTAATGTATTTTTAATTGGATAAAATAAATATTTAACATATTAAACAATCTTATTGCGGTTATATCACTAATACCTTTTATTTAGTAATATTATATTTATACAACACGGTGTGTCATATATTTTATAAATAATTCATATATTAACATGTTCAATTTTATTGGATATTACAAAACATACTATCATTTAAAAAATGATTTACAAATTTACTACTAATTTAACCAATGTTTTTGATGACTTTGAAATATTAGGAATTTGTTATCAAAAAAGTTAATAAATTTCGGTTACAAACTAGCAATCAATTACATGAGTCGGACTTAAAAACATAAATATTTTGAATATAAATACTGTATATAAATTATAATGATATAATAATAATAATAATATTAATAATTTGTGTGCATACAAAACATATGATTACATTTAATATATTAAAAAATATGTATTTATGGGGTTAAACAACATACTAATGAATTAGAGATTTGCGATCACGACTTGAGTATATAGTATTGGGTCGTCGAGTCATTAAACTTATCATAAATAGCTTATAAATTTCACCCTTTCCCACAATTGTCTCAATGTATATCAATTTAATATATCTAATATATATATATATATATATATTGTTTTTATTACAACACAACACTTGTGTATTATACATAATGTATAACCATATAGCATACATATGATATGTATTATAGATAAACCAATTTTTACTGATACAATTGTACTATATTTTTTTATTATAATATAGTAAATGACCTTGTTCTACATGCAATACCAATGTCATACAATATATCATTTAGTAATATTTGGTACATAACTTAGATATTAATTAATATTTCACAAAAAAAATCTATTCAAACATTTTCATTTAGTTCATTTCAATTGGTTGTATAAAAAACACATAACCATTCAATTTAATTTCTACAGCTATTTGTCAAAAAGCGTAACAATAAATAAATAACATTTTGTGTTAAATGACAAAAACAATAAAAAATATTATTTTATTTTACAAAATATTTTGTTGAAAAAAACATTAAGAAATAAAACTTGAAAATGTAAATTTTGGGTCCTATTAACTCATTAGGAGTTGTAGTTTAACTAAATTAAAGTTAGATTGCATAACAATGTTGTGCCATAAATTGAGGAGAAAATAACGAGGTATTCAATGGTTTGGCATTTTTATTGAAAGGTAAGGTAAGGGTTGTGTTATTATAGTATTTGAGAGTTAAAGTCAAGAGCAGACAGTCATTGACCGAATCGACTGAGTTTTGTCTGAGGACTGGCATAATGTTTAAACACAAACAATAGCTAACATTTTAATAATAATTTTTGTGCCAAAGGATTGAAGAGACCAGAGAGTCGTGAGTTATAACAATTTAGTACTCAATATACTGTATATTCAATGGTATACTAAAACATCTATCATAGCTTCTGTATGGTTGTTAAGGTACTAGTATTAGATTGAGAGAGAATTCAAATAGTGGGTCATATATTAAAAGGCACACACATTCCTAACATATCAACACAAGTTGCTATCTGAGACCCCAAACCATTTGACTTCAATCATAGTACCGACCCTTCACTAAATTTTTTCTCCAAAAAACTCGTTCATTGAGTTAAAAAAGTCAATGAATGAGACGAGTAGTTAGGCTTATAGTTAGTTCCGGCTCTGAATATTTAATCAATACTATTATGTAATAAATTATACATCAATTTTAAAGACATCACTGAATTGGGGACAACTTGTGATCAACGCTTTTACTCTTCAGTTCATTAAAATTAACAAAAATAATCACACAATAAGGGTAATCATTAAATCATTTCAAATTCATAATAAAAGTACTGTATATACAGTATATATATTACAAATATTTATAATTTGTTAATCTATCAAAAAATATATCAAAATATATAAAGTATTTTATTACATTATATATCATAATTTAACATGCAATTCAATCTATTTTAAAATGTTATATTTTAAACAGTTTTTAAACAACTGTTTTGATGAGGAAGTTATTCAATAGAAAAAAATAAATATTACTATTTGATTGTTATTATTATTACTATTATTTTCAAATATGTTTTGTTGATAAAATTGAAAAAACAAACAGTTAAATGTTTCCGTGTATTACCAAATATCAACAACAAAAAACTGAAACAAAACTTATATACTAAGTATTATACAATACTTTTTAAAAAATAATTTTAATAATTATTTCTAACTAATCATTTGAATTACCACACTATACCTAACCTCTAAAAAACACAATAATAATGATCTGAGAATTAAAATGAAATGAGTGTTAATTAAATAACAATTAAAAAATGTATTTCAAACATATTTTTGGATTAGGAAAACAAACTATAGTTTGGTTAGTAATTAGAAATATTAGATGAGATGTCAAAAAATAGTGAAAAACCCATCTTTTAAAACATGAGGAAGTCTTCAAATAATAGTCATATTGTATGACTTCAGGCGTTATCACAAACCAGTTGTCGAGTGAAAACAAATTTCTCGATAACTCTATTATATTCGGCACTAAATTCTATTTAATACTATTATAAATGTATTTTCTTTTTAAAAAGTCTCCAATTATTCGACAATAAATAGTTTTTTATGGCAACAAAAATCTAAATACATAACCAAATCATTCAAACATATTTAATACTCGTGTCTTAAAAACATTTCAATGCAAAACATTCAACATTATTGTCAGTGATATATTAACTTAAAAATATTACAAAAATAAATAACAAATCGACTAAACATCAAAGTTATTAACTTAAATTAACTTATATTTCAATTATAAAATCATTTTAATATATACTAAACATAAAAATCAAAGCTTATGATAATCAATATTGTAGATTCATCTTAAAAATAATAATTTACTAAAAATTGATACAATGTTAAGATTTACATATAACTAGAATTGCCAACTAATCAATAATTGAGGGTAAATGACATTATAAATAATTTATATTTTCAAATACAAAAATTGTCAATTTGTCACAAATTATTACTATTTTCATAATTGAACACTAATTCAAAACAAATCCTATAATTAGATTATTTATATTTAAATTGTTTACATAAGAAATGTTTAGTTAAAATTATTTTCAATTTAAAAATACCAAAGTATTCAAACAAATTTTGTATATTAAAAAAATATTTTGATTGTTAACAAATGTTTGTCACTTAATTAATACATTTGTAATATTTTTTATATAAATATCAAAGTATTAATTGAATAAACTTTATTAAATAATAATTTTATAATAATAATATACTAATTAAATACATTTAATTAAATATTAAATTAAATAATTACATTTTAAATTAACTAATTGAATGTCATTATGAAAATATATGATAAATCTATACTTATTTCAACAATTTTTTTTAAAGTTAAAAATAAGAAAAATTTACAAAAAAAATAATTAATTTAAAAGTAAAATTATTCATATATTAATATAGATAGTAATAATATTATAAGTAATTATATAATTAATTTAAAAATAGAAATGGCATTCAATATGTAATACATGTATGCAATGACTATATTGTATAAAAAGGGGTGAAAGGATTGGCGCCATCTTATTATGAGCTGTAAGGGCACACATATAGAGAATGGGGGGACAGTTGGCTATAATATGTTTGTGAGGGCATCAGTAGCTAAAAGGCTGGTTATATCTGTGCAGAGGTTATGCAATGGCAGCGTAACACCCATTGTAAGCGTTGACGGCATTTATGGTTATAGCACTACAAATGGCATTCAATATTACTATTGACTCTAACATTACATAAGCGCCTATTGAACGCCCAATACTTGCATTTAATTATAAATGATTTAATCAAATATATTAGCAATCAGTTGGCTCTCACACTGTGTGACAAAAATTAGTCAATCATTAACTATAACTAAACAACTCTAACATTACATCATTATTAGTACAAAAGTACACCAATTGATAGACATATAACTCATAGACAAATGACTTTTGAGATTAGATTTGTTTGTAGTTTCAAATTAAACACATATTAACTGATAAATGATAAGCACTTTTCAATCAATGTTTTGATGAGACACTAAACATACCATTAATTATAATTATAATCAATAAACAAAACCAATCTATTAATGAATCAATTAATTACTTGACGTCTGATGAGACTCATCGCCACTCCTGTCGTCGGACATGTCTTCGCCGATATTGGATATGTTCTACTCTTCAACTGTATTAACAATCGTTGGCTTTTTGTATGACTTGTCTGTCCAATGTATGGATGGCCACAATCAGCTAATATATGTAACTCAAGGTCATAAATGTTGTGACATATCATAAAAGTTATTATTCATTTGAGAGTAATTAGTGTCCAGTGATGACCACTTCGGCACACAAAGCACTGGTTTAGACCTTAACGGTAATCGGGTTAGTGATCGGGTAATTCAATCACTAGTCAACTCTTGTTTCGATGGATGAGCCGTTCAGCCAAAAACAACAAATGTCGGCCTACAGTATGTCCACAACAGGCTGTCCTCCGGTCGTCTCTAACGAAAGGCCACACAATCCTTATGGTTGGCCAGTGGTGCGCACAGTGATGACCATCGGGTTAATCGGCTCTCTCACCTCACTGTCTCTCTCTCTTTCTCTCTCAATCTGTCTCTCTCTCTCTCTTTCTAACACTAACAGCACTCATACATACAACACATTCCCACACTTACAGTGCACTACAACAGCAACACTACAACATTGACTGACAATCACTTGAATGCTTAGCCAAACAGACACTCAATGTGTGCGCCACTCATACAACACATACACCACAACACTACTGCTACACACAAACCAATACACATGCGTTACAATACATACCATAAATAACATACAAATTAATATTTCTTTTTTTAATTAAACACTTTTTATTCAACTTTTACTTAATAATCAAAATAATCAAAAGACAAATTAATTTATTCATTTTCTTCGCTACGGATTCTTGCGTTCGGATTTGTCAACCGAATGGCCAACTGTTTGGCCCTTTCGACGATACTTTTGCGCTTACGGGACGACACGGCGTGAGCGATCTCAGCACAGTATCTTCTATTGGTCATCATCAACACTTCCAGTTCCTGGACATACATCAAAACATATATCATTAGATACACTGATATTATCAAAGTTAGACACAAAGCATCATTTGATAGACTTATAATCTAACAAACCTTTACATTATGAACCAAAACTTTTCGGAAGCCGTTGGGCAACATATGACGTGTCCTTTTGTCTGATCCGTAACCAATCTTCGGCATCAATATCTGACCCTTAAATCGTCGGCGAACTCTGTTGTCAATACCCTTAGGTTTTCTCCAATTGGGCTAATAATCCAAAAGACATGAGTGGTTATTAAATCAACACTAAAGAGGTGATCAATAACTTACTGTTAGTTTCTTATAGCGATCCGATTGGTGGCGGCGGAACCGTTTGGTTCGCTTCTTGATAATATGCGGTCTATAGAGTGGTTGGACAACCATTTTTATCGGGTCTTTGATGACAATCGGCGGTCAATTGACTGGTAATTGACTGCAGTTGTGATTCACGTGTAAAATGGCTAAACAGGAAAGGGATGTCTAAATGGGTCTCACAATCAATGATGAGATGTTTGTGTGTTTAATGTTGTTGTTTGACAACTGTTTTATCAGTCGACAGCCCAGACATGAGTTCATTGTTGACACTCATTGATAGTCAATCTCTTCATTAATTTGTTCAAACAGTTAGTCTAATCATTGTTTTTCATATAATATATATATATTGACGTCAAATGCTGTACCAAATGTGTGATAGTAGACAACAATTGACACAAATTACTTAATTTGGTTTCAAGAAAAAAAGCCAAACACTTGTTAATCAATAATACTCAATACAAACAAGTTTTGTCAGCTCAAGACACTCAACACAAATATAACTCATTACTTGTCCATCGATGATGATGTCAGACGATCGCAACTTTCGCTACTTTTACTACGAGAAGGTTGGCTTCCGTGGCGTTGAAGAGAAGAAGTCATTGGATATACTTTTGACTGAAAAACCTAACGATTTGTTGTCCAAATTGTCTGCATTTGCCCATCGCTTCCCAATCCCGGGAATGTATCGCAAACTTATTTGGAAACTACTTTTGGATGTCATGACTGTCAACGAATTGCAGTCTAATTCAGTGGACAACTCTTTTGTCTGTCGAGAACAACTACACCATTGCTATGACCTGAGACGTGCTCTCGAGATAATGCTTTACACCGACAACAGTACCGGACATTCAAAGCTTATGGTTTTGATGTATTTCCTTGAATTTGCGGAATTAAACATTAATATCGACAAACAGGTCGGCAGTATATCACTGTATAAACATTTTATTGTCGATTATCTATAAGTTTATAACATATTTTATAAAACAGTTTCAAACAAATGAAGTCAAAGATCTACTAATGATTAGCGATGTTTTTGCCAAAGAATTTATTGACGATAAAAACAAAGCTGAAGACAATATCGATGATATTTATTGGTTATTCAGAAATCTTATATCAACCGTCAGAAACAACTTTTACGCACTCATTGATACTGTAAGAGCTGACTATAAACTATTGTAAAATAATATAAATATGTTATGATATTTCCCGCATCGGTTAAAGTATGAAAAATTTATCAATTGTTTGGCTCAAGAGGATCGCAGTCTTCACTGCCATTTAGTCAAAATAGGTATAATTAAAGTACAAACTAATCAAATACCGACAAATTCTTGTGTTAAACTAAATTACAAGAAATACAATACTGAAGAATATCGACCTATTATTACATGGTTTGTCAGGTTTTATGCGGGTATTATTGATCATCACTGTCTCATTAGGTATTTTTTTATTTGATTACCGGTTTGTTTAAATTTTTATAAACATTTTATAAATACTGTCCTATTTTTCTAAAAACCCATAGAATATTTGACAAAGTTATCGGTGCATTAATTTACGGGAACCGACCGTTTGCAGTGTTGGGCTCATTAGGAAAGGCCGTATTATCTCAATTAAGAACTGAATTATTAAATATGAATACATGTGAAGACATTACAAAACGTTTACTAACAGTACGTGATTTTAATGAACATACAGTATATTAAGTGAAAATATCTAATTTAGTGAATACTACAGTACTGTATATATATTTTTGAAAATTAATGTCATTTAATATGATTACAGCCCTTAACATTGGAACAGTCAGAGGAAGTCGTTATTAAAGCGTTGACGCCTTAAGAAATCATTAAATATGTTAGATATAACTATAGACTAAATTGTAATATTTGTTAATTTCTTAAAATTAATTATATATAAAGTCTATATTATTTAATTACAATTTAAAATTACTAGTCATCTACCGGTAATGATCGACTCGAAAAATTGTTTATACAATATTAATTACCGTAGCATTTAAATTCACTTTAATCATTATTTTATAATTTTTTTTAATAAAAATAATGTAAATTATAATTACAAAAGTTTATTAATGTTACTATTGTTTGTGTGTCCGGCAAATATACCCGCAAATAATATGAGTCCCGTTTGTTTGTCCATTAAAAAGAAAATGAATGGATGATCAGCTTCAAAATAAGCACCACCTGAGACGCCAACCCTTTCCACATTAGTAGCACTGACAGCTGCACCTACACTTCCCTGTTCATCAATTTTGAGGATAGCCTTGTGGAGCAGTTCATCAACATTGAGTGAACCCGTAGTTCTGGAAAACATAGAACTTAGGTCTGCGGCGTCCGAGAAGAGACTTTTGAGACCGAACTGACTCTTGAGAACTTGAGTAACCTTAGGCATGGAATCGATGCTAAATTTGGGTATACGTATGTTGACACCTCCGTGTCCAACCTTTCTCATCGATGCAATCAAATTGGTTAATGCGGTTGAATTCAATGATCGCAACAAATTAAATATTCCGTTACTTTCGTTGGGAAGCAATAAGAATAGTCCTAAACGTTGGGAACGGTAGGGTAACTCAATGATCGATGATTGCATGTTCTGGTTGTAAGCATAGGCTACTGGCATTTGACTGACCATCATTTGTACACGAGTTGTCTGTCCATTTGTCAATTGAAACCAAGCATTGGATTCAGTATCTGCCGCATCAAACTTGTAATGCCAATCGCCTTTATATTTGATGGCATTTATTGCCATCAGTGATGTCAATGGAGACGGAGGGGATGTCAGAAAATTGCTTATAAGGCCGTGAGTTTGCTTCTCTATCCAATCATTTATGGTAACTAACACTTCCTGAGAATCTTTGGCAAAGTTCATTGGTCTAAGTTGAGAGTTGTGATAATGAGCCAATGCTAATGAATAGGTCGGTGCTATTGATAAGTCTTCCTGATAGAAGATCTGGTTGGCCACAGATAACGATTTTCCGACATTGATATCTTCAATCAGCTGTTTAACCGCCTGTCCAAACATTTCATGTGTATTAGAAAATGTTGAGTTGTTTTCATCGGGAGGTATATGCAAAATGTTAGCAATTTCTTGTTTGGTTTGACTTCTGGCACCCAAATGGAGTTGCATTAAAACCGATTGTATACTAAAGGGAGAGAAGACCAGTGATTCCATAAGCCTTAGGTTGACATTATAGCTCTGTGTCATCACAAATGAGTTCAACAGGTCTAATGTGAACTGCATGTGTCCGGAACCGATCCATCCCTTTGCTTGACTACTATTCCGATTGTTGGCTAAATGAGAGCTTACTTTAGAGTTAAGGTTGAATGAGAAACAACATATCTGACCAAATGCTGCAAAAGTCACTATTAATGTCAGGATATAACTGAATTGATTGTCCATAACTTTTTTGTTGCAAAAACTTATAACATAAAACTTATTAAACAAATTATTTTAAAGCATTTTATGTTTGCATAAGAGATGGCTAACTAATTGAGAGCATAAAACTAACTAACAGTTCAGTAATATCTTTTTGCATCAAAGTTGTCGAGAATTTCTCTCTCAAAAAGCGAGTGTTTTTTGCATTAATTCAAACAACTTGAATGAACAACACATCCGATAAAAACTGAGCACTGGATTAGCACTTGGGATCAGTTGATTGGTTGGTCCAGAGTTCAGGTCATCGACATGTCGTCGAGAGTTTAAATCAAAAGTAAAACCAGTAGTTATAAGACAACAACCTTAACAAGGAATACCTAACTGTAGTTTATATTCAGTTATTTTTTTTAGTGTAAAATATATATAAATACTGTTTGAGGATATTTGCAAATATGTGAAAGCTTTCAATGAAAGAGAGAGTTATCTAAAATTAGAAATAAAACTTTAATTCAAGTTTTTCCTTATTGTTTTGACTTAAATTTTATTTTTACTTTTTATTGCACTTGTAATTATTTGATAAAATTAGAATTTTTTGTATTATTTATATTTTTAGTTATTAATGCAAATAACATAAAACTATTTAAAGTAGAGATTATGTCAATATTTAATTTAGTTATTTATGTTATTTTTAATTATTAATATTACAAAAATCATTAAGAAATTAATTGTATGAATTAATTATGTCAATAAAATTTTAATCACTTAAATATACTAGATTGTTTAATAATTGCAAAATTTTTTAATTTTTTTAACAAAAATTGATAAATTAATATTAAATTAAATAATTTAAATTATAAAAATAATAATTACTAAACTGTATTGGACAGTAACTAAATAACTATAATATAAAAATAAATATTTAAATTAAATGTTAAAATACAATGAACTTTGAATGCAATTCACTTAAATGTATAAAAGGTCGTGACATGAGTTAAATAAATGATTTAAAAATTAAATGCCAATACAATTGCTTTCAATATTTTATTCACAAAAAATACTAAATTTGACAAATAATAATTAATATAAAGTGGAGTATAATTTGTTTAGTACTTTTGTTAATACATATATAGCCATCACAGTGTAACAAACAATAGTTAACTATTAAAATACATAAACCTTTTTTTAATAATAACTTTTCCTGTAGAGCAAAGCCATTTGGGAACCGGACGGAAATCATATCATATCTATATTGTATTTACAGGTATAAGTTATTATAATTTATTTTAAAAAACTTTATAAATTTTTTAAATATACAAAATAACAATGAAAAAATAGTTTACTTATTTGTCGTCAAACTCAACGAGAATGTCATTGCTTACACCAATTAATTTCTAGTTACCGTATATTTCATTAAAAAAAGGTTAACAACTGTGTGTGTGTGTGTGTGTGTGTGTGTGTGTGTGTCTATACAATAGCTTTTTTTTAAAAATAAAACATTTTTATATACTATAGAAAAAATTTTAAAAAATGTTTAGTACCTACACATTTGTATAAATATATACTATATATTGAATATATATATATATATATATATATATATATATATATATATATATATATATATATATATATATATATATATATATATATATATAACAAATGATATGATACGTGTATTGATTTGTGAAAAAGGAGTTGAATTGTGTTTAACACATAAATATATATGAAATATATTTTGATGTCATATATATTGTATGGAAACGCAATGCATAACAAAAGTTGGCTTTCATTTTCAGTCAATGCGTCGACCATTGAATGCAATGTCAAGTTTTAGAGCAGTTTTTTAAATAATATAATAATAATGTATAACAATATTTTAATGTTTAATCTTTTATCCATCAACGCCTATACAGTGTATTAAATTGTAAACTTATTGCTAAAAACAATGTTTCAATATTTGACGGCTTAATATATAAATAAAATGTTATCATAATGTGTATAAATAAACAAAATACAAAACTATTTTAAACTATTATCATAAAGTTTATGTGCATTTTCATCATTATTTAACTGATCTTATTTAGTGATACACTCTCTACTATATCGCACACCTGAATCCTCAGCATTTCATTTACATTTACCATTTGGATAACAGTGTCTAACTATTTAATATAATATGTAGTATTGAAAAAAACTATGATATCTCCTAATCAACAATCATAAGCTATAGTATATTAAATATATATCAATAATGACTAAATATTTCATGTGTTTTGTTGCTTATATTTCACGTCTGAATGATCTTTTCATAAGTGACGCCTATTTTGTATATTAATTAGAAATAACTGACAATTATTTTAAAATATATATTTTTTTATTTAATAATACAATAAAAATTTTAATAACAACTTTTTTTTAATTAATTTTATATTTAATAATATATTGTGTTATTTTTGCGGTATATTAGCATCTCATTTGACATTTAAGTACATTTACTTTAATATATTAATATATTATTAATTCTTTGGAGACATAATCTATTATTAGTGTTTTGTTTTTAAGGAAATTATCATATTATATATTTCATCACTATTTATAAGTAAGTAAAGTAGTAAACTGTTAAATAATTTAAATAACTTTTAATTAAATAAAATAATTAAAATTTATTTATTAAATATGATTTAATTACAATTTAAGTTATTTATTTATGAAACAATATATAAAATTTAATATAAATTAAATATTATATAATTATAAAAACTGATGATTTTTATTAAAACTTACATGTAATTTCATAGATAAATAATTTTAAATTGCAATTGAGCCTGGTTATATAAAAATATATTAAATTAAATAAACTTTAATTATATAATATAATTATATAATAATTATTTTAAGTTACACTCTAATTAAAATAAATTAACTTAACTTTTATATAAGATATTTAAGTTTAGTTATATACGATATATACTGTGTATACTTTATATAATATTACTTAAATTTAAGAATTAATGATAATATTACTATTTTATATTTATTAAAATAAGATATCTTTATAAATTAATTTTTTTTGTTATAAATAAAAAAATAAATAAACGGCTTTATAAATTCATAATAAATTTTTACCAAATTATTACAACCTTTTATTTATTAGCATATTAATAAATAAATGAATATATTAAATACATTAATTTATTAATTAAATCATTAATTAAATATATTAATTTTATATACCTATATTAAACAATTATTTTTATTTACATCGAATTATAATATTATTTCTATAATTTAATATTAAATTGCTGTAAAATTAAATTTTGTGTTAAAAATATTTACAATAGAATCTTTATAAATTAAATTTTTATATTAGATAACCAATAAAACAAAATATACAAACATATAAAATATAATTAAATAAACTGATTTTTTCTAATATCTTAATAGTTGTAATCTATTAAAAACAATAGCACACATACTATCATAATTATTATAACAATTTATTTTAATGTTTATTTCATAATCATTGCCATTGCGATCATACAATCATTTCGATGGGCAACGGGTGCTATAGTTGTAGACCTGATTGACTAACTTATATTGTATGTGCCCACAGAAAAACTAATCTAATAAATGCATTATTATTGTGAATTTGGTTATTATAGTAAAAGTCAATTACCGTATAATTTTGTTAGTTATATATTGTATAAACCTTAATATAAATCAATAACATGTAAAAGTTTTGCCACACAATGATTTTAAAATTATAATGAAAATCATAACGATTTATAGCCTTATAATTTGTGTGAGTTAGCTTATATAAATTTACTTTTTTATTTACTATACAAATTACAATCATTTCAAGTAATTTATCCGTTATAGCTATAAACTCATGTGATTAATTTTAGCTAATATATATAATATACATTTTAATAATTATTTCATAGTAAATTCAATTATTTATTACTTATATGAAACAAAACTATTGTAAGAATATACAGTATATAATAATATGTAATCATTATTTTGTTAATATATTTTATATAAAATTAAGAAACATTTTATAAATAGGAATTTGTTTTTTGTTTGACTATTGTTTTACGTTATTTTTCTACATTTTTATATTAATAAATTATATCACTTCATGGATATTTCTTAGTATAATAAACTATATTATATAGATAAGCAATATATTGGTTTGTCATTTTATATTAAACTAACATATTATATGTAAAATATGTCATAAATTTATAAATGGATAAAAAAGAAAGTTCTTATAATAATTTTTCCTAAATTGATTTTCCTATTAAATACCTTTTATTCATCATTTTATTTATTTATATTAAATATAAATTTTTTATTTTATTTAAAGTTTAAAAAATGAAGACGTTTTCTCATATTTTTAAAAGATATTTGTATGTTTGTCATGAATTTTTATATATTTAATATGATATATATATATATAAATTCATAGTATAATAATTAGGAAATATAAAAAATAATTTTTAAAAATTTTATATAAAGTTTTATTTGCGCATGTATAAATAGATAAAAAGTTAAAATTGTATTATAATAATACTGTATGTAATATAAAGTTAATAATAATATTTTTATAGAGTTTTTATAAGCTATTTATTTATTGAATTATAGTTGTTGTTATACTATTGATATATAGTTTTTTCCTTTAAAATCAATATAATGTATATATATATATATATATATATAGTACAACTTATGTATGTTAAGTTATATGTTAAACTTATAACTTATACAGTATATTGATTTATTTATTTATAGTATTAAAATACATTGTTTTACACTAGTAAAAAAAGTATTATTTGTATTGTATAACTTATTCAAAAAATTTTGAAAGTTTGTTATGTAAAACTACTGTATGAGTGTGTAAGTGGGTGAGTGGGTGAGTGGGTGAGTGGGTGAGTGGGAGAGTGGGTGAGTGGGTAGATTTTTTTTAAAGTTTGTGATAAATTAAGTGATGAATTAGATAATCTATTCAAACACAACAATAAGATATAATTTTTAAAAGTGTGTTTTGATAATGTTTAATAAAATTCATAATCGGTTATATTTATTTGTATTGATTGCTTAATTTCTTATTAATTCTTTCATAAAATACCTTGACAATTTTTTTATAATCCCTATATAAAAATTTTACAATTTTAACATTAGTATTTTTTTTATTCAAAAACAATATTTCAATAAAAATGCTAAAACAAATGTTTTTAAATTGAATTGTACCTTGGTTGTATTTTATATCTTTAATAGTTTGTTTAGATTTGCATTACATAAGCGCTTTTAGTTTATTTTATTATAAGTTCTCATAAAATTTAAATTAAACTAGCTCATTTAGTTATTAAGATATTTACCAAAAATATTTACACATACCTACAGTAACATAAAGTAATTTCTAAGTTTGTTTAATATTTTCATATTATTGTTGGTATACTTTTAAAATTACAAAAAAAGTGAAATACTTTATACACGAATAGATATTAGTGTCAAACTAGAGTCCAAGGATTCAAATCATTAATGTCTTAAATAATTATTTCCTTTCAATGTTAACCAAAATTTTTATTTGCATTAAACTTTAAAAATTGAAAACAATTTATATTATTTCAATAATTAAAATGATATATATTTATATAATGACATTTTTTGTAAGAAACAAAACATTTTAAAACATAAGTTTATTATAGGACATCTTTATTTTTTAGAAAATAAATGAATTATATAATTTTAAAAATATTAAATATTTTTTTGTATAGAAAATTAAAATATTCATTAAAATAAGTACTAACATAAAAAATAACAAAAAGTACAAAATATAGTGAGACAAAAAAAATATTGAATGTTTTAATTATTGATAAAGAAAACATAATATTATGAAAACTGCATGAGATAATCAAATTTTGTAAAACTAACCTAAAAATATTTTTTAAATAATTGTAAACGTGTTTTGTTTTTTAAAAAAAATAATGATATTGATAATTTATACAGAATACTAGTAAATTTTAGCATAGTGATATTATTACATTGGATACAATTTCCATACAAATGTATCAAGTTAATTATATTTATAACTTATAAATCATAGATTTTTATGAAAATATAATATTACTACAATATATATACAATGCTTATGAAATACAAGTTTATAATACTGTATATTGAAAATTACAATATAATTAAAACATAGTCTATTTACTAATTAGTCTATAAATTAAAAAAATATATATTTTAAAATACACTACAAAGATTTAAACAATAATTAAATTATTAATAGTAATTATTTCTACACTATATAAATTAATTTTTATTAATATAAAATTAGTATGAGCTACGTCAAATAGTTTTATTTAAAAATCTATTATCATAGAAATGATGAGTTTTACAACTATAGGGCTATAAAAACTATACTTTATATTTTTCAAATAAAATGTGGAATAAAAATGTCAAAATATTTATGTTTTTGATAATATTAATAATACTAATATTATTAATATTATCAAAAATTTATATTTATAATAATTTATAATTAAAATAAATTAAATTATCTATTTCTTCCAAGTTGCTAGCTAATTTAGTATTAGGCTATTGTATATTTATACAATTAAAAATAAAATAACTTATTTCTCTTGGAATTAGTAATTATTATTAATAAAAAATGTAATGTTAAAATTAATTAAAATTTTTGCTATAATTAATTAATTAATTAATCAATTATTAAATTAAATTTGTTTAAACTAATATTCTTGACTTTTTTAATATAGCTATCACTACCTAAATGAGAAATAAATGAGAGATAATCGGTAGACTTGGGAAATACCAGTGCTGTTAATATGCAATAAAAGTTATGCAATGCTCTTGAAGTGGAGTTTTACAAAGCCTTTGGCTGTGATATGTATTTTCATGACTTTATGTATCATCTGTTTTGCGGCCAAAAAGAAATTAAAATATGAATTACCAAAACTTAAAGGTTAGTTACATATATTATATTAATAATATCTATCACTAAAGTTAATGGCTATCTAAATTAGTTAATGTATTGAATAGGATGTGAACTAATTGGTTATCCAAACGCTACAATTAATGAATGCGGTTATTGTGTCGGTAGCGGTACGGGTCTGGACACGGATTACGGAAAAGATTGCGAAGGAAGTAATAAAATATTTATTTCATATTTGATATCATATAATAACAATTTGACTAAATATAGATACAGTTTATCTAATATATAATTATTAATATATATAACATTTGTTATCCATTAATAGCTTGTTTCGGTGATGCAGTCAATGATTGTGAAGGAGTGTGTGGAGGAAATGCATACATAGATGAGTGTACCGGTGTTTGCATGACTGAAGGTATGGCTATAATCATGACCTCGACATTCATTGATAATAATTGACTAATTAATAATAACGGGATAATCACACAATCATAATGAATAATTTATGCTTCACTTCCTATTTAATTGTAAACTTTATATAAAAATATTGGGAACAAAATTAGTGTGACACTGGTTTTTTAGAAAAAAATAAATGGAAAAGTTGAGCTAGAACAATTTAATTTTCAATTATCAATGTCTATACGGCTACTACAGGCATATCATTGGTTACTCTGTAAAACAGATCAATAGGAGAGTGTCTGTTCCCATATCTCACACAACTATCCAAACTCTAGTATCTATTTATTGTATACTTTTAATACTCTATTTGCTATTCGTTGCCAAATATATCAGACTTTCCTCACACATGATGTATATGTTTAGTGAGAGTCATATCTATTATCTCTTATATCATCATCTGTTGGCTTTCATCCACATCTCATCCAACTCTTGTTTGTTTGTCAATCATAAACAAGGCTATGAATACACTCTATGAGCACACAATCAACTAGACATACCTGTTCTCAAATATCAACAACAATTTAGTCTATTATTAACAATGTTTCGATAAATACAGTTTATTTTTATAAAGTATTATCTATCAAAAATTTGTTAATAAAAATAGCGATAAATATGCCGTTTAAAAATACAATAAGAGTCGATACCCCCAGTACGCCCCCAGTTTTTTCGCAATTTTTGTCAGTGACCCCCCCCTAGACCAAATAAACTTGCTTAACCCTGTATATACAAGTAACATATAATAAGTTAGACTGTGATAGATAAATCTTAAATAATTTTCATAAGATTAATTTAATTTTTGATTTATTTGTAACTAATTAATAAATGCTCATTAAAAATATGTATGTCTGGTAAATAATACAATTAAAAACTAAATTATTTAAGTTTTTTTTGCTTTACTGTTACAATAGTATTAGAAAAATATTTGTATTATGAGTGCATAACAATATATAAACAATTATCAATATTTAATTTTTTTAGTAATTAAATGATTTATGGTACTGTATTACAATATTAATTGTTTTTATTACTATAATAGACATAAATTAATTAAACAGTCATTATAAAAATGCTTAATTTTAAGTATTTATATCTCGTATCATATAATAAGTATTTTGTTTACAAATTAATTTAATTATTATAAATAATTTTTTTAACCGCAAATAATTTAATGACCGTTAATAACTTAAATTGTGTATACAAATAGGTAATTACTTTCAGTGGACAGTTTGTTTAGATAAAATAAAGTATCCAAAAAATTATTATAATTGACCAAGACACGGTTCTATATAAACTATTGATTAATGAAATTTTAAAGTTTCACCATATATTTTACAAGTTAATAGTTTTTTTTAGCTATCATATAATCATTTCTTCGAGCCTATATATCAGTGCTACACATTGCATGGATACCTAAAAATAAATAGTTGCAAAAAATCATTTCATTTATATAAATTTAACTATATATAAACCATTATCACTAATTTTGTGTCTGATTTTCAATAATTAGACGAACCGCTCAATAAAGAAGTTATTAACGGAACGGGTAATCGTGATTGTCGTGGCCTTTGTATACCACCAGAACTATCGCCACCACAACAGGCCTATGATCGGGACGAGTGTGGTGTTTGTCGACTACAAAATACAGAGAAATCAGCTTTTGTTGATTGTAACGGTAACTGTCAGCTTATGGGTCGCGAAAAAGTATCGTTGGTTTGCGGTCAGTGCGTTGATAAAAATGCCCATATAATGGACGACTGCGGTAATTGTCGTAATGAAAAGCATATCTGTTCGTGTGATCGGTAAGACCAACACAACCATAGAGACCATTGTTGTGTTAGCAAAAGCAATACCAAACAGTAACAATACGCCCTTACCTTTAATTATCATTTATATATATGTGATATATAGTGATGCCTCCATATGTGGTTGCAATGACCCAAATAACTGTTATGTTGTCAAAGCAGTCAATCCACGCGCTGTTCCCAACAATATTGACGCTAAAGTTAGTACAGAAAAAGCCAATAATTGCTATTTCATGACATATTAATTCTTTGCACTAAAAATCATTTATATGTATTCAATATTTACTTTTTTTATTATAGCTTTTACTTTTAGGATATTTTCATCCCGTAGTCAGAGACCTAAATTGTTTTCTAGAAAATGAAGTGACGGGAGATATACTATCATTTCCCGTATCATTCATTCATAAAAACAAGACCGCACTTGAATGCAATGTTAACATAAAAAAAGGTCAGTCCTTAACATTTGTTTAATCGATTTGTTGTCATATAACAGAATATATATATAATATGAATAATTTGTTTGCTATAAATAAATTAGTAGTAATTTAAATATTTAGTAAAAACTATAATCCATAGATTTGTCATATACTGTATAATTAATGAATGTTTTTAATATGTTATGAATAATAATAAAATTAATAATAATATAAATGTTAATTATTAAAAAAAAGATTAAAATGTCAAAAATATTGTAATGATTGCGCAAAAAATCTCTGATAATATTAATGTCTTTAATATACTTTATATATACTATATATATATGATAAAGTTGGTCTTGACCAATATATTTTTTTGTAACTATGTATTTTAGTTATCGATGAAATGATAAATAGTTTATAAAATATTATAGTTTATTTTTATGTACTATAGCATCACTGGTATGTGAGCTCAGGTATATACAATATCTCTAAAACTATTGATATAAAAGACAATTAATTTTAATTAAAGGCAAATAAGATTTTGTCTTTTTATTAAAAGAAATGACCGAAAAAATAATTCTTTAATTACAACGAAAAGGATAAGAGATATTTTAACCAAAGATTATAATAACAAGAAATAGTTGTATTCATTCATGTTTTCATAAATAACTTTAAACACACTTTTTTGTAGATTAAAACCACTAAAAGAGATCAACATTACAAAGATTTGATGATATTTTTTATATTTTGTAATAATCTTTCGAAAGTTATTTACAGACGTAAACAAAATAACCGGTATCTTCATCTTCATTGTTGTTTTAGTTGGAAATTATTAAAATCTAATATAAAAAACTTTTACTATTTTTTGTTTGTTTATTATACTGTATTTCTTATACTTTGAATGTAATTAAACATTTATTTTTTTGGTCATTTCTGTTACACATTGATAATAATAATATACTATATTACTATATTATATATTAAATATAGTGTAATATTTATATTATATATAGATTTTATATATTTAAATACTGGTATATATTTTAGTACTGTAATAACAATGCTATTGATTTCAGCATTTAATAGGTATAAAAAATTTCAATTATTTTAAGGTTATACTATTTTACTATAATTATTAAAATCGATATTTATATGCAAAGCTATTCTATTTAATGATAATAATATCCATAATTTTATTAATCAATAAAATTAATGTCAGAAAAATATTCATATCATTCAAATATAATATTCATTAAATTTAATAATGTTTTATAATATTATTATTAATATCTACTGTTACAGTAGTACTGTGTTATTGTGTATATTGTGTTATTAACAAACTTTGAAAGTTTGTTATTGGAAACTATTTGTGTATTTGTTTGTTAATAAGGTAAGTAAGTGGGTGAGTATGTGTGTGTGTGTGTATGTGTGAGTGTGTGTGTGTGTGTGTGTGTGTGTGTGAGTGTGTGTGTGTGTGTTAAATAAATGATTTTGTGAGTGTGATTTGTTAGAAATAAAGCGGGTAAGTATGATAAATAGTTATGATTTATCATACTTTTTAAAATTGTGTTTTTCTAATGCTATCTAGCATTTTCAACTGGTTTTTTAAATCTATAAATAATATAATTATTTCCCATTTTACATAAACAAATTTGACTACTAATTTGTCGATAATTAACAATATATAATAACATTACTATATTTTTTATTTATTGTATAAATCAAGTTTTAAACTTAGAATATGACAAATATAAGCAAATTATTAATATAAGTCAATTGCGTGATTGTAGCCATTAGTTAACTTTATTATTATTAATGGAGGGAAATAAAGATTTTTTTTGTGGATAAAATGAAACAAATATCACAAAATTGATACAAAATTTAACAAAAGTATGAAATGTTATTTAATAATAAAAACAGAGTTTTATTGTTTTAACATAAATATATAAATTTTTATATTTATTATAATACAGTATATATTTTTAATAATTAATGATTTATATATAGATCTATAGAATACCGCATATGCTTTTAGTATATATTTATTATAATAAATCAAGTTTAATAGATTTCAATGTTATATACAATAATCGGTTATAATATTGCACTTCCAATAAGTTTTCAAAAAAGTTAAATTATCTCTTGAATTACTGCTGATATTATTTAGTTATTATAATTATGTAACAAATAAAAAAATGTTGCATTTAATTTATGAACAAATATAAGCAATTTTATTGGAATTGGATATTTTAATGAAAATATTGAATGATTTTTAAAGATTATGTCTACAAAAATCAAATTTATATATATATTCTTATATATACTGTAAATAAAGATTTATTTTCTATATTTTTAGCTGCAATAATACAATTAATTATTAATGAATTGTTTTAGCATTGAAATTGATTGCCATTTGTTTAATATGACATTTGATTTGTTATAATATGATTTCAGAGGGAAGTTATGTCATAAGTTTGGGAATCATCAAGAATTCAATCAATTCATTTCGTAAAGACTTTATTAGGCTTATAGTCTATGATCCCAATGAAGGTAAACAATAAATACATAATAAATTATTATTAAAAATGTTTACTAAAATTATTATAACTTATGTATAAATGATTTATTTAGTTGAAAAATTGTTTGAATTAAGTGAAATGACACCAAAAAACACGTCAACCAGCGATTCAAACGAAACAATAACTCTTCAATTTAGTGATCCATCAAATTCTTTGTTTGGAATCCCATTCCGTTGTAAACTGTTTTATAGTATAGGAAATCGGGAACAGTTGACGGATGAGACCAATCAATTGAATTCATGTTCAATTAAACCAACAAAACTTCGCTCACACTCTCAAACAGTTGAGATTCATCCGACATTTGATGGCATCAATTTGCTGTCTAAACCATTTCAATTCAATATAACAGCCCAATCGCCGCAAATTTCTTATCAAAATTGTTATGTTTCAGAGGACGGACTGGTAGTTATCATACAGTTTGAAACACCCGTTCACATTACACAACACTTTTCTGATAACAATTTACTGGAAGTTTGCGAACAATTACTAACTAATGAAACTATCGATTATTTGAGTTTTTATGGACTGAAGAGCTGTTTGTGGGCCTCAAAAAAACAACTAATCATAACTACCGATAAATCAATTGCAGAAAATTTAGTTCATATAAAGTTTAAAAAGTATGCGATTAGAGAAAGTGACCAAATGTTGGCCATTTCCAATCAAAATCAATTAGACGCCATTGCCGGCAAATTGTCAGCTGAACCCAGTTGGTGGAGCTATGAACCCAATATTGCAATTACGGGTCCATCAGAAATACCTGAATGTGGTATATTTGCACTCATTGGACACTATTCATCACCGAGAGGTACAACTAATGTCAAGTTTCAATGGGATGTGTTGGGTGAGGTGAGCAATGAGCTGAAAGAGCACATTGAAAACAATGGCAAATCAACTAATCTTATTTTGGACGCCGACTTCTTTGATTATCACACGCCCTATAAGTTTGTATTTAAAGCCTTTATACCGGTTAGAGAACAAACACTAGAAGTCGGACATACATTAGTTAAGTTGGAATACGACTCTCCCATAGTATCCATATATCACACCAGACTCTTACAGTCAACGCCATTATATTCAGATCAAGACATACTATTATTGGCAGATATATCAGTTCCCGAGTGTGTATTCCCAGTGCAGGTCTGATATTACTCTAAATACTATAAATATTTTAATTTATAACAAATTACATGAAAATAATTTTATATTAATATATATTATAGAGAATTGTATTATTTTGGAAAGTAATTGAACCAAAAATATTATTTCCTTTGAATGATTCAACAAAACTTCATTCAATAACATATGAAATTAAGCCAAACTCAGTGCCCATCGATAAGCCGGTAGATATCTATTTGAATGCCTTTCTCGGGCATCGACACAATGAGACAATTGGTGCCCGATTTACATTTGTCTCATCAAAAGCTCCACTGAAATCCAGTATAGCTAATGGATCGACAAAGATAGCGATTGGATCAAAGAGTGGTATTTTCAAACTGTCGTCTACGACATCCAAATCTAACCGAAGTCTAGTCTATCAATGGAGTTGTCACGAGAGCCTTACAGCGCAACCCTGTTATCACAATTTCGGTGCTTCCAATCATATTAGCAAAACAAGTCCTTTACTCATAGATAGAACACTTCAAAGACTACCGGATCTCATGTTAAACTCAAGTTTCTTCAAACCCAATAAACAGTATTGGTTTGGATTACAAGTGTTTGATAAAAACGATAGGAAAGTATTTTCTGAAACTGAATATACATTAGTTAAAGTAGTCGATGGTTTTGCTCCACAAGTATATATGGGACCGGTATTTATCAAAGGACATCGGGTACCATATAATGCACGTCTAGCTACTCATTTAGTACCGGCTCATACACAAATTACTGTCCGCGCTATTGTAAAACCATCTAAATTTGTCAAATCAATCAAATGGGAAGCACCTAATGGTTTGTTTGATCTCAATTGGAGTAATGAATATATTGGAAATGAAATTCAATCTGAACTACATTTACATGAATGTAAGTTTGAAACCCTTAACTATAGTCTTATTGTAAAAGTTGATTAACATTTGAATTATACTGTATTTTAGCATCAATTGTGGCATTTGGTTCATATAATGTCAAACTAATTGCATGTAATGAAAATAACGAGTGCAGTGATGCCGACACTTCTCTATTGGGGGTCCAAAGTGTGACAATGTGTGAGTTATCTGTCGAACACTTCTCTGAATATCAATTGGTATGTCTTGTCTAAGAGTTTAATAAATAATTTATTGTATTAATAAAAATGCAATAAATTTATAATTACAGAGTTTGGCAAACGTTGAGAAGTGCAACACTCCTCCCAACTCAGCTCCGCTCACTTATCAGTTATTCTTAGCGGATGAAAATCTACCACATCTTCAGCCACTATCAGTGCCACAGTTTTCAGGGGTTATAAAATTTATGGGAACACCTATTCTTTATTCAACACCAATTACCAGATTTGCTGCACAAGTGTGCGATAGATATGGTAATTGTCAGCTCTATTATTCTCAGTCAGTGACCATTGAACCAACAGATAACGAGACATCAGCCATAAGCGACATAATAAAAATAGCCAAACGATATCAAACAGCCGGTGACTCTATAGGAGCCTTATCTTCATTGGGAACAGTCCTCATAAAACAAGATTCAAATCCTTTACCAATCATTGAAAAAGTAGTCAACGACTCAATAGATTTTTCAAGACATGCCTTAGAATTAACGGATCAAATGCTAACTGAAGGACATTTATCTGTCATTTATAATACACTCTCTAATGGACTCCTAAGGACACAAAATGTGACTTCAAAACAAAAATTATTAAATTTAATACAAAAATATACACTAAAAGCAATTGCATTGAAAGTGTATCCCAAAGTGGATACCATTAAAAATCTTTATTCAAAGCTCATGAAGTCGTTTGTTAAGAGCGAGTCTCATCTTAGTTCGGACACAAACTTTATGCACGAATTACAACTCTTAGAAGATATTAGGAAAACATTTAAACTCTTGAGGACAGTGGCCGCAACACAAACACCATTGGGACAAAAATTAAGACTAATTAGTTCTGTAGAGAGAGATGGCCTACAAAGAGATATAGCAATCACTGATTTCATTCACAGCTATAAGATATATGACGTTAACATTAGGGCTCAATTCAACCCAAACACTACAATTGAGACACGAATTAATTTTGGAGAAGAAGTCAAACAAAATTACAGTTCATTTTGGAATTGTGGTCAACATATGCTCTGTCAAAGTGTCATATTTTCTGTCACTATATATCCAAATGAAAGTCCTTATCCATACAAATCATATTCACACAAATTGTCGCCAATAATTGATTTATCAATTCATGCGCCAAACACTGGTGCCGAGCAAACGGTAAGAGGACTGTTCAAAGCGGCCGCTTTCCAAACCTCTCTCACCGGTAACGCCAGTATAGGTGGATCTGATTACATAACCAAATGTCACTTTTATGACGAACGATCGCATGACTGGCTTACAGACGACATGAATCCACTTGGAATTGCCTACAAAAAGGCCAGTTGTTTATCGGGACATTTGTCTACATTTGTTGTACTTAGAATAGTGGCCGGAATTACTGTCGACTACGTAATCGGTGTTGCGGTGGCCTGTCTTATGGGAGTTCTTGTGTTTGGCATTATGCTTGTCTTCTTTGTACAAAAGAAACGAGAGGACAACAATCGTATCTCACCCGACAATAAGCCGGTGACGACACCCGTTACCAAACACCTGGAGAATCCACGGTATCGACAAAATAATATCAAACAAAATGGTATTGAAATACAAACCGTTTCACAATCAGTGCTAATTACAGATTGAAAATGCCTTTTAGTGTTAAATATTTACAAAACAATTAACATTATAATTAAATAATAAATTATTAAATTAAGTTAAATGTTACTAAAAATTTTAGAATATTTTTACAAAACAAAATACAGTGTTATTTAATATACAATTATTAATATATTTATAAATAAATGTTACAAATTATATCTAATTTCATAAATTATATTACAATTACAAGCCTTAAACTTATACAATATTTTATGGAAAAAACTTCACTAGACTTATGTGACATAATGTCTATAACTTAAATATTAATATAATTTATAATAAATACAAATTAATAGTTATATTTTTGGTTAATGGAAATGAATATAAATTAGTTTTGTAAGATAAAAATAAATATAAAATATGTATTTTTAATTATTTTAAGAATATAAATGTAATTAATTAATGCTAAATAAATTTTATGTTAATTACTGTACATACAAAAATTTAATATTAATTAAAAAATATATCTTTAAATAAACTTTTATATATATGTGTACTTTTATTCATATAGTTTATGCAAACTTATTTACAGAGATTATAATAATTTTATATTTAATAAAATATATTTATTTACAAAAATAATTTTTATAGATTTTTATCAACAGATAAATTACAAACAATAAATTTACAGATTTTGATTGATTGAAATATTATAATTTAGTTAATACTTTGTGAACATTTGACATATTTGACACATTTTTATTTAAAAGTTTAATAAAACTTTATTTAGTACTGATTCAGTGTTTGCTAATAAAATAAATTTATATATTAAAAGATGAAAATACAGTATATTTCTGTAAAACTAAAATAAAATTGTTATTTTAAAACAATTATTATATAATTCATTGTACTAATTATATATATATATATATATAATTATATCACAATATTATAAATGAAATTATTCATATTCATTATTAACATTAATAATCAAATCAAAAAATAGTTACATTTTAACTAATTATTATTATCTTTGGCCTCTTTATAATTAATTTGATTGGTTTGTGACAAAGCCATGGCCTCATCATATGTCGGCGGATCTTCCGAATACGGCGGCGGTTGGCTTTCATTATCGGTAACAGCAGAGATATTGTTGGCCACTTCATAGGGAGGTAACGAGGAATGGGATGCCGTTAGAGGCAGTTCAACAAACGTCTGATCCGACAAATATTGAGTCTCTGGAGAATCCGAATCGAGATTGACTCTCAATTGTATGACTCGACCATTACTTCTGTTTAATAAAGCATTTCGGCTACTCCTACGTCTGGCCACTCGATTAGTGTGTGTAAATTCGGTGATCATACCGTCCTGAGAAGCCAACCATATGTGTTGCGGTAATATATTCCTCCAAAACCTCATTAAAGCAATGGTTACGCAACAAAATATGACAATAACTATGGTCTCCAAGATTTTGTTGGCGGAGAAGAATCGATAATCATGTGGTCTGACGTCATATAGTGGCTCACAATCACCGACGCTGTCATCCCATCGATAATCTAATCCACACTTCTTTTTCTCTTTTGATGATTGTTTGCATCGTTGAGTAATGAAATCAAAGTCAAGACCCTTTTGGCAAAGACATTGTGAATAACGGCAATTCATATATGAATCCCGCATTTGACACTCAATATCATTGTTGCAAAAGTCACCAAAATGTTTAGTTATGGGCTGACACTTATTGCTATCGGTGTCGTAGATATATCCAGAGTCACATAAACACCGACCATTTCGGGCATCGCAATGTGAGTTCGGGTCCTAAAAATTTCTATATTTAGTTTATGTTCAATTAAATCAATAAAAAATAAAATCAATTACTGTATTTAGACACTCATGAGAACCCAAACAAATAACTTTATTAAGGAAAACCGTTTGACACCAACCGTTACCATCCCTTGGATTCATTGGTTTGAAGCCATCCTTACACTGACATCTGCCCAATGTTTTGTACCCATTCTGAGACTTATTTGATTTAATAAAATATTGGCTTAGAAGAGGAGGAACTCCAAACTGGCTTATATAGTATTGATGGACTAACTGTCCAGTTAGTGATTCAACACTATTGAGCTCAACTGAATCCTTGTCCACACAAATGGCATTAAATGTTTTACTGCATTGCATTGAATACACACAATAATCGCCCAATTTTTGGTACCCAACGCATGCATTCAATGGCCACAAACCTATTGAATAATTGGGCGAACATTCACACCGACGGACTCTTTTGTTACACCAACTAAACGGATAAAAGCACTCGTGTTTTGTCTTCTTCTCAATACTACATGTCTGCGATAGACTAACCACTTCGGGAACCATTAACTTGATTATAACAATTAGAACCAATAGATCAACAAATGAATTAATGTTTCTCATCATAAAATTAATTAATACAAAGACAATAATAATAATAAAACAAATTTTTTATGAATTGGACAGTTAGACAGTCAGTCATTTTTGTGTCGTTTATATACATTATATATAATTAATGGACTTTTTGTAAGCATCAGAATATTCTGTGTGAATGTAGTTCACTGTCAACACACAGTCCAATGTCATTACATTTGACACACATTTCACTTTGATTTTCAAGTTAACAATCAATGAATAGCGCATTCGTGAGACTAACATCTCAAGTATCGTATCGATTGATAGTTAATAGCAAATGTATTTTATATACGCTATTATTACTATACTGTATATAATAGATATAATAATAATAATTTATATGCTTTACAGTATATTGTAGTAAATAATTTAGTGTATATACTATTACTATACTATTATATACTGTTATATACTAAATATATACTGAACTATAATAAATGTTTTATAGTATATACTATATAGTATGCAGAATATATGACTTTTAATAATATCAATGACAGCGATTCGCTTATATTTATCGACATTTTTCAACTTAACTATATTTTTCTTATTTTTGGTCTCATATGCTCTATATTATAGAATTATAGAGTCTATAATATATTTTATAATAAGTTAAATATAGCGTCAGTACTAAATAAAGTATAGGAATCATAGATTGTTAAAAGTAGTTCAATAGTTACTAATATCAAAAATTTTCATTTTTACGCTATTTAAGTATTACTTAATTATTATTCGACAATATATTTAAAATAAACATTTTTTTTGAATTAAAACAATTATTTTATTAAAAATATTTAATCTTTTTTCATTTATCAATAATTTGTTATTTGTTATAAACAACTACTAATTTTGAAAACTAATAATTATATTAATAGTCATTTAATTCACGATCGTTTTTTCTTATATAACATAAAATTATTATTTTGTAATGACTAACATATGATGTGATATTAAGTTTTTTTGTTAATGAGTTTAAACGTATTTTCGGCCAAATAATATATGGGCCCTCAATAAACCCATTAATGTAGTATTTACACAATTATGATATTATTTTACATGAGTGTGTTTAGAGTAAATAATTTGTTTGTTTTTTAATTATAAACTCTACTATTTGGTGTAAAATCAATAGATTTATTTAATTGTGAATTAAATGTTGTTTATGTTAATTATTAATATAATAATTATATTCAGTAATAATAATTTTTTTCTTAAACAACAAAACTGAGAAAAAATTTGCAAATAATGAAAACATGTTGTATTTTGTGTAATGTTTGTCAATATAATTAAAATTTTCAAAAATCAAATTTACAATAACGACAATATGTGTTATAATTTCATCATAACTTTACATACAATTAATTTAATTCTTGTTTTAAATTACAATATCATTATACAACCATAATATAATAATATATATATATATAAATCACAGAATAAAATAACGGTTTAAAACAATTAAACAAATAAAACTAAGAATTAACCATTTCTTAAAATATATGTGCGATTTATGAATGAAAATAAAATGGGTTTTAAATTAAATATAAAATTATATTTTTTATAACATAATTTATAGAATAAAATAATTATATATATAATATATAATCAATATACTTATATTATTAATTTATATTTATATATATTTATATATGTATATCGAAAACTATGTATTATAAAAACAGTACATTTTAATGAAGAAAAGCTCTAAAAGTGTGTTAACTCCAGAATTAGTGGCCGAAGTGATGACCAGAACCGACATCTAAAGCCATTACAATTAAATACTCTTTAACTTTATTAAAACAACACACAAATCCAATAACTGGTTAATCTGTACATAAAAACTAATTTTATCTACAATAAGAGGTATCTCTGGTTCGCCTCATTGGTTCTGGACATCACTTTTGTAGTGATAGTATTATAGAGAAAATCATATAATGAAACTTTTGTAAAAAAATAAATATAAATCATTATTTATGCAAATAAAATAAAATAGTGATAATAATTATAATCATATAATAAAAATAATGTTAAAATTACTATATAATTTGTACTTAAATTAATTTACGTTAATTTTATATTGTTATAAATAGTATTATTATTGTATATACATTATATTATATAAGGTAAATAACATTATTTCTAATCTTATAAATCATTATTAAATTCAATTATTTGTCAACAATTGACTAATTGATTAGTTTTAACTAACATTTCAAAATTGTTTTATTAAAATTCCTCTAAAAATGAGATCCAGATTTAGAGGATTAGAGGCACTAATCATAAGCATTATTTAAATAGTGATTCAATCAGAATATCAGATATAATCTGAAGTCAACCCAATTTAGAGCTTAAATTCATTTCTAAAATATATTTCATTATATATATTATAAATTCATTTAAATAAAGTCATGCTTTTAATATACGATTTGATGATAATTATGGCTTTGAAATAATAAAAATAAAGCAAAATAAAAATAACATTATTATAAAAAAATAATGACCAATAAATCACATCAAATATGCCATTAGTCGATGAAAATGCTAATGAAATTGTCTTTAAATAAGTACATTATGTTAATAGTGATAACAAGTCATTAGACAACAGGTTATCTCACGAGAGTATACTTTTGACGGCCTCATCAAGAATCGGATCGTTAGCCGTATGGTTGACATACGGTCGCATCATTGCGTCATTACGTCTCTGTTCGTGAATGTTAGGGATGTGCGAGTAATCCATATTTCGATAGTCATTCATATGTGGATGAAGTGACGGATGAGAGCCATGAGTATTATGTGAGTGAAATGGGTATGAGTTGTGCGATTGATGCGTCTGTGAAGGTACTGATGGCATATCCAAAATGCTTTTGATCGCACACTGCATCTGGACGTCCACATGCTGTTGGTGCTGCTGATGCACTTCTGAACCCATGGCAAAGCTGTCAACTACATCATCGTCTTCATCATCATCATCATCGTCGTCGTCTTCGTCATCCCCTTCTTCATCATCATCTTCCTCTTCATTGTCTACTTCAAGATTATCGTCGTCAAGACCTTCAATACCAGATAAATCGACAGACATATCTGGTTCGTCGTCTACATCGTCAGTAAGTATAGATTCGACGGCAACGGCTGCTTCACTCTCAGGAACACCAAACCTATGATTCCATGCAATTCTTCTATTCGCAGAATTATTGTTGAGTATGGAATCAGTCCAGTTCTGAGCACCGGTATCTCCAGTCATGTCGCCATAAATGTCGAGATCATTGTGTGTTTGGTTTGGATCGACAAAAGTATTTAAAGGCACGTGATTTTGACTGTCAATTGTCAAACCATTTTGAACGTGAATATTGTGTTGAAAGCTATCGTAATAGTGGCCGACATTTCCAACATTTCCTAAACTCTGGTCAGACTGTGTCTGCAAGAAATCAGATATCGTATCATCTTTTTCTTCATTATCTTCTTCATCACTGTCGTCATCTTCATCCTCCGATTCCTCTGATTCTTCTACATTGTCGTCGTGTCGTTTAATTTGACTGTTATGATGATTATATTCGTCATCACTTCCTATCGAAGATTTTCTTTTCCTATTAATAAAAAGTTGTTTTTGTTCTTCTTCAATGGACGACCTAATCATTTGATACCATGATGTCGGTGCTGGTGGTAAATCTAACACTATTTGTACAAATAATTACATTTGAGTATTAAAAATAAACACTTATATTATAGTCAATTACCTTTTCCTTCAGCAACAGCCTCTTTATCGGTCTTAAGAGAAGTCATCTCATCGTTAATAAACATCCTATCGATCATCACGTGTTCTGAAGAAGGCGTCTCTCTCTGTGTTTGTTTGTAAATACAAAATTCATCGTAAATAAGAAGCAATGTTCTCGAGATGTAAACATTAGTCCATTAAACCACCAAAAATTAACCGACACTTACCATACTTTGTTTCATCAATAGTACTCTAAACTTATCGTACAATTGCTGTTTCTTAGATAATAAATGTTTTGAAATCAATTGAAACAAATGGTCACCTGTTTAGAAATAACATATAAATCATTAAAAAAAAATTGTCACTTAAAATAATAAATATATTAATTAATACTTTTTTCCATATTAGTGGTACTCATAACCGGTGAATTAAAGACATGATATCTAAGTAATCGTTTGCAGGCGTCATCTCTTGATGTGAATGGCCTTTTCGTGTCGGGCTTTAGGGCTGCGTTTTGGTCAACAGTTAGCTGCTGTTGAACACTATCAACAAAATTGTCAAATAAAATGTCATTAATTTATATGATTATACAGTAAATGATAATATAAAACATACGCTTTCACTATTTTGGCATTTCGTTTCTCTTTATCTAAATGGGTGTCGTGTTTGATGATCGATGTCTTAGTTGTAGTCGAAGTGGTAACTAATGTAGAGTTAGTGGGCAATGATGTTGCCGTCGGTGAATGATATCGAAGTATAACAGGTGTTGGTGTTGTCATTTGAGGCTATAAATCATTAAATGAATTAAATTATTAATAAAATTATAAAATAAAAATTAATAATATTTATCTTACTTTAACCACTGTTTGATTATTTAATGTTGAATTGATATTTTGCAGCTGTTGTTTGGCAGGAGTGGTGAATGTGATTATTTGATTACCCAATTGAATAGTTGTCGTCCCATTGACGGGTGCATTGCTGGCCGGAGCCAACAGCCGTATTTGAGTAGCCGACGGTTGGTTTACAGGAACTGGTGTTTGCTTAAGTAGATTCCTTAAATGCATGTTTTGTGGTGTTTGTTGTTGTTGTTGTAATAATTGGCCATCAATTTGACTTTGAATAGTTTGTGATGTTTGTGGTGATACACACACTGTTGACAGTTGTTTTTGATCCTCAGGTGATGTCTTTTGGTTTCTTGCGATATTCATTTTCTGTTTTAATGTTAACAATTCCTGTAACAGTTCTTTCTGTTGAGGTGTGGGTGACTTAAGCACTAATAGATTTTTAAGTTGCGATTCTAGTCGTTGTAGAAACTCCTGGTTGTTAGGACTCACCTGAACCATAGGCACTCCGTTCTGGTCAATCACTGTAGCTGTTGTTCCGGTGATAGTACCAGTGCTACAACTGGTGCTATTTGTAGAGCAAACGGGTGAGACAACTGTAGCCATAGTAGGACCAGTGGTTTGTGTTTTCGGAGGACTAGCAAACACAGTGGTAGGAGTTGTGGTAAACACTAATGTCGGGGGCATTGTATCACAGCTACCGATTCTAATCACAGCATTGGAAGATCCATTCGAGACATTCTGTGTATTACAGTCTCCACTCTGAACAGGAATTGACAATAATTGTTGTTTTTGTTGATCTAAATTGTTATTAAGATTTTGAACAGTCAATGGAATTAAAGCTGTTTGTTGTGATGGTATCGTTGGTTTCAAATCATCACCGGTTGTATTGGTAGTACCGGTGCCGGCAGAACCTTGCGATAAAGCTAGAGATGCCACTAAATCAGGAACCTTAACGGCTGGTCCAGTGTTCAACTGGTCCAATAAGGCTGACGTACCGGTGCTTTGAGACGTCAATGTTGGTGCTGTCAGTGTTGATGTTGTAGTCGTTTGGCTAACAGTTGTGGTCGTCGATGGACTAGACGTCGCATCAATGCTAGGAGTGGTTGAATCAGGCGATGGTTGAGATGAACTCAAACCACTCGTGTCTTTAGACGAGTCATTAAACTTTAAGTTATTAGAATTGGTTATGAATTGTGACTGTAATTGTGGACCTAATCCACCGGTATTTGCAGTTATATGTGGCTGAAGTATAACACTTCCATCGGGACCTAAGGCCAGTCTGAGTTGAGGCGGCGCTGTGGGTGCGACAGGGTTTTGGGTTAACACTATATTCGGCGGTTGATTCGGACCATTCGGTACCATTAATACAGTTTGTTGTGAGGGAGGGTTCGCATGAATCAGTTCGGGATGAAGAGCACCTGTAGATAAGTCTGTGTTATTGGTCGGCGAAGAGGGAGGGCTCGACTCGGGAAGAATTCCGTGTTCTTTAAGCAATTCGGCCAAATTGAGTGACGGCGCCGAACCCTTCAATTGCTGACTTTGAGAGGTCGGTAGTTGTGACCGCGTTATTATCTGCGGCTGAGATGTTAGTATCACTGTATTAGATGTGGCCACAGATGGCACTGAAGTTTGAATAACTGTTTGGCCGCTCGTGTTATCGGTTTGTGTTAAGAGTGCGTGAAGTGCTGGATGTGCTGCGGTTTGCATACTTGTTGTGAGGTTTGGTGTTAGATGTGATGATAGATGCGGTGCATTGATTGGTATCATTGTATTACCAAATTGCAGGCCATGTGTTGGTTGTGATGTCGGTTGTGTCTGTGCTTGTGTTAAGAGCTGCGGTTGTGTTTGAATTGCCACTAAAACGGGGCCATTGGGTGTCTGTAATTGAAGAAACTGTTGTCCAGTATGTTGTGTATGATGTGGTGTTCCTATGATTGATGGTTGTTGTCGTGTAAATATGATGTTTGGCGCCGATCTGTTGGCATTAGACATCACCATTCCTGGCGCTGCACTCGTCACAGAAGTCGAATTATTTGGTATCACAATAGTCTGAGGTTGTGGTGATTGTGTGGTCGCCTGTTTAGACATATTGGTTGTCTGTCCCGTAAACATGTTGAGTATCCCAGCATTTGATTCACTCACTGATATATTAGGTGCCGTCAGTCCATTGTTAACAGTCATAACCGACGGATTGTTTGGTGGCCTTAATGTCAACTGAACAGAATTGGGAACATTAGGTACGCCCTGAATGAGGAACGGTTGCGAACCAATGTTCGGTTGGAACATATGATTCAATAGAAACGTGCCGTTAGGTCCAGCTATCACTGGTTGTCCGCCGGGACCTATCAGTATCTGTTGAGTCTGTGGTCCCATTGTCCCACTCGTCGGTATTGTTGTTGATGTAAATTGTGTGGCATTTGTAGGCAAACTATTGATAACTTTTAAAGTATTTTGTTGTGTAATTTGTTGACATTTATTGACACTATTGGTGGGCACTGTATTGTTCGCACTCACTGTAGAACCGGGAGGTTTCGGTAATATTTGTTTATTAGATCGCGAAGAACTCGATGTCGTCGATAACTTTGTTGTACTATTTGTGCTGACAATCGACTGTACGGTCGCCGTCGGATTGGTCGGTAGTATTTGTGGACCATTTGGTGTATGTATTATTTGTACCAATTGTCCCGGTTGTATACCAGGTGGTAATGCTGGATGAGGTGCTCCCGAACGCGGTGTCGTTAAAAACATTTGTTGTAAACCAGGAGTCTGTGTCATTTGGACGGCACCCGCCTGTACTATCAATTGTTGTGGATATTGTACCGTAAGTGGTCCACCATTGCGAGGACCAGCTATTTGAAAGGATGGCATTATATTAGGAGTTGATGTACGCAATGGTAATGTAGATGTCAAATGGCCAACAGTGTTGGTCATTGTCGTCATTGATGGTGCTATTGATAAGGAGGCAGCGGTGACGGCACTGGAAAAACTGCTGATTGGTATATAACCAACAGATGATGAAACCATGTTTATCGTCGGCTTTTCGTCGATCATTGTCTGACCAGAAATTATTTTTCTGTTATTATTGATACTCGTCAGAGACAACCCGTTGCCTCCAGAACTGGTCACGTAATCAGAGTTCTTGGAAATGTCTGAATTGATAGCACTCATCGATATGTTGGACAGGATTTTTGAGTCGATCGGCTGTTTGATTGAATTCAATGTCTTATCTCCGCTTTGGTTGACATTCACACCGGTCTCGAGTCGTTCAATGGCACCGTTAGTGTTCTCCAGAAACGACTGCAATAGCTTAGGGTCATCGATAACATCAAGTAGACATCGGCCCCCATCATCCATTGCCAACATACCTGTTCATCACAAATCATAAATTAGATCAACATTAGTGATAGTCATAATTATCATTAATTATATTTAAACACATGGTATGAATGACCAAAACCAAGAATTTCATCGGATGTCTGGTTATTAACATTTACTGTATGTCTGTTTGTTGTTGACATCAAAACACATGTATTTATGACAACAACTAATTAATTAATGAAAAGTACAGCAAAACACTGTCAACAATGCATTTAACGGTTGAAACCAGTCATCCGATGTAACACTTGTGGCCAAATTTGTCGGTCAAAGTGACCAAACTTACGATTGAGTGACAAATTGGTGTCACTGGTAGTACCACAGTGTGTGTGCTGATAATTGTCTACTTTTTGGGATCAATTGGTTGATTTGATAGATGTTGTATTGATTTTTGATGATCACATGGACTTCATGACAATAATTGATGCATTAAGTGGTCATCAATTGGTCAATAGTGTTGACCACAACACACATTGCATATAAATAACAATCGATTTTACATTTAGTGTCCATTTTTAATATCACTAAATGTTTTGTTATTATATATAATACAGTAGTAGTTATAGTAGTAATAGTAAAGCATTATATCTATCATATTATATACACATATCTATAGTATATCTATAGTATAGTATGTGTTGTTGTGAGTGTTATTCACAACAAACATACTAATCATGTAATGCTTTACTGTATAAATGGACGTCCATTTAGTGATACATTACATGTTAGCACTATTAGTCAGTCAAACAATGCTATCAAACAGTGCAGACATTTTTTATCATACATAAGCTCACAGAGAGATATACTGTAGAGAGAGAGAGAGAGAGTCACTCACTGACTGTCGACCCCTTAACCCACACCTAAAGCGATACGAGTTTTTTGAATGACTCGCTCTTTCTCTATATATGTGTCTCACAGTGAGTGACGATTGGACTCAATAATAATGTAATGATTATTATAATGTCATATAATGTGATCCATGTTTTGCTAATACATTGCATTACAATAGCTTTATATTCAAACACATAGTCATATATGTCAATAGAGTGACCAAATGTATCTAATTTATCCTATTTTTATTTGATTGTCCAGTTTGTTTGAATCACTATTTTTTAATTTAAGACTAAAATATTATGCTCTAAATGTGTGAACGACTAACACATGTCGAGACTAAATGATTTGATTTCAATTACTTTTAAACCGTTGTTTTACTGGTCATTGCAGTCACAGATGGCAACCATAGATGAATCAGTGATGTCAATGCATCCGTAAGAGTCACGTGATGTGTGATATGTTATGAAGTTTGTGTTGTTTTTGTTTATTATTATTTGTTTTCGTTATTTATTTATTTATTTATTTATTTATTATTTGAGCCCTTAGTTGACAGCATTTCATCACTTAATTGCTAAATAAATAGCATTGCATTGCATTTGCCAATACTTAACAGTCATTGTCTAACTTAACATATGATTAGATTTTTTGAAAAAATTGTTTTTCAAGTTATTTATGCAAATTATTTATTTTAAAAATCAACCAATTTAAATTTATTATAATTATTATTTTTTTAAATTTATTTTTTCATCAATATAATTTTAATAAAAGTTTACATTTAGGTTGTAATGTCTATAAGTAATGATATTTTTAAAAATGAGATACATATAGGAATTACATATAATTTATAGTACGAATTATCTCTTAAAACTTTGAAATGTATTATACAATCAATTTGTAAATTGAAATGCAATTATGACTATTGCTCTATAATTATTAACAAATACAGTAATCAATACTAAAAGAGGCATTGTTTTTCATTAAAAGGCATTTTGATTGAAGTTAACTTTAATATCAAGTGTGTAAAACACTTGGATGTGTTATGACATTAGCAAAAAATGACTTAAAACATAGGTTTATTGATTTATCACACAATTGCCTAATTATTAATGTAATGTAAAATTAAAGCCTTTTCTCAAAAATAATAAATAAATTTTCTATCACAGGATTTTGTAAAATCCAATAATATTTATATTGTAATAAATTTTTTAAAAGCAAAATATATTGTTTATATGTTTGCAAATTGTATGTGAACTACAGTACAATGAGATTTTATACGAGATTTTATATAAATAAAAATAATTTAATAAATTAATAACAAAATATTTATAAACTTGACATTATATATATTCAACGATTCATATTTTTCTCGAAATACAATAGCATTTTGTCAACCAATATATGGTGTCCTTTGTGTAATATTTAGTATTTCACTCGTACTATATATTTAAAAACAAAATTAAATATTAACAAAATATAATTTTTTTTAATAAATTTATGTTTAAAATACCTTTTACCAAATTTTTTATGAATAAAAACAAAAATTCCGGACAATAATAGACAAACACAGCCAACAATGATATACATGACACCAATGAATGGATTCTTGCCTCCAAGCCATGAGGTATTGGATATAATGAACCGTTTGGTTCCTTTAAAGGCTGCCACAGGATATTCTGTATAAAATTAGCGGTAATACAAAAAAAGTTATCTTATTTCTCATTAAATGATAAATTGATGAAATAAATAAAAAAATGGTCACAAATTATCACATACTGTATCGTATGACTAGAGTATAATTGCCTTTTGGTAAACCATTAACATAATTGAATTCATTGTCCTGTTTGTCGTGCGATAGTCTTCCGTATAATTTTCTGAATGTTGGTAACGCTGCGGTTCTCATCCATACAATTAGTGCCTCGTTTTCATATCCATTATTGTTAGCATCTGATGACAAGTTCCAGACCGGCGTTTGCCAATTTGGCGGCGGAAGTGTGTCTTTGAAAGCTTCCGATAAGTTTTTAGCCGATGTTTTTGGGTTTCGAAACTTTGCATTTTTATCTGTAGCCCAGGCTATGCCCGAAAACATTAGTGGGACCGACCGTTCAATACCCGTTGCCCGACGAAGTATTATGAATGTGTCATTGAATAAACTATTAGCAATAGCACCGCACGGAGCAAACCATTTGTCGTCTTTCTGGTCAAACGGTGCACATTCTGTCGAACCCTTAATCTCTCCTAACAATTGTCTGTCATCTCTAGACTTGACATAACGTCTATGGTTTTGATAAAAATTTGTTAAACCGTAATAGAAATAGACATCACGTCTAAAATCTTCATCGAGTTTGAAATCCAGACGACATTCACAATTGGCTGAAATATCTTTTCCAATAACTTCCGAACATTTCTCTCCCGTCGGCTTTTTGTTGACTATCTGTTCACATGCCGTGTAATTCAAGGCATACTCCTGAACCTAATCAATCAAATCATTATTTGTCTCAAATCACATACAACTTAATGACTTTATAGTCAATCCAATACCTGATTTGATGAAACTAAAAGACCGATTCCGATGGGAATGAATGCAACGCCAATGAGGAAAAATGTGGGCAATACTGTGCCGACGGTCAGTATGGGTGACCACGACGGCAGCTTCTGCTGCTTGAATGCACTACCTGTCCATTCATTCAATAACATTATCAACTATTTATGCAATAATAATATTATCACTTATTATGAAATATTACACGTCTTATCAAACATACTGTAACTACAAAACTATTTTACAAATGTTTATCTCTTATGTCCTGAAGATTACATATTTTTAGAAAATAATATTAAATAATAGGAAATATTTTTTGACATAATTTAAGTATCAATTGTCTATTGATTAGTTAATTCAATTGAAATTTCAAATATGATATTATAAATCAAACATTTATATTGTTATCACTTATATATTGTGTAATAATTGCTATTTTTAAGCTAAAATTTAGTACGAAATAGTAAATCCTATTTTATAAAATCATAATAATTTATATTCATATGTCATTGAAATGTCAAATAAAGTGATTTAATTTAATCAAAACAAAACAAAAAGCTTTTAATAAATATTAATTAATTAAATGAATTACTTGAAGGCTTTTGGCTTTTATTATCACTAATTTGTATACCATTGCTGGCCATTGCTGTCGACATATCCTATATATTATCTATCGGTGTAAACGATTAGATGATAATATCGTAATACCAATTAATGGTAAATGTTTTTTATAATAATAATAATAATAAACAAATCAAATGTCAATCAAATGATCACAACTATTATAATGAGTTTATAGTTAAACACAAATACATTGTGTATTTACACGAAAAACACTAAACACATGAATCAATAAACATAACAATTAGTTTGAATTAATGACAAAATCAATGGTAAATCAATGCATATATCATATGATAACAAATTGATTGTCAGTTAATGTTTGGCAATCAATGGTAACCACATATCGATTGATTCATTCAAATGCTTTGCGTAATCTATTAGAAAAACACTAGAATTATAGTTATATCCAAATATTTGTTGACATTCAATGGTTTTCTATATTGTTATTAATTCTATAGGTTTTTAACTTATACTGTACTGTATGTAATGCATTGCATGCATGCAATACAATAATAACACATTAAACACATTATTATTATTATTGCTTACATTCCCTGTGTTTTGACAGCAATTATTGTCACACGAATTGCATTCAAATATCTATAACAACAATATATCATATATTCAATCAATTTTTATTCATTTAATTTGTCTACAAATTTATATTTAATTCATACGAATGTCTTATATGTTTGTTGTCATGTATTTGTCACCAAAATATTGTTTTATTTAAATTATAATTTAGTGTAAAATTTTTGTTTGTATTGTTTGGGCAGTCATTTGAATGCCGGGTTGAGTACTGAAGAATTGGTGGCAAAAAAAACGTCGGAATCAATAGTATGTCTCAATTGGTTATCAATTGAGAGATATTTTTTAGTGATAATTACCACCAATTGAAACGATTAATACAAATACATTGATTAAAGTCTATTATAACGTCATGTAATACACTACACGTTAAACCATAACCACTGATATTGTCATCAAAAAACAATAACACACTTAAGCTTTAATTTATTGATTACATGAACAATGTTTGTGTGGTATTTATTTTGTATTGTTTTAGAAATAACGGAACTATCAATAGATTTGAAATGATCTCCAATTGTTATAAAATGTCTTAAATTATGACAAAAAGGGAGTCAACTCAGTCCATGACTACTCTGGTATTAGATATAAACTATAAAAAAAATCATATAAATGTGATTATAACACAACTATAAACATCATTGAATTTTTTTATTTCAATATATCAAACATCAAAAGTTCGGTAAAACTAAAAGTTGTTTTGTAATACTATCTAAAAAACAATTATTACTCAAAACCGCAAAAACAATTTTTTCCATATATTTTGGTTATTAAGGAAATTTTTGTCAATTAAGCAACAAAAATGTAAGTCACCTTTCAATTTAAATGTTTTTTTAATTTAAAAAATAAAATTTAGTATAATTCAATAACATTTAACATTACTTAAAATACTTAATTTCAAATAAAAATCTTTACTTCAAATCACTCGACAAATCTTTTATTATATAAAACTGGGTTTTGAATATCAAAATCAAATGGTGTTCTAGTTTTTCAAATAAAAAAAGTATTTTGTATTTAATTATCATTGAGATTGTAGTGTATATATAATGAAATGGGCAGGTATTCAAAAATATGTTTAAAGTTATTTAGATATTTGACAGCCCAGGTGTGGTGTTGGTCCCCTCCCGTTGACATACTTTGAAAATGAAATTTAAAAAAAATGTTTTTATAAGCTTTAAAGCAATTGTAGATTATTATTATATTTTAAAATTGTCAGACAATTATCTGAAAGTCTATTGAATTTTTTACAGTAATTGAGTATATTATGCGAGCATTTGTGCTGATGTGGCATAAGTTGTTAAACATTTTTTATTCATTATTTATTTAATAATTCATTAGTTTTTTCATAAACATTATATTAAGAGCTAAAAGTATACATTATATAATATATAGTATTTATAGCAACTTTTTATTGATTATATAAATTATTAATAAACATTGATATACACTAATATTGATAGACAATGTGTGACAAAACAAGTGTCGAACAACTATTAGAAATCTATGGACAGAAACATCTGACGGCTTTCTGGGATCAGATTACTGAAGAACAGCGCAAACTATTGTTAAATGATTTGAATAGTATTAAGTTTGATAAAGTTTGTCGAGCTTTTAAAGAGACTGAAGAAACAGATAAAGATGGACAAAACAAATCCATCGATGATTTATTGGAACCGTTGTCATCACAAGTCCATCAAAGTATCACAAGATCTTCAAAAGAGACACTCAATGCCTTCAGAGAGACCGGTAATTGAAAATATATTATTTTATTTTAGTTTTTCAAATATTAATTTTTATATATTTAATATTTATTTAAAGTAAGCCTTATATTATTAAAAATAATATTATTATTATGCTATTAGATAGAAAAGTTAACTGTATTCTTGACTCTTGATAACATGATTCTTGTTTTATTGTATAATGATTTTTATTTTTCAAGATTTTATTGATTTTTTAATGATTTTTTTATAATGCAGTATTTATAATATTTATGTAAAGTGATATAGTCTTTAAATAATAGCTAACTTTATGATGTCTCTGATGGACAATAATGTTATAATAGTATACTGACTTAATATTATACTTTTTTATTGATAGCATAAATGTTTATTTAAGTAATTAACAAATGTTTCGTTTGTTTTATGAGAATAATGTTTACAATAAGTTTAAAAAATATTTATAACTTATAATTATCTCCACTTTCCATGTAATGGATTTAAAGGCTTATTTATTATCTAATGTTTATTTATTATTAATTTATGATGAAAATCAAATTTAATTATTTAGTTTCTTGAGAATTTTTTTTTATAGAAATCACTAAAAAACATTACATAATTATTGATGTAAATTAAATTTCATGTCAAAAGTTTTTAAAAAGTACTGTTATAATTAAATTAATATTTATTAAAATAATTTATTTTTAAAATTAATTATTAGTTAATTTAGTAAATTAATATGTCTATTTAATTTTTAAAAAATAAACCAATATTTAATTTATAACACAACTATTTATAATCTTAATTACAAAAATTACTTCAAAAAGTACTTCAAATACACAACATTCCATATATACAATAGATTATTAAGTTTATCAAATGTCTATATATTTTTTCAAATATTGTTAATTAAAAATTTAAAAATCTGAGTATCAATTGGCGCCGTAAAAATGAGTGTTGGGTAAATTATTTTCTCATAATTATACCTATTTACTAATAATCTAATTTACTGGATATGTAAAAATGCTGATAAATGTCAAAAAGGATTACTTTTTTGTAGCTATTGTTTTGGTTGAATAGTCAATCAAATCTAATTTGGGAACAATTCACTGAAGAGGTTAATATAAGATGAATTGTATTGAATTGATTTAATTTCAGTAGTTTATGCCAATTCAAGTATCAATTTTATCTTAAATCCTATTCAAATAACTAAATAGTAAATAAATCGAAATCTAATATTAAAAACATTTATACAATACTATCTAAAGTGTTTTATTTGGTTAGCACTTTGTCTATTGTTTAATAATAAGATAAAAGTTTAATAAAATTGTATAATAATTAGATTTTTATATAACTAATATTGTCTATCAATTTCATTAATCTAGAAATAATTGCAAAAATATTTTTATTTAATTAGATTCACCAATGAAATTGAATTGTCATCTGAGTTGTCATTGACCACTAAAAGTTTTATCATAAAATTGTTTTGAGTACTTATAAATTATTTTAACCTTAGGACTAGGATTAACTGATTTAATTTATTTATATTTTAAAAAAAACTTATATAATTACTGCTAATTATAAATGAGATCAAGGAAATGATTGTTGCCTAATGAATAAATTAATAATTATTTATAACACTTGTTTAAGGAATGGCATTGCCTACTAATAAGCACTTATTGATTAATAGATAAATTTAAAGTATTATTATTAATATAACGAAATTATAAAAAATATTTTAATGTTTTAAGGATTGCGGGAAATATCTGAAGGCCGAGTGGCAGCCCTTCTGTTAGCTGGTGGACAGGGAACAAGACTGGGTGTCAATTACCCGAAAGGCATGTATGATGTGGGCCTTCCATCACATAAGACATTATATCAATTACAAGGCGAACGCATTCTTCGACTCGAGCGTCTGGCATATGATTTGACCGGAAAGAAGGCTTCAATTCCGTGGTATATAATGACCAGTGAAGCCACTAAAGAGCCGACTATTGAATTCTTTGAAAAACACGATTATTTTGGTTTACCGGCTGATAATGTAGTAGTGTTTGAACAAAGCACTTTCCCGTGCTTTCAATTTGATGGCAAAATAATTTTGGAAACACCATATAAAGTAGCCCGAGCTCCGGATGGTAACGGAGGTCTCTATAATGCACTAAAAGAAAAGGGGATTCTCGATGATATGAAAAGGAGAGGCATTCAACACATACAAGTCTATTGTGTCGATAATATACTGGTCAAAGTAGCCGATCCTACCTTTATTGGGTATTGCATATCAAAAGGCGCTGAGGCAGCAGCAAAGGTCGTACAAAAGGCATTCCCTACCGAAGCCGTCGGAATCATATGCAAAGTACAGGGAAAGTACAAAGTTGTTGAATATAGTGAAGTATCGGCACAAACGGCACAAAAACGCAGTGCTGACGGACGGTTGACTTTTGACGCCGGAAACATATGTAACCACTATTTTACGCTTAATTTTTTGAATAATATTTGGTATGTCTTAAATTATTACTGAAACAAATAAATAGTTTTATAAATATATTTTTTATAAATAATGATAATAATAGTGGCAAAGACTTGATTCATCACATTGCCAAGAAAAAGATACCATATGTCAACTCAAATGGACAGTTGGTTAAACCCGATAAAGTCAATGGTATAAAACTGGAAAAATTTGTGTTTGACGTCTTCGGATTCACAGAGTATGTATTAGTGAAGAAATTTTTACCACAAGAGTGAATAATTAGTGAAGAAATTACTAAATGTTTATTTGTTTAGTAAATTTGTTGTTTGGGAAGTTCTGCGCGAAGACGAATTTTCCCCACTCAAGAATGGCGATGGATCTGATAAAGACAACCCAACCACTGCCAGACTTTCCATTTATAATCTTCACCAAAGATTTGTTCTAAACTCTGGCGGAAAATTTGTCGATGAAAATGGCAAAACAGTCCCATTGATTGCCAGGTTTTGAATTAATTTTGTATTTTTTGTTTGTATTAATATTTTTTGCAATATTTGCACATTTTATTTTTCTAAAGTTTTTAAATGTTAATCTATTTGTTTGATTATTTATTTTATATTTGCTTTTCATAACTATTTGCATGACTTATTTTTGTTTTGTTTTGCATTGTTTTTATTTATATCATAGTCCAGTCAAAGTAGATTTGAATGGCAATACTGATTTGGATATTAACGATAAAATTAATAATAAGTAAATTAATTAATTAATCATGTTTTTAATTATTTATATTAATAAACAATTATTATTTTTCCCCAAAAGTCATAACGAGAGTCAAGTGATTTGTGAGATCTCTCCTCTCGTTAGTTATGACGGCGAAGGTCTCGAGGAATATGTTTCAGGGAAACGATTGCAAACGCCATTCATTCTAAGTGGAGACTGTGTTAGTGAAGGACATCCACTCAAAACAGCAAAATTAACCACAAATTTGATTAACGGAACCAATAGAGCGGCAACTCTTATCAATGGTCATCATTAGTATTGAGAGCAAAGTATAAATATATACTGTAATTGTGATATTTTTATTTTATAGTATATTTTTTATTTAATTTTAAGAAAGCGTTTAAATTTAATTTAATTTTAAGTTGTTTTTAGTATATACATACTGTATATCATAATTTAATAGCATTTTCAAATTGCTGTATAATTAAAAAAAAACAATTGGTTTTTATTATTTTTATCGAAATATTGTTATTGTAATTAATATACTATAATAATTACAAAGAATACCCTTCTGGGCACTTAAAAAATATTTATTTTTAATCACAAATTGTTATATTATAGTCTTAATTGATTGTAAAATGAAATTTTCTTATATTTTTAATAAAAATTTAATTTATAATTTAGATTATAGAGAATTATTTTAGGGTAGATATCTATCGATGATTTTCATTGTTAATTCATATACTTTGTCGGACAGTTGTCTATCGCATACATTTCCTTCCCATACTTTTGGGATACAGTTTCTGTATAAAGAGTCACTGATGAGTGTCCGTGAAGTCGCGCAATGAATGGGTGTCTGTGAGCCCTGTCGTGGAGTTCTGACAAATAGTGCAGCAAAAGGCAAAAGAAGAAAATATTGCCACCATTTTAATGGCAAATGTCGACCTAATTTGGTCCAAACTATGCCTGGACTGACACAGACAACATCTATTGGTAGATTGTGGCGAACAATATCCCGATGAAGATGTCGTGCAAACAGAATATTAGCTAATTTACTGTTATTGTAGGCCTGTCTTCGGTTATAAGTATCATTTGATACGTTTCTGAAGATAGAGAAAATGGTTTCAAAATAAATAAATTATTATTTTTTAAATCAAAGATTACTCTTTAATGAAGTCGTTATCATTGATGACTCCTTTGCGATAAAGAGTTGATGTAATCATTAGTATACGACTTCTTAGAGATGTTTGGGTCGAAGATTGCATTTTTGGTAATAATAATAATGTGAGTAAAGCGCTACTTAAGTGATTGGTCTGCATCTGTGTCTCAAATCCATCGGTGGTTAATGCAAACGGTGGTCCCAAAACTGCCGCATTATTGATAAGTATATCAACGGATCGTTCACTTTTGATGATATCTTCAGCAAAATCTTTAACCGAAGAGAATGAACACAAGTCTATGTTTTTGTAGATAACATTTGGGACAGTCTTGTGGTCGTTGTTTGCAGTGATTTCTTGTATGACTTCAAGTGCGGTTCGTTTGTCACGACATCCCATCACAACTCTGGCCCCACGTTTGGCCAACTCTTTGGCTGTCTCTTTGCCGATACCAGCAGTAGCTCCCGTAATGACCACTGTTTTGCCATTCAATGATGTATTGATATCTTTCTTTGACTTCCAGACAAAGTGTTGACAAATGAGACGATATGTGATAATTGCTGTCAATAGTGAAACACTCGTGTATTGAATGCATTCAATGTATGACATTGTTTGCTAAAAATATTAATATAGATATCAATTGACAGCAATAATCATATTACGGAATATTCCGGTTCCTTATATCATATGTTGGGCTCTTATATAATAAAATTTATATAATTTTTAATTTATTAGTTTTGTAAAAAATATTTAAATTATATTCAGTATTTAAATATAATTAAATACGATTGACATATAGTTATTGTAATTGAAATGACAATTAAAATAAATCAAATTGCAATACAATGTAAATTACAGTACAAACAAAATATTAATACAAATCAACAATAGAGTCAATGCATCAAACATTAGATGTCGTGAATGTATTGTACGATCAAAACAAACACAGTTTGCGGCCAAACATTGACTTAATTTTATTAACACTTCTTATGATTTGATTCAAAGAGATTACACATCAGTTCATTGATTTTTTACATGTTGTCATCGATCAACAGATCCAATGGGTGACAACAATCGCTTCAATTGTCCCATCGATGGCTGTAATTACGCCATAAATGGTGGCAAATATTTTAAGCGACAGCTGTTCCTCAATCAGGTATGTCTGTCACCAATTGATCACTTAATTAACGGCGTATTTTTTGACGACATGTCTAACTAATTGATTATCTTTGACAGCACATCGCAAACAAACACTCGGAGAAGAAGTTTATATGTGAAAAGTGCCACAAGAAGTATGCCATTGAATGGCAACTTAAATATCATAAGAAGTCTTGTGGTGTTGAATGGGAGTGCGGTTCGTGCGATAAAAGATATACCGAAAGGCTATCTCTGGTCATGCATTGTAAGCGTCGGTCACATATATTGCCGTCAATCGATGGCATCAAATATACAAAAAATGTAATCAAAAATGAGGTCAAAGTGTCGCCAATAAACATACAGACGTTAATTGTGATGCCTGTTATCTTCGCCACTAACCCGATGGTCACCACAACCAGTGCTAATCAAACTCCAATCAAAATCCTACCAAAAAGTTATATAAGTGACGATGAATTGAATTACCGAAGCATTTGTACACAAACATCAACCGGTGAAGAGTGCAATAAATGTAAGTCTAATATGTATCAGAAAACTGTGGTCACAAATATTGTGAAATTTTCTTCAATTTCGACACAAACGGATCGTTTGACACAACGGTTCCACAAAACGCGTGAATCCCGAAGTACTGATTGCCAGACAATCCGAAAACGTAATCGAAAGCCACAATCGGCTTATAATTATGAAAGTATTGAAACACAAACTTTGGAAAGCGCTCTTCATTCCAATGGATCCACTAATAAGATTCAAATATCTGCATCAACATCGACATCACCACCAAAGAAGACATCGAAAAAAATTCGTTTAGATATTAGGGATATTGAAAACATTAATAAATCATGTGCTTTCACGCAGACATCTATTGAATCCAGTATTAACAGAGTAGTGAACTGTAATAGTGATGAACAAAGTTTTGATGCAAATGAAAGACAACTATCAAAAATGGTTCAGTCATTCAATCCATTAATAGATTTGTTGGACACAACAAATACTGTTATTTTAGAGCAATCGGTTCAAACTGAAGCCAATGATCTTTTACTTGATAATGGATTTAATAACATTGAAACCCAAACCGTTAATTTGGATATTAATGAAAACGATTTATTTAATTTCGATACAAATGATGAGTTTGTATTTACCGACTTAGAGTTTACCGACATTGAGACCCAAACAATTTGGGACAACGATAGGTCCACACAAACTGATGAACATTTAGATCGTATTCTTCAATACCTGAGCCACGAAAGCAGCGCTGTTAGTGACTGTGATATCTCTGACACTATATTTTCATCGACTCAAACACAAACACAAACTGACTTTTCATTAATTTAAATAACATTTTGAAATATTATGAATTAATATTGAATTATATACACAAAAAATTGCATAATTTACTAATTATTACTGAACTATATTTCACATATTTATTTTAATTATTTTCATATTATTTATAGATATTTTTAAATAGTATTTTTATAATAGTATTTTTATATTTTAATGTATAAAATTATTAATAATATAAAATTTATATATTTTTATTGTGGTTTAATTTTTGTTGCCAAAATCATAAAAATTACGGCAATGCATTAAAACAAAATACTGAATTATTAATAACCATTTATTATTTGACATACAGTTAAATAAATTATAATTATTATAATCTATTACAAATATAATTATTTTGTATGTTATTTTAATTTATTAATAAAATTATACCTACCGGTAAGTGCATATTTATTAATAATTATTAATTAGCATAATTTGTAGTTATTTTAATGTTAATATAAAAAAAATTTAGCCAATATTCAATTGATTAATTAATATTAATTAGTAAATTAATAATTAATTTTTATATCGACCGGTAAAAAATTATGTTAAAAGATATTCAATTTGAATATTTTTAAGTTTTAATTTAATAAAAACAGTTTTAAGCAAAATTTATTTTATTTCATCTAATATCAATGACTGAATTTTTTTTGATAAAAATATATATATATTTCATCTAATATTATAATTACAATGTAACATTTAATTATTATTCACAAATAAATTAAGCATTAATTTTGAATTTTTATGTACATTTAAGTACATTAACTTTCATATCATCACATTTAAAATAGTTTTTACATTCATTAATCTTTTTTATAAATTATATTTTTTAATTGTAATTAATTAATTAAATGTAAGTTAATTATTAATATAAGTTTTCGTATTAAATATAAAATAACTGCCGATTATATGTATGAATATCAAAACATAATGCACTTAACAATAATCTTTTTTTTTGAATAAATACAGTAATATTTTACAATAATTATTATCACTTTTATAGATAAAATTATAAATCATTTCAATCACTCACTCTCTCTCTCTCTCTCTCTGATGGTCTCAAATTTACATGAAAACAAATATACAATATATTAAAGTTGAGGGAAAAATCCATGAGATTAAGGATTAAAATTATTAGAAAATTTATAATTCTTTTCTCTTTCGGTTTTAACAATTAATATGACATAAATAGCATAATTCTAATTAATTTTATCTTATTTACAAAATTAATATATATATATAACATTCTCTACAAATAATTATTAATAATTATTATACAAATATAATTTGTTTGTTTATAATAATAATCTTTTGCTAAATTTTTGATACAATTTCAAAATTTGCAAGTTTTTAATAAGTCTTGTTTAGTCATAAAATTGATTTCACTTTTATCTTTCTGGATATATTGTATGTAATAATAAAATATCACTTTTAATCTAAGGTAACGACAATTGAGTTCAAATTTCTTCCAATATATCCATATTCAGGTAAAACAATATCCAAGACTAGAGCACACACTTAATTGCCAATCAATTGCTCACTAAGTATTGACTCAATAATTATCGGGTTTTTATACACAATTATTTGAATAAAGAGTACCCTCTTTTCAATAGATTTAACATAATATGATAATCGTGGTCTTGTTTGTAGCTCAAGACAATTGTCGTTTAATAAGATATTCAGTCAAATTAGATGATGATTAACGTTGAAAATAAAAACAATGGGATAGTCTGTTGTTTCAATCAATAGATGATTAATCCGTTTGATAAGTTGATAGTAGAGCCGCATCTACTGGTTCCAGACATGAGGGACAAGTAAATGACCTCATGAGCCAATCATCAATGCAGTCCGTATGATATATATGCATACACGGCAAGAATCGGATCGGCTCTGAGATCATGAATTCTCCCATACATATCACACATCTGTGTTTAAGATAATAAAAATTATCAGTCAATCAATAATTGTAATCATTATTTGAATCAATTGGATGACATACTCTCTATTCTTTTTGCTTCCATCATAGATACCGGTTGGCAAGTGCTGTATTAATCCCATTCTTTGTGCAATCTTTATCTGTTCCTCTTCTGTCAATTGAGTGGCCGTTCGGCTAACATTTGGCGACGGATAGTAAACGGGATGCGACGGTAAACTTGTGGCTATTGTCTCCTGTAATACAAACAAACATCAAATTAATTGTCTATAATGTCATCATCAGTGGTCATATATATATCATATATAATAAATTACAAGATAAGTAGGCGGCGGACCCAATGATGAAGTCAACTGTTCAGATGAGGTCGAGTCCCGTGTATTAGATGTGTTTTCCCTCAACAGTGAAATATCGTCGTGAGATGAAACAGATTTAAGACAATTGCCCATCACTTGACTCTTTAAGATTATCACAAATCACAATCAAATGATACGCCAAAAACAGATAAATAGTGACAACTTTATGATTAATTATTGTCAAACAAACTATTGTTTCAATAATTTGATAATAATGTGGACGACATATGTATGTCAATGATAGTCAACAAATCATATCATTTCATTAAATATTCATTTATTTAATTTATTTATTATTAAATGATATAAAAATCAATAATCAATTCATAGATTTGTTATAATATATTATTATGAATATACAGTTAATGCTATTATTGAAAAGTATTTAATTGAATCAATCAATCAATCGATTAATTTAATTAGTTTTGTTGTCATAAAACTTAAAGCTTTTAAATCATAGCAATGAGTGACTCATTCAAGCGATTGTTATGTAAAATGAGAGGTAAAATGTTAACTAAAATCGCAATAAAAATAAAAACATTGAAAAACTTAGAGTCGATTACAATGACTGCTATAATAAACTTAATAATAATATTGATATCAATTGATTGTAATTAATGAGACAATCGATTGATTCATATATATATTAAATATTAAATTGAGACAAATGTTTATACATGGGATCAGTTGGCAAATCAATGGTCATATCATATGAATGTATTATAAGACGACAACAACAATGAATTGATTGTTGTGTCAGTGATTGGATGACTGTTTTGTTTGATAGCTCACTACCAGTGCTCACAACATATGAATGGCTTTTAACAACAATATTACAAACAATAGCATTGAATGCATAGCTATAGTCACTGAGTCTGACATTCACTCTATGCTAATGTTTACACACACTGTATGGCAACCAATGATAGCATAACATTGAATGCAACATATGATTGACTACAGTATACAATACATACATCATATAAATAACTATAAAACTACTAAACATGTATAACATTGATACCAATTTCAGTAAAATTACATTTTTCTTAATATTTACTTATTATTAAATACTAAACTTTATATCACTTAAGCATATGTAACACATGGTCTTCAAGACAAACATTAATGTTAGTATTATATTGACTTTAGTAATCATTTTGAAGACTATTTAATTGTATTGAATTCAATTAAAGTTTCATTTATTATAGCAATTCATGCTATAATACAGTATTCAACTGTAATTTACTGTAAAGTCAATAGACTATTATTAATAGTTATTTATTATTTTGTTAAATCTTATTATTAATGATTATTCAGTCTTTTTATATAAAATATATTTTAGTTGATTATCAAAACAAATTTATTATAAAAAACAATTATTTAAATAATTAACAATTAATTTTTATCAATTCTTCAATAAGATTCTTATATATATATATATATACTCTAAAATATTTACTCTAAATTATAAATTTATTTATAATTCATAATAAAATACTTATTATATATTGTATATTGTTATTAATTAAATATAATCATTTGTAAAATGTATGATTTTATTTGTATATACAGTATAATCACTAATTGATGATATAATAATTTATAAATATATTACAAATTAGTATACAAATTATTGTTACATTACATGCATTTCTATGGATTTATATCCAATTATATTGAGACCATTAAACAGTTTTATTGAGTTTTATTTCATTAAACAATTTATTGCTATTAATGTTTATATCAGATTTCTATAACATTAATATAAATTGTAAGATAAATTATTTAAAAATTATATATTATTATTTCTCAACAATATTGTTATTTATCATTTTTATATTGTATGTATTATTGATAAAAATAATTTGTTATCAATAATACCAAGATTTTGTGAGTTGACATTAATATGTTATATATTTATTTTTTGAATGAATTGTAATCTTGTTTGTCATATTAAAATCTACAACATATCACTTTTGGTCACTTTTTTTGTCTAATTTATCATCTGTAAGGAAAGTCCGACAAATCATAGTTACTGTTATTATATATTATATGTAATACAGTAGAGTATGGTATAAACTTAAATATTATTGTAGATTATAAGCAAATAACTTTGTTAATCACACATTTGAGATAAATTAATTTATTAAACATTGAATTAACAAATTTTATTTAATGCAAAATTTCCTCAAAATTAGCTTAACATAAATTAAAACTAACGAAATTTACTAAATTGCTAATTATTAGCTTTGAATATATTATTATCAATATTATCAACACACTAGTAATTAAAGTTTACATAAGTTGATAATTTTTATTGAGAAATTATATTAAATGATAATACATTAATTGTTTACTTACTGACAGTAATACAACAAAAACAAAGTTATTAAAAAACAGTAAAACATAATTTAATAATATTTTTACATTAATTTGTTGGTTTATATTTGAAATTTTCAACAACAAAAAACATTTCCTAATGACCTCTCTATAGATTATATAATGAGTTCATCATATGATACAATCATTTATTTATTTATGTTATATACTGTAAATTCATTGTCATTTTTCTATACAATTTATAATACTAACACATAAATTGTTAGAAAACTGAAATATATTTCAATTAAAACATTAAATAAAACAAATAAATACATTTTTTAAATAACCATGGTAATTGTTACATATAATAGTGCTAAATTATTGATTAATTGAATTAAACGACTTTAAAAAATTAGTAAAATCATACTTTAATATACAAGTCTAATGTAATGTTAGACAATTTAATAGCACCGGTAGGTTAAAATATTTATTGAAATCTTAAGTACAATTAATTTTGACTATGATTTGCATTTAAAAAAAAACTTAATATTTAATTAAAATATTTAAAGTAAATGAGAGCGCAGTCTATGTTCAATGAATTCAATTGAAATGACTGTTAATATACTGTATGTGTGTTAGTGTCTGACAAAAACACACATCACTTGTATTGCCATTGAATTGCATAGAAATGTATTGAAATTATTATATCATATATTGAATGAATGAATAGTACAGTAAATTGAGAGTCAATATAAACATTGCATTCAATGAATGATTGTGTTTATAAAAGCCAAGCCATCCATCGATTTACTCCCACTTAGCGATCATCGGCTGATCCACTCAATTGTCTTGAGTTGTATCCAATCGCTATCACCAAAACATATTGTTTAGTCTATCGTCTGATCTAAGAAATGGTGAGTCATTGACACCAGTGATGACATAAACCGTCAAATTGTCTGACAGATGACTGAGTCATTTGTCAGACAATTGTTATTTGTTTGACAAACAAGTTGTCTGACAATCACTTGACTTATAATAACATATTAATTGGATTTTTAAATGTTTTTATAAATTATTTTTTGTTTTGTTTTGTTTACAGAGTTTTCTCGGTTTTCGTCAATCGGCTGAAATCGACATCATTTTGGACGGCAATGAATCCCGAAAGATGGCCGAAATCAAGACCGAAGACGGCAAGAAAGAGAAGTACTATCTGTATTACGACGGCGAGACTGTCTCAGGAAAGGTATGCTTGCAATTCATACACGTGTTTGTGACCAACCATTTGATGTCACTTTGATTGTTGTTATCAGTTTGACAATCAATTGCTTGTTATCAATGCTATCGACTTTGTGTACAATATTTAAGATTTGTCGTGTATTTTGTTATCAATTAATTTGTGTTTTATTTATTGTTTTTTTTTTGACAAAACATCAAACTATCCATTAATTTATTTTTCAATTATAATTTAATAACAATTTAATTTATTTGTTGATATCAAAGATTACCGGTATGTGTGATAAAATGATTTGGTTTTGTAATTTCAGGTGAATATAACATTGAAGAAGTTGGGTACCAAACTTGAACATCAAGGTATCAAAGTTGAGTTCGTCGGTGAGATAGAGCTCTATCAGGATAGGGGTAATCATCACGAGTTCACATCACTGGTCAAAGACTTGGCGCGACCGTCGGATTTGATGCAAAACACGAGCTTTTCATTTGAATTCGTGAACGTCGAAAAACCTTATGAATCTTATACTGGATCTAATGTTAGGCTCAGGTATGTGACACTGACTGACTCATTATTTTTATAATGAGATCATATCATTGATATCTTTGATTACATGAAATTAGATATTTCTTACGCGTCACTATAATTCGTCGTTTGTCTGATATTGTCAAAGAGTTGGACCTTATTGTCCACACACTATCACATTATCCTGAAGTTAACTCTCCCATCAAAATGGAAGTAGGAATTGAAGACTGTCTGCACATAGAGTTTGAGTACAATAAATCAAAGTATGTGTCCATTATATTGGAATTGTATTATCATTATTAATGATTGATTTTTTTTATAACTAAGATATCATTTAAAGGATGTAATAGTGGGTAAAATATATTTCCTTTTGGTAAGGATTAAAATAAAACACATGGAGATAGCCATCATTAAGAGAGAGACGACCGGAATCGGACAAAACACATTCAATGAAAACGAAACGATTGCCAAATACGAGATTATGGACGGCGCGCCCGTTCGCGGCGAGTCAATACCGATTCGGCTATTTTTGGCCGGATATGAGTTAACGCCAACAATGAAAGACATAAACAAAAAGTTTTCTGTTCGCTATTATCTGAATCTGGTGCTCGTCGATGAAGAAGAGCGACGGTATTTCAAACAACAAGAGATCGTATTGTGGAGGAAAGGGGAGCGTACGAGACGAGTACCCATTCAACAAATACCGGTCCAATCAACGCAAGAGGACACTAAAGACAATAAACCACAAACAAATAATACGACCAACAGCTGAGCCAATGTTTACTTTTGATTGTTTTTTAAACAAAATGAAAATATTATAGCGTTGTAAAGGCATTGCATTCCCAAACAAAATGTTTTGTTGATATATTTAATATAATTAAGAAAAAGATTTTATCAAACTATTGCTTCTAATTGATTATAAGATTAATCACTTTTTTATATATACAGTATATATATATATTATACAATCAATTAATAAATTTTAGAAATATTTTTTTTTTGTTATATACCCTTTTGTTAGTGAAAAAAATCATTTCAAACAGTCATTTGACTAAATATATAATTATTTATTACTTTATTATTATTTGATGAACACATTAAATATAATATTAGGTTTTATTTGTTTAACAATGTTTTTACAATCAAATTCTTTGTTTAGTTATATTTGAGTTTATCCTCAAAAAAATCAAATTACAACAAATCGCTCTCTGACTATATTTTTTCTATACAAACTTGATATCTAATACAATAAATACATTGAACGATAAAATCATTATTTGTATACATAAAGTGGTTGTTATCCCTAAAAGTTTCAAAAAATACAAATAAAATTCATTTAAAGAATAATTTAAAGAATATATGTATATGTTGTATATTTATATATTTCAAATATATTATTATGTACATCAAAAATAATTTATTTTTCATGGATAAAATATAGTTATATTTGTGTTGATTATTATATTTAATGAGATTTTTAGACGCTTTCAATGGGTTTCTCTCTGGTATAATATTAATATATTTAAATAACATTTGTATGTTTGAGTGAATACTGTATAATAATGTAAATGATATTAAAAGTAAAACATTAATGAATTTCACACATTTTTATGAAACTCATAAAATATATTTCGTCGATTGAGATTAAATACAAGAATAAATATTTAAAACATTTAAAATATTTGTAAATAACAATTGCATTAACCGGTTAGTGGATGTAAGTCTACCTTAACTTTTTCGGCAGTGCTTAACATTCCTACAGTTGGATAAAAGCCTCCTTTTGGTATCGAAACGTCTTTTTGGCCGATTATCACTCCATTGCGTGTGAAAAACACTTCCACTTTACCACCATTTGACTCATCGACAACAGAATCAGCTCTTTGTAAATAATTTTCAAACGGAAGCATAGCTATCGGTGCCATTGGCGGCAATTGACGATATCCCTGAATTCGTGGATTAAATGGAACTAAATCGTTGTGCAACGGAATCATCCATCCCTTCCAATCTTTCTCTTTGTGAAAGAAATCATTGTTTCCGTCCATCTCTTCGAGTGACGAATCATTCTCACCGCCAGAATGTGACGATTCCGACAACTGTTCGTCGAATTGTTCATCAGATGAGCTGTAAATGTTGACTATTTCCGAATCAGCGCTACTATTGCTTCTATTGCTCCACTTTTTCATGGCTTTTGACATTTTATCACTTTCACTGAGACTATAATTTCTTGGAAATTTTATACCACAACCCATTATATCTCCTCTATGACAACGCGGTCCAAATGGATCGCCAGCACCGCTGCCCACAAATATTTTACCATCATCTGCATGATATGCAATTGAACCCTTGTTCCAACCGGGATGACTGTGTCGAGGATAGTCCTAAATTTCAATAACGAAATATACCGGTAATTATCTATTTACCGCAATAATGTCTAATATATGTATTATACTTTTCGCGTTAATCCAATAGCTATATAACAGCTCTCTCCTGGATCAAGGATTTCAATTTCAAAATAATGATATTGAGTGTCGAGTGGACGTCGGGCCTGAGCCAGTCCTACGTCTAAAATACTTTTGCCGCGACCCGCATATTCTAATAACTATTTAATAAACAAATTAATGTAATTATTGTTATAGTATAATACAAATAAATAAATTAGATTAATATTAAACATACGTTTCCATTAAGTCTAATATCATGTAAGCGCATCCAATCATCTTCATAGCTGTCAATACACATAAGAGACTCATCGGATACACTTCTGGACAAAGCGGACGGACTCCACTTTAGGTTCAGATTGAGCTTTACTTCTTCACCCGGAGAACACAACGCTATTGCAGGAAATAAAGGACTGCCTCTCAAAAATAATGGTGTAATCACTGTTGAACTTATCTATATTTATAATAATCAATTAATTTCAATTCTAAATAAACTAAAATAAATAACTAAAATATTACTTCAGATCCATTTAGAGTAAAATAGACTTTCATTTTCATCGACGGAACAATTGAGTCTATCTTTGAATACTCGCTTAAAGTAAAGGCTGTCCGTTCATCCATTGGTTCAAAATGAACGCCACAACCAATTCGGTCACCGATCTCACACTTGTCGGCTACAACTGTCCCTCTTTGATGTCCCAAATATATCCTTTTAATAATTCAATAATAATTATTAATCGAAATAATCATAAAATATATATCAGATGTCAAACCTTCCGTCTCCTGCATGATATCCAACAGAATTGGCGACATAACCAGGCATTTGATCCATCGGATGATTATTGGATACTAAACCCAAAGCAATGTCGGCTAAAGAGCTGCACTCAAGTACTTCAATCTCAAAGTACTCGTTAAAATCGGGTTCAAGTGGTTTGGCGGCGACGTATAGACCGGGAAGTGATTTCTCGTCCAACGCATAGCTCAATATATCGTCGGACTCGCAGTGGATCCGATTGATCTGTGGTTTACTATGTGTCTTATATTGACTTAAATGTCGACCCAATTGGTGACACTCGCGACGGTATATCCGATTCAATTGCCTCTGAATCAGACCATCCATTGCCGACATCGACTCAGATATCTGTTAATATTAAATATTATTAATAGATATGTGTTTTAAATCAATTTGTGGTCAATTCACTAATCAATTACTTTATTGATCCAGTGATGAGTCGGATCACATCAATGGTCAGACAAACAAATGGTAAACAACAGTGAGTTTACTATTGACACCAATATATAACATTAAATGCAATATAATTATAGTTATATTTGTCATCAATTTATTAAAAAATACATAAAAACTATTAATTAATTTAGAAAAATATATTATAATAATAATAATAATCAAAAATAAATAAAATAAATAGTAATTAAAAGCCACAAAACAAGTGAGCAATCAATGGATTCAGTCATTCATATGCTATGAGTCTATGACTACTACTGTATATAAACTATGCCTTAAATGCCAAACGATGTGTTGTTTTGATTGAATGCTTCAATAATATACAGCAATAATAATAAACAACTAATCAATTGTATGGCAAAGCATTGCCAATGCTTTTCAGTGTCAATACAAACACTCAATTGTGTCACTCATTGTGTGATCAGTCGGTGACAACACAATTGCCATTTGACGACACAGTATCACCCAATTGATCACAACAGACATAATCGTCATAAAAGTGGTGATAATTTGATCCGATTTTGGCATTGATTTTATGCTCACTTGAGATGTGATCCATATTTGGCGCCAAAGTTTGTCTTCGATATCAAAACACGCTTTCAAGTTGTGGTGACTTTTTGTGGTAACAATTCATTAATCGTTTGATGTGAAGACCGCATAGACTTTTACATTGATTAAGAGTTGACAAAAAATGGCATCAATTGATCGGTCGTCCATCTTATGTACGGGCAATCAACGAGACGGTCAGTCGGGCACCGGAACCACTCAATTCAATGTAACGCCATATAAGATATGTGTGTCGGCTTTGATCAAAGTATTCATTGACGACAAACAGGACCGATCAACACATACCACTCAACGTGAAGTCGGTATGTTTTGTCTCACGTGCCTTAAGCTCATCCAATCGCTCGACACAACGTATCGACAATTTCTACAACAATTAGCCCAACCGTATATCACGAATAGGGTGCGCAAGAAGTTGACCGATAAGATTAGTGTCATTACTAGCGATCCAAACGAATTATTGGATCTGATCGGTAGTTTAAAGACATTGATATTATCGCAGACCAATGTTATCCAGAAGTCATCAATAGTAGGTCTGTTCATACGTCGCATGTGGTTATACTACGACAAGTTGTCATTCAGTGCCACTTCTCAACTGTTCCACAGTCTCTGCGATTATATCAATGATAAGAATGACTCAAAGATTAGTAATACTGTCAACACATCCATTAATGTTGAGAACAAATCAGAAACTTGTCCTCAAATTCAGTATTTTATTAGCAAACAATTAAATCTAATACAAATCAATGAGAAGAAAGCCTTATCGCCATTTGATCTCTTGGAACAAATTAAGAATAATTGTCAAACAGCTGATGTGAACACTAGTTCTGCAAACAATGATTTAAATGACGTTCATTTTCTAAAATATTTGAATGCACTCCGAGTGGATGAGTTTGCGGCGGCCAAAGAGTCTTTGATGGCTTATTTTGATGGTAACGCCAATCAAATGAATAGATGTTGGTCTGCACTTAACCTGGCTATTCTTCATTCGCATTTTGGTCATCACGAATGGACTATTCAGACGATCAAAGAGTGTATATCAGCGGCACAGGAATCAAATGATGAGAAATGTCTAGAATTTGCTCTAATGTGGGTCTCAAGAGTTTTAATCAAAACTGATTCAGATTGTGATATATCATTGCTTTTGAATCATTTGCAAACTAAAGCCAATGAGTTGGGTCTGCCATACATTTCATCGATATCTCAGTTACAATCGGAACGAATAAAAATTTCATCGAAATCGTTGTTAAACACAAGCGATAACTTTGTCAAACCAACCATTTCTTCGACTTCATCGCCTGGAGTACTGGCAGTTAGACATTCAATGAATGACGTTCTTATGATGTCGTATTCTTCAAGATCTGCTTTACTTAATCTTTACGGAGCGGCCAATTTGGCGGCACTTACTTCGCAAGTGTTGCTACATTTGAATGTTGTTGAACCAGTTGGCGAGTCTAATGTCTATCACGTCAATGAAAGTACATGTATTGGTGTCCGTAATATAGCACTTCATATGTGGCGTAATGTCGGCCAATACGTGATCGCACGGGATATGCTTATGAGATTAAGTTCATTGTTTTCACAATATAAAAGTCGTTTAAATGCCATTTGTTTTCAAGCCTTAGCTGAAATTGAGTTTGAATTGGATCTAAATCAATGCAACTGGAGATCTGCCCTAAAATGTGTTCAATTAATCAATTCGTGCGATAGACTAGAGGCTAACATCCGGTTAGCACATCTGAAAGCAAAACAGGGAGATAAACAAAAGGCTATCAATTTGATTGATGAAACAATTAATTGCGAAGACATTCAAAAGAAAGATGTCAACCCTTTTCTTAAAATAAATGCTATGCTTTTAAAGGGAAAATTGTTGAATGATATGACAATAATCCTCGATTGTATTGATCAGTGTTCTCAGAATAACCTGTTGGGTCTGGAGGTGTCCTCTCTCGTAGAGTTGGCCGCAATTCTTCAACAAAAACAATTGATATCACAATCGCAACATATTATTGACTCAGTTATGATTAGATTGTTAGCAAACGGAACGATAGGCGATATAGCAAAAGCTTATTATATCAGTGCTGGCAATCATTTCCGAAACTATGAGGAGATGTCTGGTCAGACAAATGCTAATCTAATTGATTTAGACAAAGCCTTGAAGTCCAATGAACGGGCCATTCAATTGTGGAAACTTATTGATGATAAACATTCACTCAAAGATTCTTTTACATTGAATACTAAGATTTACCATAAAAAGCATGACTTTTCTCAAAGAAATTATTATGCACTTCAAGTCAGACTTATTGTGACAAATCAGATGAATGATTAATATTTAATTAGCATATCCTTTAGCTATTATTTTATTATGTAATTTATTATAAAATTAATTAAAATATATATTTAAATTTTTTATGTCATGAAATATGAAAAAATAAAATCCTCATTATTTTTTATATTTAACTGAATATATAATTTATTTTAACTTATTTTAAAAATTATATTCAATATTATATATACGATCCTTAAAAACAAGATTTTTACAGACATTTCAAAGTTAATGAAATTTTGGTAATTAATAAATAAAACAATTTGAGGCTAAAGTGTTGGTTTGTTTTTATTTTAAATTGTTTTTTTTGTTTTTGAAATTACTTAAACTACAGTTATCTGGGAATTGTGACATTTTTTTACTAAATTTACATCAATTTTATAGTTTTTATTGTTGTAAAATTAATTAAGGCACGACCTATGAGTTTGTTATTGAATTACTAAAATTAAATATTTTTAATGATGGTGTTGTAAAATATTAATTATTATTAATAGTACAATATTTAATAAATTATTGTTAAGCTTATTCAAAAACATAATTAGAAATTAATGATGAAAAACAAATAATAAAATAACCCTAATATTAATATAAATATTTTGAAAGGTATGACATTAAACTTTTGGTGTTAACTGTGATAGCGGACAATATACAGCATAAGGTATTACTATTTTTTACATTACTGTTGTTTATACTAAATGACACATAAATCTAAATATAGATTATTTGATTGAAGGTTAGAATTAGTTATTTATATAGATATTTATCGATTTTCATACATACATCTAACTCTATATTATTCATGTTTTATACAAATGTATTGTTTAAATAAGAAAAATAGAATATATATATATATATATACTATATATATATATATATATTCTATTTTTCTTATTTAAACAATACATTTGTATAAAACATGAACATAAAAAACAATGAATTCAATGTAATTTACATGAAAATACAATAATCATTTTTGTCATATACCAAGACCTATAATATATAAAACATTGATTTTCTATTTAATGTCCATTTTATTGTCCAATATATATATAGTATATATATATTGGACAATAAAATGGACATTAAATAGAAAATCAATGTTTTATATATTATAGGTCTTGGTATATGACAAAAATGATTATTGTATTTTCATGTAAATTACATTGAATTCATTGTTTTTTATAATAATGATTTATAGATTTATAATACAATCAATTTAATGGTAGTCATAAAATGTACATCAAATGATAGTGCAGTTGTCAATAAAAAATTTTGAGCTAAAACTTAAATATTTATTATAAGAACTGCAAGTATTTCAATGCATTTAACATTGTTTGAAATTAAGTACTGAATTTAATTATTCTGTTTACAGTATATAACATAAACTGCATTTAAATAAAGTTAATTGATTTGAATATTTTGTTTAGGAGTCAACCAAAATTTGTAGCCTTAATATTAAATTTATTATAAATAAATACAAACATACTATGTATCACATATTGTATGTATTTTATTTACCACTTCCTGAATTGCGTTTAATATTCAATTTAAATTTTATTTAAATAATATCATTTATAAAATACAAAATAAAACAAATTTAATGGTTTTTATTTTAAAATGTAATTTAAAGCAAAAATAACTGCAATCTTATTTTAATTATAAATAGCATTTCTTGAAAGTCAAGTGTAAATTATTCATTTAACTGATAAAGTAAATAAAAATTTTAAAATATTTATTTTGTCAAACTTTTATTTATTAATGAAATTATTATATTCTAGTTTAGATTAAAAAATTATATATTTTTCTGTTTTAATAATAATTTTTGGATATTTGCTGAACTTAACATTAATAGTAAAAGAAAACTATTTGATTAAATCTATAATTTATTATAAAACATTTATTTTATTACTTGCTTTATTAAACAAAATTAAGTAATATATTATTTAAATGTTTATATAATTTTATTTTATAGTGAATGAGATTTAAGACATAATTATAATTTTTTTAATAAAAATAATTTGCTAAAGTATAACAAATTATTGTTAATGTTTTGCAATAATTGTGATAAATTAATAACTCAAACTAAATGGACAAACCATTTGAAATTATTGCTGAGTATCATCGGTTTGATTATTACATTCCCATTAAAATCATTGTATGAAATAAATTATAGATGATATGAACACTTAATAATATTTCTTAGGCGATCCATACATATGCCCTAAAAGTTATTCATTTATATAATAGTAAAATGTAATTATTTTTTAATAAGATTTAGTAATATATAATAAATGTATGGATAAGACGGGTATTACCTGTTTGCTCTTTTATTAGTATCGGTTGCTTACTCTTGAATATACTATTCAATTATTTGTTGCAAACAAAAAATTCATAATTTATTAGTTATATTAGATATATTAGATATATTAATAATACAGTTTATTATAGATATTGACTTACGGTAGAGGCAATGGCAGTGGTACTGGAAGTGGTATTAAAAACTTTTTTCCTCCACTCAAGAGGTATAGTTTGATAAGTTTTTTGGTCAACTCTTTCGCAATTTTCATCTTTTTGTGATGCGTTAGAAAGGCTTCACAATTATTTTGTGGTTTAATAAGCAAAAAGTAAATCACTAAAGTTGTCAAACAAATTAATGTTTTAGTTTTCATTTTTGTCAAATTTTTAAAAAACTTATTTTTTTATCATTTTATTTAAAACAATGTCTTTTAAGCAATATTTTGACAAATTAATCATTTAAATGAAAATGAGTTTAAACACACGTCTTATATAATTTACTTAAAGCGTCTAAATTAATGTAAATTATAGCTTAGTTTGTCAACTAATAACTGTTAGCAAATAATTGATGCATAAAATCTAAATTATATTTTCATATTAATAGCAGTGATTACTGTCGATCTCTGAGAAAATATTTAATTTTAGATTTAAAAGTAATTTGCAATTAGTTAAGAAAAAATATATGTTTATAATTTTAAACAATAATTATTTTGTTGAATTACTAATTACGATATAAGCATTAAGTTTAATGTATCAATTTTTCATATAAATTTTTGAGGAAACAGGTATTAATATATAAAGTTTTTGTTGAATTGGTTTTAGTTTAAATTATAGGTATTTACTATAATATAAAAATTATTACAAATATAGTAATAATTATCAATAAGATATGATTTCTATTTTTATATAATTTATTTTTATAATTTTGTAAGTAATTTACCTAAGTTGTATAATTAATTTTAGTAGATATTAGAATTAAAACTATAAATAACAACTTAAATGTTTTAATAAAATAAATATTTTAATTACTATTATCAAATAACATTTTTATTATTAAAAAATGTTTCTATAAGATATAAAAGAAAAAAACAATCGATAATTTATATAATATTTTAACGACTTTATGAGTGATTTAAATTTTTTTTAAGATTATATATTGAATGTTAATCTCAAAAGAGGTGGAGAAGTCAAACATGTTTTGAAATTTTTAAACTTTTTTATATCAAACTATTATATATTCCGGTCATTAACATAGTGCCAGTGTTTAACAACAAAGTTTTTATTTTATTTTTAAATTTTTCCCAATTGTTATCAAAGTTACAATTACTTAATGACAAATGCTTTATTGTAAATTATTACATTTGAAAGAAATATAAAAAAATTTATTTAAAATCTAAGTAATATATAAACAATAATAGTATGATATAATACTAATATTTTTTCTTAAATATTATATTATTGATATTTTTTTGTCAATAAATATTTGCTATTCATAATAAAATGTATGATATTATTATAAATATTTTGCAAATATGATGTATTTTAAAAAGTGGAAACTAAATATCAATATATAATTTTGAAATAAATGAATTAATTAATATTTATATAATAACTAACCGATAATTGTATTATACATAATACAAATTACATATTAAAAATGTCATTTTAATTATTTGTTAATTAATTAATCAAAAAATAAAATTAAAACTAAGTATAATAGTTATTAAAATAAGATGAAATATACTTTATGTTTTATCATATTAACATAAAAATTTTAACTTAATACCAAACAATATGCAACATTGAATTTTACATAATATTTAATACAGATTATTGTATGTTTAAATAGATATTGTATTTAAAATATTATTTTAAAATATACTGGTAAATAATGTTTAATTTTTTTTATTATTAATATAGATATAATCTTTATTGAATTATAAAATAAATATAACAATTGTTTAAAAGTATAAAATAAAGCAATTTATATAATTTAAACGTACTATTGATGTGAAACTAACTGTTTATGTGTGGGATTTGCTGAGTATTACAGACTCTCATCAGATCTAATCATAAGATAATATGTAAATACAGATTAACTTAGTTTACATTATTTACAATATTATTTATAAACACTTTAATTTGTATAAAAGTTTATGAACTCAACATTTTTAAACTAAAATAATCTTCAAATCTCTCTCTCTCTCTCTCTCTCTCTCTCTCTCTCTCTCTCTCTTTCTCTGTATTGTCAATCATTGATGAATATGCCGTAAATAACTATATGATTGTAATTATAGCATTCAATTGTATCGTAAGTTTAAATAATAGATTTTCATGAATGATAACTACATTTGAGTTCAATACTGACAAAACATAATAAATGTTTACAAATATTCTTAACAATACATAATTAAATATACTCTGATTATATCAATAATAAGATAATAATAATAATTTGGAAATTTTAAAAGCAATCCTTAATATATATTTTTATAAAAATTATTTAATTAATAAATAAATATTGCATTTAAATAGCAATATAGTTAATTACTTATTATTAAAATACTTTTTGATTTATCTAAATAATATATAAATATATATATATATATAATTCAATACTTATTGAAAGCAATTTTTATTGTTTGACAAAATAATTCAAATAATTTTTTATAATAATAATAATAATAAATTTAATTGATTTATTATTGTCTATGAAGTTTTTCCAGAAATTAAATATTTTAATATAAACATAAAAGTTAAATATTTATTGAAAATTAAAAAACTAATAAAAAATAACATGATATATGTTTTTTTTATTATAAAATTGATTAAAAATCAATTGAAATTCAAATCAAATTTAGCGCACAAACTATAGGCACAAATGTGACGAAACTGCTATCACATGACTATTGACTGACCAATCGGATGGCGTGTTGTCTATAAGTGGGAGTTGTGTTGAATGTTTGGTTTGTTGTGTGCATTGAGTGTCAGTCAACGTACGGCTCATTCAACGCATTGACAAACAAACGGAAAAATAGGACACAAACTGATTGATTGAACGCTTAGTTTTCAAATAAACCAATGATTTAAACGACTGATGTGTTTGTGTTTGATATCACTGTTTATGTCAAACACTAATCCATTATATAATACATGAGTCATATGTCTAGCAATTGGTCTGAAATAGTAAACAAGTGTTTTGTCAGATATTAAACCATTAAGTGATCGATAAGATTATCGTCTCATTTGGATCACTCAACAGATGGCCGAAGAACAAGAACAAGACTTCTCTAAGTTGTCGATTGAAGAGAGATGTAATCATAAGGTGGGAACCATTTCTTGATCGTAAACAAGACATAGAAATATCATATGTTTTAATCTTTTTTATTGTGTGTTTGTCTCTCCAGAACTGGAAGGCAAGAGTAAGTGGTTACGAGTCGTTAGCCCAACAGTTCCAGGTATGCGATGACGACAAAGAGTTTGTCAAATATGCTCCGTTGATGAAGAAGTTTGTGGTCGACACCAATGCCGCCGCACAGGAAAAAGGTTGACAATCAATACATTAGTTTTTCATTTGACTATTGATTTGATTTTGATTTTGATTTTGATTTTAATTTTGATTTTGATTTTGATTTTGATTTTGATTTTGATTTTGATTTTGATTTTGATTTTGATTTTGATTAATACGATTTCTCTCTTTATTTGATAGGTTTAGCCTCTGTGTTGGCATTTGTCGAAAATTATTCAAATGCCGGCAAATATGTCGAAGGAGTCATCGGCGGTATTATCACCAAATGTCTTATATCTCCTAAAGTTAAGACGAGAGAATTGGCCGCAGAAATTGTTTTGATGTTTGTTGAGATCGAAAAACAAGAGTTAGTCATTGAAGAACTTATCAAAGGTTTGGATAATAAGACACCAAAGATAGTGGCGGCCAGTGTTTCGCTTATAAGACAGTGTCTTAATAATTATGGGGTCAAAGTTATTAACATTAAGGCAATTGTTAAGGTTTGTTAGATATTTATTTTTATTCAATCAATGATTAAATTAAAATTAATTAAAAATTTTAGATAATTCCACGACTTTTCGATGACAGAGACAAAAATATTCGCGACGAAGGAAAACAATTAGCCGTTGAATTGTTCCGATGGATTAAGGATGCGCTTAAACCACAGCTTCAGAATTTAAAGGCGGTTCAGTTACAAGAATTGGAGACAGAGTTTGATAAAGTGAAAGATGAAAGACCTCGACAAACAAGACTATTACGATCACAACAAGCAAAAGTTGAACAAGAAGTAGCCATCGATCAAATTGATGGCAATTCTGTTTCAGCAATTGCTGCGCCACAAGAGGAGATTATCGATCCGTATGATCTCTTAGAACCGGTTGACATATTAGCAAAGATTCCGAACGACTTTTATGAGATGTGTGAGTCTAAGAAATGGCAGGAAAGAAAGGAATCGCTTGAGAAAGTACAGGAACTTATTGAGAAAAATCCCCGATTAGTATCTGGAGATTATTCAGATTTAGTCCGACTGCTCAAGAGAATGGTCGGTAAAGACACAAATATAATTGTCGTTACGATAGCCACTAAATGTTTGGGCGGTTTGGCCACTGCTCTCAGGAAATCATTTCACTCGTACGCCAATTCATGTATTCAAGTGATAATTGAAAAATTCAAAGAAAAAAAGCAAACAGTAGTACTATCTTTGCGTGAAGCCATTGATGCCATCATTGTTGCGGTAATTTTGTTTTAACGTAATTGTTTTGTGGTTTTTTATATACATTTGATTTATTTTATAGACAACTATTGAGGCAATTATTGAAGATATAACTAATGCGTTGGTCAACAAAAATCCTCAGATTAAGAGTGAAACCTCATTATTCTTAGTCCGAACTTTTGCTAAAACGCATCCAAATGTGTTGAACAAGAAATTACTGAAAACACTCACCACTTCTCTTATAACGGTATGTATTGACAAAGTTGTTATTATTAACGCTATTATTATTTTTATGTTAAACATTGTTAACAATTTGTTAATTATTTGCCACTCATTATCACTATTATTATTGATTAATATTTTAGACTTTAAGTGATATGGACGCAACTGTTCGCGACTCTGCTGCCGAAGCACTGGGAACTGCTATGAAAGTAGTGGGAGAAAAGACAATGACCCCATTTCTTCAAGGAGTCGAAGCAATCAAAATGACAAAAATTAAAGAATTTCATGATAAGGCCGAGGTTAAGATTACAGCAGCATCTGTGCCCACCGCACCACCACCTACTAAGCCTCCAGCCGTTAAACGACCGCCGAAAGCAAATATAGCTAAAGCGCCGTCACAGGAGTCGTTAGGAAGTAATGCTAGTGAAGACATAGCTGTTAATGCGAAAACTATATCTAAAAAGCCAATGACAAAACCCACGGCTAAGGTTGTGCCCAAACCAACATTAGGAAGACCTCAAACCAACGGTTCGTCTTCTAATTTGACACAAAATAGTGATGAAACTTCATCTCAAAGCAACAGTTCAACCACTACTAGACGTAAGTTTTTAAGTAAAAATAAGACATCAAAACCGCCTACAGTTGCGACCAAAACAAGCAAAAAGACAGACGATTTGGATACTAACACACCTTTACTGCCATTAAATAAAATGAAAGACCAACGATTGGCCGATGAAAAGGCGCTAAAAGTTCTTAAATGGAATTTTACGGCTCCTCGTGAAGAGTTTTATACACAACTTAAGGAGCAAATGATTAACGCCGAGTGGCAGACAAACCTAATTAACTATTCATTTCATTATGATTTTAAATTTCATATAAAAGCCATTGATCTGATGCGTGAGTTTCTAATCGCTGGTAACTTTGAGGCCACTCTCGCTAATTGTGATCTTATTCTAAAATGGATTGCAATAAGATTTTTTGACACAAATCCATCTGTAATATTGAAAGCATTGGAATACGTATATCTGATATTTGAATCGTTTCACGCAAACAGTGAGGGACTTACCGATTCCGATGCCAACTCTTTTCTGCCATATCTGGTCCTAAAGTCCGGTGATCCTAAAGACGCCGTTCGCAATAAAGTGCGCGAAATATTTAAGAAATTAAGCGAAATCTATTCGCCATCCAAACTGTTCACACATTTGATGACAGGTTTACAGTCGAAAAATGCAAGACAAAGGATGACCTGTTTGGAAGATTTGGCTAATCTTATTGAATCATTTGGACTCAGTGTCTGTCAAACTACTATATCTATTACAATGAAAGAGATCGCAAAATTTATTGCCGATAGAGATAATGGTGTCCGAAATGCGGCACTGAATTGTGTGGTTCAGGTTTACTTCATTGAAGGAGAAAAGGTATACAAACACGTCGGACAACTAACTGATAAAGACTCAAGTCTTTTGGAGGAACGCATTAAAAGAGCTTCAAAGACACGCTTACCATTAGTACCTCCAGCGACAGCACCGCCTGCAGTAAATACTGTGACCAAAATGACGAGTGCGCCCAATATAATGCCTGAAAGACAACCTGAAGTACGAACTCCCAGTCCTCCGCATTACAATACCGCTACGATTACCAAACATTTTAGTTCAGCAAAATCAGCGTCACGACAAAGACCTAAATCAATGGGTGTTTTATCTATAGGACCGCTATCTCTAGATTTGGAAGAGATAGAACAAACAGTTGGAAATAATTTGAAAAAGAAGACACCACCGAGGAATATTGGACTCACTTATAGGGCTAAAGATATGTATAATGAAGAGAATTTAGAAGAAATGCTTAATCTGCCTGACATTCAGATCAGGAAAAGTATGTCATCAATGAATAAATTGATAAACTCTTCGCCTAAAGCAGAAGTAGCACTTAATCTAGTGATGGCTCAACTTTCATCACAAGAAATTAGTTCTGCAATGGAAGCACTCTCGCAATTATCACAATTACTATCCAATGATGCGAAAGCAGAGCCAGTCCTCAGCACTAAAGTGGATCAACTGATTATAATGTGTTATATGCAATACAGACTGTTTCTAACCAAACATTTGGCCGATCAGTCAATTGAAAAAACACAAGCAGTTGAGCTCTTTAAAGGAGTGACTGATATTTTGTTAACGTTGTTCTCAAAGTCATATTTAGGACCCAAAGCCAGTCGCGATGTCTTAAGAGAACTAATGTCTCATTTAATTCAACTTCTTGTTGACCCAAAGCTCAATGAGTTGAATGAAAACAAAGAGATAGTCAGAAGCGTTAATATATTGGTGTCAAATGTTATAAGCGGTTCGGACTCAACAAGTATTATGACTGCTTTAATCAAAATACTATACGATTGTGTGGGAAATTCAATCAATGCTTCGGCAAAATTCATTGATATGATTATGAAGTGCTTATGGAAAATGTGTCGCAATCTCGACAAATACATTAATACACTCGATATCGACAAAGTGTTGCTTGAAGTCCATCTCTTCCTTAAGTCATTTCCAAGTAATTTAATTTTGATTTATTTATTAACATTTATATAATAATTATTTGTTTATGTATTGATTAGGTATTTGGTGGAAGGATAACAATAAGATGGACACTCCGTTGCGTACCATTAAGACATTGACTTATCTTATTGTTGACCAAAAGGGTGAAATGATTTTCTCTCATTTGGCACTTATTCAAGATAAAGATGCGTCAGAGTTATGCCATTATCTCCAGAAAGCACTGAAACAAAGAGATAAATTGTCAACAAAGACACCCACCAAAACTGATCACCACTTGTCACCAAAAGACCAGAAACTTTCAAAATCGGCACAAAATCACTTAATGACAATATTAAGCAAAATAGGAACCGATGAAAACCAGAGCGGCATTACTGAACTCTACGAATTTACTCAAACTAATCCTCAAATATCATTAGAGCCTTATCTTCAAAAGTCGTCCGATTTTTTCAAGAAATTCATTTCAGACGAATTAAATAAAATTCGATCAGAAAAACAAGCCGGAGATATAAAGATCGAATCCAATGGCAAACATTCAGACATTATTATCAATGGTGAAGAAAGACCTAAACGAACTGCCTTTTCACGAGTGCCTCCACCGACCAATCAGAAAGAAGCCTTAGATTGGCTACGAAAGGCAACCACTGCTATCACCAGTGATCCTAAAAAGTTTAAAGAGGAAGACATATTGACTCAAATGAATTCCAATGATGCCATTAATAGTATAGAAGCGGCAGAATTGGCAATTCAAAGAGCACAGGAAAGGCTCGAAAGTTTTAAGAAAGTTTACGGACAGAAGAGATAATGATTGCCATCGACAGAGTTATAACAAACCATTATTTTCCCAATCGATTCAAATTCATAGCGATCTCTCGTTTCCAATATTATAGTGTATAAAATCATTTGTCATTTTTTTCACTTTTATTTCTCTCTTAATTTGCATTAATATTAATTATTTTATAATATTGTTTAGGTTTTTACACATTTCTTGTTTTTTATATATTTTTTGTTCCTGTATTTAATACTTTTAATTACTTTTTAAAATGATATTAGAATTATTTATTTATAATAATTATTATAAATGTTACGGTTTATATAAATAATTATTTTATTATTAAACATAAAATGAGAACTCATTATATTATTGTCCAATAAATTTGTTGACAAAACCAATGCCATTGCATTCAATCAAATATCTAATATTTTCAACGACTGATTTGACTTCAAATTTGGCCTAAAATTTGTAATAATTTTTATCATCAAAAGTAAAATAATTGTTTAAAGTCTTACTCCAGTAATTTGTTGAGCAAAATGTATGGCTGTTTGTGTGTGTGTTGTTAACGGACCACAAATTATCGATGACTTGCCGTTCGCGAGAGCCATGAATATAATCAACTAAAATATATTACAAATATATCGATAATCTATAAGAATTCATTGGTGTCAGACCTGATCCTGAAGATAACGGTCTACAGTTGCGCCGTAATTCATATCTTCAATAAGTTCTTTAGCAGCGCTTTGGCCGACAGCCTCTGCCGACACTGATTGTCGACCCAATGCTGATCCTCCCATTCGTAGGCCAGTTGACGACTCGGCCACTAAACTGAATATAGATTTTTATTGTAATGTAATTTTATTACTAACTTAAAAAACTAACACAATTCCTGATCCGTTGCCAAAAGCCTCGTCGCGGTTGTGGTGAACACTCCTGATATCAATGGAAACGCCGGGAAATGCTTCTCTCAGTAGATTTGAAGCCGATTTTGCCATAGAGTGAGCCATCTTTGCATCGAAAATGGATTACAAAATGAGTCGAAAACTTAATACAAATTCATTTTTAAACAATGTGTACATTAATGGGCAGAACTCCGGACACAAAAGAGTGTCCACTAATTCGCGTCAATTGTCCGAATTCGGTCAGTTGTGCGCTTAGGATCTGATGAATAGAATCGACACCAAAGACAACTTCTCCGCCGCCTTTCGGAAAAAATCCCCGTCGAATAAGATCGCAATCAAATGAAAGACCAAATTTGGACAAAACGGGTCGTAAAACCTAATAATTTGGTCAAACAATCAAATGAAATATCATTGCAATTAACCAAACAATCGGTGCTTACATTTAAAGTGTAGTCAATTTGTGGCGCCATTTCGGCATTTGTTCCGCCTTTAAGTCGAAGATATGACTTATCACTACAGTATAAAAGGCAAGGAAATGATATCTGAAACAAAAGAGTGACACTTCTGTAAAGACAAATCAATGGTAATGTAAGTTAAAATCAATTAACAAATCAATGTATCGGTAATACCCGGCTGTCTTCGTATCGCCAAAATATGTGCCCGAAGTTAGAGTATTTGGTTGAAACGTTACTTCAGTTGAGGCCATTTGATCGCCCTTTAACTGTCCGCAAGTAATATCCCGAATCAGTTGTAAACCAATCAGATGTTGAGCTTTGAGACCGGGTTTCGTTCGTCCGGAGCGGACGTTACAAATGTGGACGGCTTTTGACATTAATGAACTCAAACTCATTGCCATCCGTACCACTTGTCCGCCGCCCTCCAGAAGACTTCCATCTATTTCAAGCATGTCTTCAGTTTATCGATGACTGTAATTGACATCAAAAGTGTTGTTAAAGAGATCGCCAAATGATTGCAGTCTTTAAGCGAAAACTTTTGCGAAACCAATAAAAAACATAAATTCTGTGTTTGTTTTGAAGCCAAGAGAGGACAACACTATTGACATTCAAAATGTATTGATTTGTTTGAATCTCAAGAATATTCTCCACTTATTTCTAGAAAATTATTCACAAATATATGTTTGTTATTGCATTTACATTGAAAGCTATACTATTGTTATGTCAATACAATACTTGATTTACATACAGAATATTCTATAATTCAAATTATAAATAAAATATTTATTTTTTTTAATATACAATAATTTTATTTTCATAATTATATTCCTATATAATTAGTTTTTGTTGTTATCGTGTTTTTCTATGAATAATACTCTATTTAATATAAAAAGTATATAACAATATTGATATAACCCATATATTACATTGAATTAAAATTTAAAAGCACTGGTGGGCGGATGATATAGACAGACATATAGACTTATAAACACTCACCCACTAACACATACACAGTCACACACATACATACTCACACACATACATACTTAAACGAAAACAGAGTTATTTTTATCGATTGCCATTATATTAATAAAATGTCATAATATACAGTATAGTACAGTACAGTAGGTATATTACTAGATCTATAAATTTTATAAAAATTTCAAATAAATTAAATCATTTATCAATCAAATCTTTCAATCATTTTATTTCAAATCTCGTATCAAAATATCAATCATTATTTTTTATACAATGCATGCAATGTATCAATAAAAATACAAATTCTGTTATCAATTATTGGTACAAAACTTATATCAATTGTTTCAAACATATATCAATCGTTGCATTCAATTATTGTTTTATGTGATTGTTTTATAAATTAGTTATCAATACAATCGTTTACAATGTCTCACAAATACTAGATTTTTACATTTCTCTTATAAATCAAATAAAGCTATTCGTGTGACAGTTTTACATATTAGTGATACAGATATTATACAATATTATATATCTTTCATTTATCGATGGAAAATATAAAGTAAAACGATATAATGTTTATATAAAAATGAAATATAATTTTTTCTCTGATATAATGATCTTTTTTAGGTATAATATTAATATTTATCAAACATAAACATTAATTATGTTTGTTTGTACTAATTATTAATAGACTTCTCAATTATATAATAACGTTACAATATATATATATTGTTGTGAACTCTGAAATAACGTTAGATATAATTATTTTGTTTTGAGGTTTTGTTGTATTGAAATACAAATGTTAAACTTAAAATGTGAATGTAATGTGCAAATTAAATCAATTGAAATCATTTTTATATAATTATAATAAATCATTTTGTGATTTATATACTCGTAATTCACTAACTTTAATGTTGTTATATATAATAAATATTACTCTATAGTACTCATTATAATTGTATTTTTATGGTGTTTACAAAATATTTTTAAAATCAATTAAATCTTAATATTAATAATAGACAACATCAAAGTTAATAAATGTTTACATCAAATATTTTAAAAGTTTAAAATCATATTACAGTTTTAGTAATACATTAATAATTAAATATTAAAACAACATTTGATATATAGATTTATCAGTGGCTGAGATGTTTTGTCCGAAATAATTACAATTTGGACAAAATATTGGCAATAATTATACAAATATTTTAACCACTTTCTAGATATTTTCATATAAAATATATAATAAACTTTTGTTTCAAACTTTTATAGTTTTTAATTAGATTGTAGTGTCAAATGTATATACAAAACGATGTTATTTGTATTATTAGATTGTAATGAGATTTTTATGGCACAGAAATGTTATGACACTTATGATAGAAAAAAAAACTTAACGCAAAATAAAAGAGAATCAAAAAATATAGAGAAAACTGAGAGATTTGGACAAAATTTAATGAATATTTAATTTTCTGTACAAAATGTATGAAATATTTGTATTATTTTCGATGAATTCTCTCGTTTTTTTTCGTTACAATTTTATACACAATTAATATACAAATCTTATTATGTTATGACAATTCTTACAATTCGCACAAAACTAAGTCAAAGAGATGATAACATTTGACTATAATTTTATGGCAAAGAATTTATAGTTTTTATCTTAATATTTTGTCACTCAATCTTTTGTTGATGTGTTTTATGTGAAATAAAAAACAAAAAAAAATAATAATAATGACAAGAAAATAAATGACAACAAAGATTATAATAAATTGAAAAAAATAACGACAAATATATATAAAGGATTATAATGAAAATATAATTACAAATAATCAAAAATCATGAGATAATTAAATGACAATTTAAAAATCCTAAATATGACATATCACTTAAATATATATTGAAACTGAAACGATAGGCACAAAGTTTTATCAAGAGTTAATATTTTTTTTAATCTATTTTTTAATATTTTATATCAATTTTTATAGTTATTTTTTATATTAAATTTATGTCTGTTAACGTCTTATCTTTAATCAAAACTTTATAAAAATTTTGCTATTAATTTAGAATTAAATCGAAAAAAATGATAATAGTCGAAACATATATTTTTAGTAATAAATGAAAAAAAACAAAAAATAATAATAATTGTTTAAATTAGCCTTTAAAGGGAAATAAGCAAAAAATATTTGCCTAAATTTAGTAATTGTTTCAGATTTAAGGATTGAATAATATTATAAACGACTAGGAATTTAAAAATATTTCTAATTAAAGCATATTTTTTTAGAAGAGTTGCACTTTTAGTGATTTAATTGATTAAATCATAGTTTGGCTAATTATAATAAATTGCAAAATTGAAAACCTATAACAATTTATGCATTGTTTATTGGTGTTTATTGTGCTACTATAACTGCTATAATAATAACAACAACAAAAAAATGTTACTATTGGTAATAGCATTGAGTGGCTAAATTATGTTTTAACGTATTAAATTTGAATTATTTTAAAATTAATTTTTAAAGTTCAATTTAAATCAATTAGAAAACTATTTAACTATAATTACTAATGATTTTTAAATTATATTTTAATATATAAAAATCAAAAATTAGAAACCATTAGCAAAAAAATCGATATAACTATTTATATCGACTTTTTCCTTTCAAACCAACTTATATGATAACACATGTTATAAATTATTAATGAATTGAATTTTGACTAGTTTTGTGTCAAAACTGTTATTTCAATTGAATTTGAATCAATGGATTTATTATTAACAAGAACTATATATAATTTTGTTGAATATATATATATAAAAAAATGGGAACTATTGACAAAAAAGCTCTGTTTATAAATGAGATATTTATATGAATGATAATTACAAATGTGTTGTCATATAAATTGTTGAATCATAGTTGTTGTTATTTTAAAAATATTTTGGAAGTACTTTTTTTTGATTGATTTTAAATACATCACTGTTTAGTGACACACATAAGCACTGATAATGTTTATGTGTTTGATTAAAGAGACGGTCCTCAATATTAATCACATATATATATATAACGGACCTTTATATCAGACTTTCTAAAAATATATCAATTATTTGCTTTCTCTCTCTTTTTAAAAAATTACATCTTATATATATATAATATATTTATCTTAAACAAGTGAATTGTTTGTTAATAGAAAAACGTTATATTGAACGGTATTATATATATATATATGTGTGAAGACACCCACTATTATTGATTTAATAATAATGGATATCTTGTTTTGTTAGATAATAATACGTAAGTTTGAAAACTCATAGAAAAACATATTTTTGTTTTGTAAACATATTAATAGAAAAAGTGTCTAAATTTATAAGAGCTTTGTTTTTAGAGATATCTAAAAATATAGAAAATCTTTAAATTAAAACATTTAGTGTTTTGTGTATTCAATTGTGATTTTGTAATTCAGAAACCTATTAGTTCTGTTTCACCGAAACTCCGGCCGAGACTTAGAGTCGTACGGATGACACGGTTTTGAGCAATCTTTGAGTCGGCCATTACTATGGGTGCTGACATCAGACATTTCTCCGAAAAGGTGGGTAATTGGGTCAAGAATTTCACGGCAGGCGACCCGATAGTTGGTGGCGATATACTGCCCGTCTCGGAGGTTGGAGTTATAGGTGTATTGAATGAGATGGCATCGGACTCGTCATTCTCATGATGTGAAAAGAGTCGCGGTTTGAATGAGAAGTCAGTGCTATATGTTTGGTGTCTCAGAACCAATCTTTTCATTGCATTAGCGCTTTCAGCAAAAGCGGCCAAATCTTTGGCGCTATTATTGCGGCGAATAACACGCGGCGTTTCAAGTAGTGTGCGCGGACCGCCACAGGCCACCCAACGGTGATTGAGTACCATTTCAGCGGTATAGCGCTGACTCGCGTCCTTAACAAGCAAATGACGGATCAAATCTTTGGCGTCTTCACTAATAAAAGTCCACTCGCGCTCTGGGAAGTCATAGGTTCCGTCTTGAATACATGTGAACAGTTGGTCTGATAATTATGACCGCAACCGTTATTATACTATTCACTTATATATTATAAAAACGTTTAAATAGACATACCTTGACATGACTGACAAAACTCTCCCCTTTCCCAACCACAGTCACTGCCACAACAACCATAGAACGGGGGATAACCGCACAATAGTATGTATGTTATGACTCCAAGTGACCATAAATCACAACTGATTATTACAAATACGAAGAGGTATAAGATTTTGATCATAAAATTAGTTAATCTAAAGTCTTACCGTTTATCATAAGTAGAGGCCTCACCAATGAAAGCCTCAACAACTTCTGGTGCCATAAACTCAGCGGATCCCACCTTTTTTTTTAGTGGTATATGATATGTCAATCAATTATTCATAATTAGTATAAAATAATTTGTTTAAATAAGTTCTACAAACCGGTGTCAACAGTTCGGGTGTACTGATTGGTGAAGAATCGCTGAGTACAACACCAGATCCGAGATCAAAATCACATATCTTAATAGGACAGACCTGATCCTCGCTATGACACAAAATGTTTTCGGGTTTCAGGTCGCGATGTGCTATTCCCTTGTGGTGCAGGAACTTGAGTGCATTCGCAATATCACGTACTATAAGGCTGGCCTCGTTTTCGGTAAAATGCACCCGCTTTTGAATGTGTGCCAGAAGTGGTCCACCGTTCACCTTCTCGAAGATCAGATAGAATCTAATCGATAACAAAACAGTAGATCACAATTAGTTTCACAATTATTTTATCACAAAATATAATTCATGTCATACTTGTCGGACTCTTCGAAGAACTCAACCAATTGTATAATATTTCTGTGACTCTGGCAGTGATAGAAAATCTCGATTTCTCTGAAGACACGAGACCTGCTATGGCCCGACCCGTTCTTTTCAATCACTTTGACGGCGTACTTCTTTCCCGTATAGTTGTTACGGCACTCGCGTACCGAAGCGTAAGCGCCTTCGCCGAGAAACTCTCCGGTCATAGTATAGAGATCGACAAAAGTGTTGGCCGAAAGACTGGCACTCGATGTGCGCTTCTTCTTGCGTCTCCTCTGTTGCTGTCTCTGTGGTATAGGTATGGGTGCAGAGATGACACCCGGTTCGGGACTATTATGTCCGTCACCGCTTGACTCATAACACGTCTCATCGTCTTCGGAGAGATTTCGCGGATGCATTGTTTTTCATCGATGACAACACTCTTCAGTTCACTTCAATCACCTCTTGATATCAAATGACTGACTGACTGTCTGTCCGATCAGGTGTTGACTCTGTTCTGGATGTTTGGTCTCTTGACTGGTGATGACAATCGTGTCAAACAATCACTCGATATTTTCTTTTACTGTTCAGTATTCAGCCATTTCGCGTCTGAGGCAGTGATCCCTGAGCTCAACACAACTGCACTTTAAGCCAACACACAAACAATGAGTCCATCCCTTTAAGTGATGTCATCATAGCTTAACTCAATATTCATTGGCTATCACTCACACCATATATACGTAATCATAATATATTCACTGTTGTTGTGACTGTTATTATACATAATATACAGTACTGTATATACAGTCACTGTGTATGCGCTAAACACAAGGACACTGTCTAACAGCAAAACAAGGGGACAATAGTCAAGGGGTAGTCAGGGGTAATCAAGGAGAGCTATTTGGGGGACCAAATGGGGGTCTCAATCACGTACACCACTATAGCACAAACAATATCATCAAAACAAACAAAACAATCCAATCAATACAGTATAAGCTATGTATATATACAGTATATATCATATAATTGTCGATACAATCGATGCCTCTAAACATTGAGAGACTAGAGTTGTGTAAAACTCATTGATTACCCCATTTGTAACGTTTCTCTATTACATAGAGTGGAAAATTTTCTCGAAACTTCTTTTTACTTTATTATTATTATTATTATTATTACTATAGTATTACAGTATGTATTGTAGTGTTTTGTATGAATTAATGTTTAGGATGTGTATGTATAGTGAGACCAAACAGTTTATGTGATTGAGCATGGACAATTATGTATTGATCATAGACTATTGGGTGTATTCATAATACACTACAATATATTAATATAATTAACCAAATCATTAAATTTTGGCAATAGTTATAGATATTACTCATAATAAGTAAATTTCTTTTAAAACATTTATTTTCATTTTGGACATAGATTTATGAAAAAATAAAGTTTAGATTAGTTTATGAATTATTTGATATAAGTTAAGACATAGGATATTGTTATTTGTTGTCTAGAAATTTGCCAAATTTGCAGTTTATATACACAGTATATACGATAGTAATAAGCAATTGCTATATAATTAAAAAAAAGGCAAAAGTGTTTACATATAGTGAAGAAAAAACAAAATTATGTTTACTTTAAAAAACCATATCTTATCAAATCATATGGTGTTTAGGTCTCATTTTTTAAATGTAATTTTATTGCTATTTTTTCTATCAATCAATGCTTCACTAATAGATAATTGATGACAATTTCAGGGGAACTCATATTCAAATAGGATATTCATTAAAGATTAAAATTTATGATAAGCACTGTTCCCTTATTTACTAAATATTTATACTTTTATGTCTTATACTGTAGTAAATTGTATTGAAGAGGTATTGTATTGGTATACTGTCTTAACTAAAGTAGTCATACATAAGTATAAGTTGTATATTATATTTATATAACAAGTATAACATATAACGTATTTACACACTATCTACACATTTATCGGTTATAATCACACAATTTTGTTTGCTATACTACAGTACTGTATGTTATTTTATTTATAATGTTTACGATATTAAAAAACTCATTATTATTATTATATACTTTGTTTGAACTGACAATTTATTTTTATTACTATAACTAATGACAACAATTGCTTAATTTGACTCAAAGCCTGACTTATTGTAACAATTCATTTGTTAAGCACATGTAGTAAAAAGTAAATGAGCTAATATCACACCTGTATTACTATCATATCATATACAGTATAAACATTTAGTAAGTTTTAAGAATATTCTAGTCTAATATAATTATATATTAGTATAGATGTATGTATAACAACATATGAGAGACTACTGTAATCCTAATATTAGTATTGCCACAAATTTCATCACTTGATTTTCATTTAGACACAGTATTGCATTGCAATCATAGCTACTGTAATGAAAACGTTTGACAAACTCTCTCTCTCTTTCTTTCTTTCTTTCTCTCTCTCTCTCTCACTCTCTCTTTCTCTCTCACTTTCTTTCTTTCTCTCTCTCCTTCTCTAAAACTTTCCAATCGTTTGCCTAAACTATACTTAAAAATTTCAATTTCATTGGAAAAAGAGTTGTCCATAAAATTCTTGATAAATGACAATAACAATAACAACAAATTGTTTTTATGCCCATAAAACAGATAACAAAGTGATAGATTGGTTTAGGATTTACTACTGTTTGTATATACAAAGTGTGTGTTATTATGTATATAATTTATATATAAAGAAATAAAATTGAGGACATTTATGCAGTACTGAGACTCTGATATATTGATAATTCATAAGAGAGAAAAAACAAACTATTAAATGACTGAAATCACGTATCATATACTGTACTGTAGTTTAATATATTATATTATAATAATAATATGCTAACTAACTATAGTGTAGGTTATGATTCACAAATAAATAGTATTATTAATAATTAAATAATTACTATTTTCAAACAATGTTAATAATATATGTATTAATAGTCATTAAAGTTTTTCACTAGTAGTGAATCACTATTTTTGTTAAATAGGGGCCACAAGTCTATTAATATTTACATTTAAAAAGAAAAATATTTTTTCGGGTAATCATTGTATGAAACAAAACAACAAAAAATCTAATTATAAATCTTTAGTCTCAATTGAGAGATGTGCTAATTTGGGTGCACTGGAAGGTAGGGGGTAATAGTGCATTGATATGCAAAAAAACTTGGTTTGGGTTGACTAAAAAAAAATATTTATACAATACATTTATAAATTCAATTGAATTGGCTTTAATTAAATATGAAAAATATAGTTCACTGGGAAATAAATAGATATTAAAAAATGTTACTCTAATGTTAGTTAACAGACATTGCCTCCTAAATATGCATATCAATAGACAATATCTCCTGTGTATACATAATACAGTATAAATATTACATATAATTGTAAAATACTGTTTATAATATACATTGTGTATAAACAGCATATGTTTGTAGTATAACTGTATTATCAAAGTTTGTTCAAAATTAATTGAATGTGAATAAATAATTATTTAATGAGAATTTTATACTACTAGACACCAAAAACCCGGGTAACGGTTTATGTTTGAAATACTGACCGAGATTAAAACATAAATGCGATAGATATGATCACTTACTTACAAATACATACTTAGAGACTTGTATTTTAACAAATTATTAATAAAACAGAAACTACAGTATATTATAAATAATAATATAAAAAACTATTAATAATATTATTGTGCTAATTGACGAATTTGTAAAAATATCTATCATTTATCAGCGTTTATAAACAAATAAATAAAAATATCTTAAATTGTCATATATTTCTATTATGACTGAAATCAGTTTATCAGTAAAACGGTTTGGATTTGTATTTGGTTATGATTAACAATTTATTTAATTTAATCAAAATGAGTAGGAAGTATATAAAAACTTTGCTTTTACTTTACCGGACTTTACTGTTAATATCAGTTTATGCTGTAATTGTGTGGTAATAAATGTGTGGTTTTTTTTGGTGATGAATGCATTGATTTGCAAAATATAATTGCATTTTGTTTTATATATATATATATATATGTGTGTGTATATAATAAACATATACTGTATTTACTAAATATGATTGTAAATGAATAGCAAATCTTTGTGACAAATATTAAGGACGTTCTCCTTTTCATATACACTAATATACACTGTATTATACAGACATTCAATGAAAGCTCATATACAGTATATACTAAACTGTATACTAAAGATATATTACTTATAGTACTACATATAATGTAACTTTTTTTATATCAATTTATCTCTTATGACTTATGCAATAAGTAATCCATAAATAATTTATTCAAAGGACATATATACTATTGAAGAGGTGTTGTGTTGTTTCATACGTTAGTCTAAATACACACAAAAAACTAAGTAATTATATTAATATATTGTGTGTGTATTTGCATCACAATTACTTTTTGGTAATATATGATATGTTTTACGCAAATACACAAACAGCTAAACTTGTGATTATAACAAAAATAAAAAATAAATTTATATGTAATAAATAAAAATATTTTTAAACATCATTGACTTGTATTCAATGAAATCCAATTTTTTTTATGTATTATACGGTATATTAACTATGAATTATATCTAAAGCACAAACTGCATGTTGAATACTATATTAAATTTTGATATTTTTTTTGGGAAAAATACAATAAATATTAGTTATGAATACGGAAGGGGATTATCTCTCAAAATGACTATGTTTTTAGTATTGCATTGTAGTATTAGAGTAGTATTATTTGTAAATATGATTTACACGTTAAAGCGATATACCAGTGCCTGAATAGTGTAATGTTGAGGAAGTGTTAGTTTCATACAGACATTGAGCTAACAGTGTTTTTAGGCAAAGAGTGAAGAGTGACTCCCATTTCTAAAACTACAGCAAATATATTCATTAACTTAATTAACATTAATTTTTCACATAAAAACTTCTTTTGTTTCAAATATATTAATTGATTTTTCACGTGATTCTCACAATGCATTTGTGTAGGTTTTGGGGACTCTTATGGTAAACACATAACGTTGTTATATTTAAAAAAAAAGTTTTATTTTATTTGAGTTTAGAGAGAGAGAGAGAGAGAAAGAGAGAGAAAGAGAAGTGCACTGAACTAACATTTGGCACACAATTTGCTTGTTTCTCAAATGTTGTTCAATTAGATTCATAGATACAGTACAACCAAATACACACCGGAGCGCTAAAAAGCAGTGATATATTAGATATAGACTTTCCGGGAGTCATACAATATATTATATACTCAATGAATATTTAGGCAAATTTATTGTTGAAGTTCTTGTTTTTTTTTTTGTATAAAAAACAGCAAAAAATATTTTATTCAATTTGACCAAAATTTTATAAAATTAATCGCAATTTTGTGTTAAAGTTTTTTGTATGGATTTATTTGTAGTTTATTTTTTGAACCCCTTTTCAATGCATTAGTTGTGATCCAAATCAGTTGAAACTAACTCTAAACTAGTTTTTCTATCTCTCAATTCAGATGATCTTAAAGCCCACATCGATATACTTTTTTTAGGGCCCAACCCTTGTTGTACTTGTTTTCCAATTCATACCAGTTTTCTCTCTCTCTCTCTCTCTCTCTCTCTCTCTCTCT